GCCTCCTAGGTCATGTAGAAGTGACTTAAATTGAACTCGCAAGATTTGATGACAACAGAAATGAATGAAACATTGCGAGTTAGAGAAAAGCATGTAAAAATATATGAATTAAATGTTGTGTCTATATTACTTACAATATTATCATCTTGAAGTAAATCCCACAATAATGTCGAACCAGGTTTACAAACATTTTCTATATTAAACTGGTTAGATATTGTTGTAGTTATATTTTGAGTACAAGGATGCACGTTTTTACTGGTATGGAAATTAGAATGGAATGCCATATGGTTTAACTGTTGTGTTGATAAATGAGTCTGAGCACGTGCTGCAAGTTGCAACAATTCCTCATCACAGCCTGAATCTTCTCCATCAAAATCAGCCATATTTTTGTCAGATTTATTTGACATACGAGATGACATACTATTCTCATCTCCACTATAATCTTCTAGCAATTGTCTACTCATAAGTGTAGATGGTACCTGCTGATCTGAAGTAGTATCAATGGGTGATATACCGATTTCCATAGCTTCCATTGATTCACTATCTTCATCTTCAATATCTTCATCCTCATCTTCATCTTCCTCATCGTCATCTTCATCACCATCAGACTCAGAATCATCTTCAGTACAATCAGTTCTAATGCACCTCATTTTAAGATTTCTTATTTTTTTGTCTAAAACATTAAGAAAATACATAAAAAATAATAATTATTATAGTATTAAAAACATGTAATTTACGGTTATTAATTTTTCCTCTTGGTTTTTGAAGTTTGGTTCCTTTAACTAGTTTACAATGATTTATTTGAACTTTATCTGAATCTTCATCACTAGAGTGACATGGTTTCATAACCCTCATTCTTGTATCTCTCATTGCTTTCTTTCTAACACAATGCCTTATTTTGCACATACCTAATGGTTTGGATGGTCTAATAATATCTTTTTCATTAATATCAAAATCTTCATCTAATTCTTCAATTTTTGCTCCTTCTAGAACTAATGATTCTAAAAAAAAAAAATGATTATCATATTATATTCTTAATATTTCTTGAACACTCTTACCATTATCAGAGTAAGCAAAAATGTTTTCTTTTTTAGGTTTTTTTCTAGGTGTCGGGCCATCACTCATATCACTTCGTTCATCACTAGATTCACCCTCGGAATTGCTATTGAGGCTAGCACTATTCTCTGATGTGCTCATATCATTTGAACGAGCTATTCTACGGTCATCACGTATATTTACAATCCTTGACATTTTTGGAATAGAAAATTCATGAGTTCGTGCGGTAGTTGCCATACTTGACCAAATAAATTTGGTAAGAGCTGATGCTAAAAATAAGCTCTAAAAAACATAAATGAAATTACATTTTTTAAATTCATATTTTGTTTTATGTATAAATTTACTTGTTCAGTGTGCTCTTTTGGTTCTAGTTTTCTTAGTAAATGATATAAATGTAAAACAGGAACGGGTTCTAAGTGTTTGATAAAACCAGGTAATAAATCAAAAACTTGTTTGCTACAATGTTTTAACTGTGCTGCTTGCCAAATAGTATCAATATGTTCATTAGTAATCTTACCTTCTGATGCTAAAAAATTAAGTGTAATACTACACTGTTTAATTACCTAAAAAAGGTTTATATTTTGATTAATTTAATATTAATTTAATATGGAATTATCAACAGTACATACTTCAACATGTAAGTTTGGCCCAAACACATGGGATATAATTTTACGATGTACAAGCCAAGTTGCTAAATTATGTCCAATCTGTTCAATAGTAACCATATCATTGGATTGTGATGATGTTGATAATGTTGCTGCAGTTACATGAACAAGTTCATTTAAAGATCCTATATGGCTATTAATTTGAGATATTCCTGCTAGCCTCATTGTTAATGTTGGGGATGTAAAATACTTAAAAGCCAATTCAAGACCATCTTTATCTAAATTAGAAGTATGACCATCCTTGTTTGAACTCCACATAAAATCTATAAAGAAAATTAATATAACGGTTTTTCGTAAACTTATTTGCATTTGTTACTTAAAAATAATATATTTACCAGCCATAGTTTTAGCTGCAGGAGTTCTCAATTCTTTATCAGATAAGTTACACATAAATCTTAAAACTTTTGACCTCAGTGGAACAAATACATGAACATTTGTGTGATAATTTAGCCAGAGCTTTACATTACAAGCAAGTATAACAATTGGATTGGCAATAGTTAATGGCAATGATTCATAATCAAAACAAGACATAATTGCTTCCAAACCACCAACCCTAAATAAATAAGATGCTTGGTTTATACATATAGGCAAGAATAAAATAAAATAATTTACCGGCAAAACATATTGACAGTTCTTAAAAGTAATAATGGCATATCGATTTCTTGAACATCGCAATAATGATTCATCGCTGAAACTTCTTGTTGAGTTACTTCTTCTGTCTTGTAATGTGGGTATTGTTTTACAGCCACATATAATGGAAAATTCATCAAAAATACTTTTGTCATGAGATGTAACGGTTTTTCCATTTCTGCTAATGTCCATTGCAACTCTACAAAAATAATTTATATATTACATTAAAATAGGTAAAAAAAAATAAATAAACACATAACACATTTATCCATCAGAAAAACTATACAATATACATTATAAAGGTTTGAATTCAAAAAAAATTAATTATTCACCTTCGTCTTTGAAATTTGCTAGTAAATTTTCCCATTTACGGCTACTCTCAGCATCATCATCGTCACGAGCTGGATAGATAATATTATCTTGTCCTTTATAAGATTTTAACAAATTAGTCATTAACAAAACAAAACATTGTGTAATCCACTGAAACTGTTCATAGTTTTTTCTATCTTGAAATCCACCAAGACATTGTCTGTAAAGTAAAGAAATTAGTGTTAAATAGTATCAATATTTTATAATTGTTTGCTTACCTTTGCATAAAAGCCTGAACAAAAACAACCAATTGATTCACTTCAGACTTTGATAGAATTACACAACTAAAGTCGTTCTTTGCACTTGCATCTCTATCTGTAAGAGAAATAACAATTTTAACCGGATAAAAGTGTATTTTAGGAGATATTTGTAATACATACATGGTTTCAGTAGCTTTGAAAACTCTATACATGTCTCACATTCACACATTTTTTAAGTGTATGAGGCAGTGTCCTAAGGGGTGTATGTATAACACATAGTTCGATAAAAATCACTCATCAAAATTAAAAAAAATTTACGAAAATTTGGGAAAACAAAATGTACACAAAATTACTGTATAGTATATACATATATATATACACACATGAATATATATTTATCTATTTTTCTTAACTTTTTGAGAATGAAAATAAAGTAGGTTATGCGGCTATAACACGATATCACAATGACAGTGACGCCAACGTAATGTTTAAATTGTCTTTGACTATGACTTGCGTACGTATTTTAGTTTATACTTTTATTACGAGTGTAGTAACTCGCTCGAACAGGATCTCACAGTTTTCAATTTTCTATACTATAATACACATATTTCCATATTTCAATTTTCAATATATTATGCGGTTATGGGCATGGGATTTATTATGGATACCAGCAGGCTAGTACACGGACTAAGATATATCTTAGTCCGTGGGCTAGTATCATCTGGGCGCTAAATTCGTGGTTTCGGTATCATGGTTTCGGCATAGAACAATATTGAAGCGACACTCGATCAGCTGATTGGGGTATTGGTTACCTATGATTTGAAGTCTGAACCTACGAAAACATGGAATTGGTTCCACGCACCAACATGATGTTAGACACTTATGGCCGATTTCACTAACTCAGTTAATCACGATCACGGACTAAGATATAATGGACTGGAAACGAGCAGCTTATCAGTGGCCTCGAAAGTATGTACAAGAAGTAAATGCGGGGGGTCGCAACCATAATCGAGAGTTTACAGCGCCCTCTGTATAAAACATGGACTGAGATACAAAATGTGACGCAAAATAAAACCACTGGTAGCGCTGAAAACATTCGATTATGAGTGTTGATGATAACAGAGACACCTTTTGCGGGCCGTCCCCCGTCACCCGCCCACCTTGTCGTTTCCAGTCCATTATATCTTAGGGCCGTTCTTACAATGTCCGGTAAAGTGTCGGTTAACGCTAACCGACTGATAACAGATTTTATTACCGGCAGAATTCTTCCGGTTAAGTGTCGGTTAACTTTAACCGGACGTCGTTAGTCCGTGATCACGATTAACATTAACCGGAGTTTTAGGACCAGTATTACCATCTCCAGTTAAATTTAACGGACTCCTAACCAGTGGAATTCGGCCGGTAATAAAATCTGTTATCAGTTGGTTAAGCGTAATCGAAGTGTAATCAATGATTGTAATACTGGCCCTTAGGGCCGATTTCACCAAGGGTGCGTTCAGAAACGTTATCCACTATCGTCAGTCAATTCCCACCGTCGTTCAGAAAGTATTTAGGGCGTATCGGTGAATTCACCGACACGCCCCTTTTGCGTTCAAAAACGTAGATAACTAACTAGATAGTCAATCTCCTCTAACGGACTATCACAACAAAATTGGTTATAACGGTTACTGGTTAGTGGTTAGTACCAATATTTTTTTCGCGCCATAATAATGACAATGTATAAAATATGAAATAACTATAAAATTAAAAATATAATATAATTATTATTTATTAATTAACGAACAAAGAACAAGAGTGAAAAAGTGCAAGAACGCGACAAGTGACAAATGTCAATTTGTGACTAGTTTTTGTTGTCTCGTGTAATACGTGTTGATGGTCCATCATTCATGACAAACCAATCTATTTGTAATTTAAGAATTTAAACTACATATTCATTTAAATATTGTTTCCTTAAGTCACAGTTGTAAGTGTGTAAAAAAATATAACTAATTTTGATATATCTAACTAGTAAGAACTTTTAATTTTGTTTTTATTCCAGGAAAAATGTCCCATTTGCAATAGTTACGTTATATTAACAAAAATGTCTGAACATCTCAAAAATCATAGGTAAGTTAAAAAGAAAAGATACTAAGTAATTGTCTTGTAATATGTTAGCACTTAGCATATTTCTATCTTAACAAATCTATTAAATAATGAATATTAATTTAATAGACACTATTGTGTCCATATGCATATAGTCAATGTATTTGTCACACAAGACGTAGTTTACCATATTTTATGTAACACATACTTGACTATGCATGCGAGCATTACTACTATAATTAATTTTTGTTTCATAAACATTAATGCCCCTTTCTTTTAATTAATATTTAGTGCTGGCTATGCTAATTCTTATTTAAACTTTCAAGTAACGATCAAATATTTTGACTGTTGTCTGACATGACACACCATATTAAAACTAAAAGACTGCAACTAAATACTAGGCTACGCATGCTTAAAACATTCCAATTAACAACAAACACACCAACTTAAACATATTAAACTTCTCATGTACAAATCCTTACTAAAACTTAAATGAACCCATGGTCTTCAACTGCGGGTCAATGCCAAAATATCCAATCTTAAAACAATATAGCTGTTTCAAAATATTACTCTAAGAAAAATTACTAACTCTCCTCGATACATATTAAATTACACACTTCACACCGATCCATACCAAAAAACTGTCCAAGAAGAAGCTAAATTCTTCTACAAACGTTTTCACGATCCTCTTATTGGTCATACAAATCCATTAATCCATAACTTATCACCAAATAAAATTCCTGGTAAGTGGTAATCCTCGACGTCGCCTTAAAAAGAAATTGTGCAGAAACCTCTTAATAAATTAAAAGGATTAGTCTAATAATCTAATAAAAATCTACAGTAAGTGACACTACTGGGTGGCTTCTTTTAACAAGCGTATCAATACCACTGTAAATTAGCACATATTCTTATTGTGCCCTCCGGGTATAGACTGTATATTTCTTTTAAAAATTAAATTTAAAAAAAACTTTCAAGTTAACTAATAATTAAGCCTTGTTATTTTTACTTTCTAGTTATTATTCGCTTTAATAGTATAATTAATATAACTCATATAATTTTACTCATTAATTCATATTTCATATATTATACTTTCTTTCTTTTATAGTCAAGACCATGAACTAGCAGTGCCTCAAAAGTTAAAAAAGTATAAACCATCAACATCATTTGGTAATTTATCTACTGAAACAAGGTAAATAAGTTCATAGTCAATATTATTATTCAATTTTTGCAAATATAATGAATGCTTTTATATTGTTATAGTTATAATAAATAGCTAGGAGAGCTTGTGATATTAATTCAATTTATATAACTTTTATTATACTTTCTTGGCCATTATCCCCTGTCCGTTAATAAATAAATATACTTTTTTTTAGTCAAGACCAGGAACTAGTGCCTCAACAGTTAAAGCATTCTAAAGCTAAACAAACAACATTGTTTAGTAATTTATCTGCTGAAACAAGGTAAATAAGTTGATAATTGATATTATTATTCAATTTTTATAAACATATTGAATACTTTCATATTGTTTAAGCTATGATATACCTAATGAGCTAAGAGTACTTGTGAATTTGATTCAATTTATACTTTCTATTTTCTTGGCACTTCACTCTTTAATAAATACATTTTGTTTGTAGTCAAGATTATGAACTTGTGCCTCGGCCACAACAGTTAAAAAAGTATAAGCCAAACCCATTGTTTGATAGTTTGTCTGATGAAACAAGGTAAATAAGTTGATAGTTGATATTATTATTCAATTTTTATAAACATATTGAATACTTTCATATTGTTTAAGCTATGATATACCTAATGAGCTAAGAGTACTTGTGAATTTGATTCAATTTATACTTTCTATTTTCTTGGCACTTCACTCTTTAATAAATACATTTTGTTTGTAGTCAAGATTATGAACTTGTGCCTCGGCCACAACAGTTAAAAAAGTATAAGCCAAACCCATTGTTTGATAGTTTGTCTGATGAAACAAGGTAAATAAGTTGATAGTTGATATTATTATTCAATTTTTATAAACATATTGAATACTTTCATATTGTTTAAGCTATGATGCCTAATGAGCTAAGAAAACTTGTGAATTCGATTGAATTTATACTTTCTATTTTCTTGGCACTTTGATCTTTAATAAATACATTTTTTTTTGTAGTCAAGACCATGAACTAGCAGTGCCTCAAAAGTTAAAAAAGTATAAACCAACAACGTCATTTGGTAATTTATCTACTGAAACAAGGTAAATAAGTTCATAGTCAATATTATTATTCAATTTTTGTAAATATTCAAAATACATAAATTCATCAATACTCTCGTATTGTTTAAGCTATAACAAATAGCTGGGAGGGCTTGTGAAATTAATTCAATTTATATAACTTTTATTATACTTTCTTGGACCTTCTCCCTTGCCCGTTAATAAATAAATACATTTTTTTTTAGTCAAGACCAAGAACTATTGCCTCAACAGTTGGAACATTCTAAAGCTAAACCAACAACATTGTTTAATAACTTATCAGATGAAACAAGGTAAATAAGTTCATAATTGAAGAATTTATAATATTATTATTCAATTTTTGTTAACATTGAATACTCGTTTGATTTTATAATTAATAATTGGTAGTATATTTATTATTTGAAGTTTACAATTTTTTTATTGTGTAGTACAAATGAAAAAAGAGTCAAAAGTGGACCAAGTCTGAAACACTTTTCCTTATTGAGGCGTATGAGAATAATATTTTGAACAACAACATTTTCTATGTAGTTTTTGATCCTGATTGGAACCTCTTTCTCACAGGTTAAATCCTCGTCATTATCATTATCATCATCATCATTAAAAAAATATAGTCCACAGTCTAAAAGTAATTTAAACGAATTACTTGCCGCTATAGCTAGAACTCTGGGATGGTTACTCATAATAAAATAATTTCAATTACAAATAACAAATGTTTAAATGATGTACACCAAAAAAAATTAAAATTCATAAAAAATTAATAATTTTATTTTGGTACAAATCAAAATAAACCTATAAATAGTATACAATTTATAAATATTATGATTAATGATTATATTATCACTTTATCACTTTTATATTAAAAGTATTATAAACATGTTCTTCTACTATGAGGTTAACATACCTCGGTAACCTTATTGATAACTGAATGGTTCAATAAGATGGGAGGAGTCACATCGTTCCCCGGCGAAAAAGTTAATTCTACATAGAAAACGTTTCTGAACGCACTCCAACACAGTTAATCACGATTAACGTTAACCGGAGTTTTAATCGGCCGAATTTGGCCGGTTAAATATCTGTTATCAGCCGATTAAGCGTTAACCGTGATTAACTGTGTTGGTGAAATCGGCCCTTAATCGGCCGAATTTGGCCGGTTAAATATCTGTTATCACTTATCAGTCGATTAAGCGTTAACCGTGATTAACTGTGTAGTGTGTTGGTACTTGGTGAAATCGGCCCTTAGACCCGTGGTTACCAATATTATAAGAACGGTTCCAAGACTATGGCGGGATAGGCGACGAGGGGTCGGCTTGTTTACCATTCCCTATTGGCTATTTCACGTATGCCGCGCTCCCCTGGAGACCGTGTTCAAGGCCGAAATCGCCTGATTCGGCCAACGCACGGAGTGTCGTACCCCTGGTTTCGGGTAAGTTAAAAAATCGTGCTCTCATGTCCCAGTCCAACCAACATTTTTTAATGAAATCTTGATACTTATTCGTGATATCTTATTCAATCTTATTCAAGGACCACGGATATAATGGACTGGAAACGAGCAGCTTATCATGGCCATGAATGTAATGAATGTATGTACAAGAGGCAAAGTACAGGGGGTCGCTATGTGTTCCTGGAGTTCACAACGCCCTCTGTATAAAACACAGACTAAGTTACAAATTGTGTAGCTAAATAAAACCCCCGGTAGCGCTGAAAACTTCAAGAACAGTTTTCTTATCAGCTAAGTGACATCTTTTCGTGGCCGTTCCCCGATCCCCGCCGGGCGCTGACCATGTCGTTTCCAGTCCCGTGTAGACGTGTGTACTGTGTACACAATTTGTATCTTAACTTGAGTTGTACCACCTATGATTAAAGTTAATCAGAATATTAAATCGGCTGAATTCGCCCGTTAATATCTGTTATCAGCTGATTGAGCTTAATCTAATAGAGTTTTCCACATGACTGCAATATTGCACTGGTGCAATTATTTTATGTTTTCATAAGAATACCAGCGCATTTTTTTTTTTTATAGTGCGGCTTTTTATGTTCCACACGCGTGCGGCGTGCACTCTACTAGTTTCTTGCACTTAGTGCAGTGATAATCGCACGAGGCACGAGCTCTTCACGGCGGTGCACCTTATCTTTTATTGATTAACATCTATCAACTCTTTAATTTTCTCGTAAATAATTGATATCATTAAAATGATCTGCCCGCAGACAGAATGCATGTTTCAGATGCAATGCTCCTTAAACGGCTTAAACTGACTGGCACTAACAAGATTATGGGTGTTATAATTGGCGCGCTGTACGTGCAACTAACCACACTGGTGCAGTCATATGGAATTATGGAAAACGCTAATAGTTTAATCATAGACGATACAACCGATACAGTCCCGAATGATTTAAGACTTATAAGACGTATATCAATTATCAATATTTTAAGTAGTTTAAACCATAGATATTAAAGAATATCTATGGTTTAAACCGGGGATGGACAACGTTTTTGAAAACGTTATTAAACGGGAAAAAAACAAAAAAAAAAACTGAAAAACGATAACAAAAAACCCCAAAAACCGATAAAAATGTAATAACAAAATCAAAAACGAAAACGGAAATAAATTATAAGATTATACATCATTAAATTATTTCACTTTAGTAGTTTAGGACTTAAGTAGTATAGATTTGTATGTTCACAGTCTATTTTTTTTTTCACCTCGGTAATTTCACAACGTTCAAGCGAGGATGTCCCGCTTGAACACAATAATTTTACCGCCGTGAAAATCACGGGGAGATTTCACACTCGGTGTCCACCTATTTGCCGCTTACTCAAAAATATTTACCGTGTACACACTAAATATTTTTTTTTTTCCAACAAACCTTATTATTAAAAGTACAGAACACAAATTATGTAATTATAGATTTTTTTTTTTTATTGATATTTTATTAATTCTTAAATATATTTACACAAGTTTTCCTTCTTCTCTAGTAAAAGGTACATATTCTACAATACGATCATGAATCAATAAACAATAAGCAGTTACACCTGTAAACGAATCTGAAGCTTCAATTTCCAATTGAACATCCACTGCTGAGGCCGTGGTTGAATCGTTCTGTTTTGAAGTATCGATAACTATAGTTGGCGCGTTTGCTAGAAAAGTAGAAGGGCTCAATATCGGGTTACGAATACTTTTTTCATAGTGCGATTCTTGAAACGATGTATTATGTATACATATTATACAATCAGGTGAAATTATTTTTCGAAAAATCTATATTCAAATTATCGTATGGATAAGGTATCGAGTTCAGAAATACTTTAACGTTTGTTAGATTATAATGATAGAATATACTACAATCTTTTGATAACACATTTTTTCGTCCTATTAAAAGTTAAGTTATAAGAATATATTATGTATAAAAAAATTATCAAAATTATCAAAACGTTATTTGGAAACAATAGGAAAATAACGTTAATAAAAAACAATATGGAAAAATTACGTTTGTAAAAACGTTAGGTTCCCTTAGAAATCCTCCGTAGAACCCTATGTTCCTGAAGCCATAATTTATATTTGATCTTATTATTTTATTATTGCAGACACGGTACGGGATTCCAAGGCCACCGTACTCGCACCGTAGGTTGAAGGGACAAGCCGTAGTTAATTCAAAAATGAATTAAAACTTATGAAACGTATATCAAAAATTTAACTTAACCGGCTACGGTTTTAATATTTTTTTTCCGGCTTTACAATCCATTGAGAATTTTTACCTCCAAAACTACCTCCTCCCATTTCTCTCTATCATACGCTATAACTTGCCATTCCGCCCCACCATGTTCTGCCGCATGCCATATCTCTTTTATGCTGTCTATCCATCTTCGTGGTCTTCCCCTTGGTCTCCTCCCCGCTAACGTACAAGTCATTACTTCTTTTAATAGGCATCCGTTTTCTCGCCACGCATGTCCGGCCCATTGCATTCTTAAACTTTTAATAAATTGAACAGTATTTTTCCTTTTTGTATAAGTTTTCTAACTGGGCGATCGATCACAATTCCCATTGTGTTTCGGTATTAAATACTGAACCATGTATTCTTCTTAGGAATTTCCTTCCAAATCTTCTTAGTTTCTCTTCGTCACCTTTAGTTGTGGACTATGTAGCACATGCATAAGTCAGTACTGGTCTTATGTAGCTTACATAAAGTTTTTTTTTTACTTTTTCGATAGTGTTTTTGACTTAAAGAGGGTCTCCATTGCGAAATAACATCGATTAGCTACATTCAGCCTCACATTTATTTCTTCATGCATAATATTTTTGTTGTTTAGAGTTACTCCAAGGTACCTAAATTCTTTAACTTGTTCGAATTCATTATTTTCTATTTTAAGGTTGGAGCTATCCTCTGGTCCTCTTGTTACTACCATGTATTTTGTCTTCTCCGCATTTACTACTAGGCCCATATTTTTACTTGCCTTCATTAATTTCTTCAGATTCATTTGAACTTCTGCTCGAGTATTTCCAGTGATAATAATATCATTTGGGTATGCAAGTATCAGTCCTCTATCAAGTGACCAGACTTCTCCGTTTGACATTTCTCAGACTACACTTTCTAATGCCATGTTAAAAAGTATGGGTGACATGGCATCCCCTATTCGTAGTCCACTTTTGATTTCAAAAGCCATACACAGTTCATTCCCAAAATTTACTCTACTAAACGTTTTACTGTTGCATAGTTTTACCATTTTGATAATTTTCATAGGGATGCAAATGCCCTGAGCGCCTCAGATAGCCTTTCCCTGTCTACGTTATCACAAGCCTGTTTATAGTCCCCGAACACCATATGTAGGTCCTTTCCATAGTGATTTTCCATTTGTTGTCTCACTACAAATATATGGTCTGTGGTTAATCTTCCTTTCCTGAATCCACTTTGGTATTCTCCTATGGCTTCTTCAGCATATCTCTCTAATCTTTTTAATATTGTTAATGATAGGACCTTGTATCCCGTATTTAATAGAGTTATCCCCCTGTAGTTTTTTACTTTTAATCGGTCCTTTTTTTTTAATATTGGGCAGATAAGTGTTTCATTCTAACTCTCTGGAAGCCTTTCTTCTTCCCCTACTTGTAGAATTACTGAATGTAATTCCCTTTCTACTTCTTGACCTCCTATCTTCCAAAATTTTGAATTAATCCTGTAATCACCTGATGACTTATTATTTTTCAGGGCGTGTATTGCTGCTTTTGTTTCATCCAAGCTAGGGGCCAGTTACTTCCTGGTATACTGTATAATAAGCTCTAATTTCTTGGTCATTACTGTCATTATCTGGCACTTAATATAGTAATCCTCTGAAATACTCTTTGAACTAGTTAGCTATCATTTCTGGACCAGATATCAGAGCACCATTTTCATCTCATCATCATCATCATCATCATATACAGCTTAAGGGACCATTGAGGTCCAACGCTGCCATCACAAACTTATTCCATTCTTCCCTATTGTACGCCATGTCTAACTGAGTCCTTTCTTGAAGTACTCTTAGATCCTTCACGACTGAGTCCTTCCATCTTGTTCTGGGCCTGCCCAGAAGTCTTTTACCTGTCATTTCAGCCATCAGTGCTTGTTTAATAATTTGGCCATTCGCCCCATACATGTCCTAACCATTCGACATGTATATGACAGAATATTTGGTCTTCCATACATAGGCGCAAATAGGGGGGGGCTAGGGGGCCCCCTAAGAATTGCTGTAGCCCCCCCAAAAACAAATGATTTTACTATGCTTTACTAAAAGCATCATAAGAGTATTCAGTATCCTGAACTGAGCTACGGCTTCAGCCCCCCCCCAGATTTCAAACACTATTTGAGCCTATGCTTCCATAATTCGTTATTATGTCTTCTTTCAAATTGCTCTGTTTCCCTGTTATATAGAGGGCCATACATTTTTCTTAATATTTTTCTTTCAAAGGTAATTAAGCTCTGGTGGTTCCCTTGGTGGTTGACCATGTCTCACATCCATTTGTTAGGATCGGTCTAATGTAACTGGTGTATAGGATTTTCTTTGATTCATAAGATAGATGCTTTGATTTAAGTAGTTTTAATAAACTAAAATAACACTTGTTAATCTATTTTTTCATGCATAATATTTGTATTGTTCATGATTACCCCGAGGTATGTGAATTGATTAACTTTTCCGAAGGTGAGATTATCTACCTCTAGATCTGAGTTATCTGCCTCTGTTCGCGACATACACATATATTTGGTTTTCTGTTGATTCATTTCTAGTCCCATCCTTTTGCTCGTCTTCAGCAGTTTTCGAATGGTTTGTATAACATCATCTCTTGAGTTTCCCATTATGAATATGTCATCAGCAAATAAAACATTCAGTTCACCGAGGTTCATTTTCCGATCTTCTGACATATCCCTTACCACTTTCTCCAGGGCTATGTTAAATAGCATTGGAGATAATGCATGGCCCTGGCGGAGGCCAGAATGTACTTTAAATTGTGTTGACGTTGAAAATCGTACCTTAAGGTTGGTGTTACTATTGCACATTTTGACTAGGGCTATGTATTTCTGGGGTATTTAAAAATACCCCACAACCAAATACCCAACAATTTCATTGTTTCCCATAGTTCTTTCCTGCTTATTGAATCGTATGCTTGTTTAAATTCTACAGATACCAAGTGTAGATCTTTATTATATTCATAATGTTTTTCTGCCATTTATTGAATTGTGTGTATATGTTCGATTTACCTTTAATGAATCCGCATTGGTAATCCCTTATTATACCTGTTACATAAGGGTTCAATCGTCCCATTATGAGCGTTGTCAGTATTTTGTAGCCCGTGTCTAGTAGAGATATCTCTCTGTAGTTTTCAGGTAACATTGGGTCTCCTTGTATATTGGGCAAAGGATGCTGTGTTCCATTCCTCTGGCATGGTTTCTGTTTTCCAAATTTCTATAATTACCTTATGCACATCATCCACCATTTGTTTTCCTCCATGTTTCAGTAGCTCTGCTGTTATCTGGTCTTTTCCCGGTGATTTATTGTTTTTAAGTGTATTTATTATCTTTGCTATTTCTTCTCTAGTGGGTTCTACTATATTAGGTTCTCTGTAATCATAATGTCTTCTCTGTCATATAACATACATTCGGGTATATTCAGGAGGTTCTCAACATGGGTTTTAAACATCTCTACTATTTCTTTTTGGTCTGTTACTAGTTCTTTAGTATCGTTTATCATCATATTTGTCTGTGGTTTAAATACTTCTTTAGTCCTTCCACTTCTTTCAAAGAACCGCCTTGAATTTTGTCTATTCTCTTCTACAGTTGCAATTAACTTTTTCATATATAATCTTTTTTCTCTTCTAAGGATTGCATGAGTTTCTTTTCTTCCCTGTTCATATTCTTTCCTATTTTCATCTGAATTATTTTGTATCATTTTGTATCTTAGCATAGTTCTTTTCGCTATTGATTCTCGGAATTTGTCATTAAACCAGTCTTTTCTCTTTGTTTTCTCTGTCCATCCGACCACGTCTGTAGCGCATTCCTTTATTGCTTGTGTTACTCTACTCCATTGGTTTTTAATCTCATTTTCCCCGTGTGTGCCTGTGTTTTGTGCTAATTTGTTCTGAATTAAATGTACGTATTTTTTGGCTTCTTCTTTGTTTTTGAGTTTTCCTATATCGAATCGCTTAATTTCCAGATTTTTTCTACTCTATCCACATGATAGTCTTAGCTTGAACTGTGTTATTAATAGGAAATGGTCAGAGTCGGAATCCGCGTCTCTATAGCTCCTTACGTTATTAATGCATCCTTTGTGGTTTTTATCTATTAATACATGGTCTATTTGATTTTTTGTGTGTCCATCTGGAGATATCATTCAGATATACCATTTTCATCTACTAGGGATAATATATGCGGGAGAAAGCCAGATTAATTGCCTTGCACCTCTTAAAGAATTCTCTGGGTTTGTATTTATACCTTTCAATCTCTTCAATCCTTGATTTTTCTAACATTCTCTTCTCCTTTCTTGTTAGTTTTGTCACTTCTTTCCTTTTAATCTCAAATCTTCATTTGTTTTCAGGTGTGGGTATCTGAATTGCTTTAATAATTAATCCTAGCATTTGCACGTTTCTGGATTCCTCTTCTGCAACGTTCATTGAACCATTTATTTCTTTTTGGCCTATGTGTGAATTGCACTGCGCTCTCCGCGGTTTCTATCATTTAATTTTTAACCATATTCCACTTGTCCTTCAATTCTTCAATACTAGTACTATTTTTTTATTTTAATTTTTCGTCTACTGTTTCCTGGTATTTCTTCCATATTTAATCTTCTTTAAGCTTCTCAAAGTTGAATTTTCGAGCTACTTTTAATTTTCTTTTATTATTCCACTTTGCTGTCATTTTACTTTTGAAGACTCCAATCACGAGGTAATGGTCCGAATCTACGTCTGCTCCTCTATAGCTTTTAACATTTGTAATATTTGATTTGTATCTATTACTTATTAGTACATGGTCTATTTGACTAATGTATCTGCCACCTGACGATACACATGTATGTTTATAGATATTCTTTCTGGGGAACTGTGTCCTACTGATATTCATTCCTCTACTCATAGCTAAATTTAGTATAAATAGTATTAATTTTTAATAATATTAATATAAATATAATATACAATATCCTAGGCTGACAAATCGTCTCCACTTAGAATCATTTTTCTCATAGGTACATTGATGATTGATATTATATCGTTGAATTCAAATTTAACATTATCCATAACCGTCACCCATTTGCAACCTACTGTTCAGCAGAGTGATTTCCAATTTTTTTTTTTTTTTTTAATTTACCTCCCTTTTTTATTTAAATCCTGGTAAACGAGTTTTGGACAAGGACCTACTACATAATACCTAACTTATAATTCGTATTGTAATTTAATTATCAAAGAAATATAACTTCCCCAACACTGTGTCTAAAGGCACCGGCGGGAGAATGCATTGGAATGTCTATAAACGTTTCAATAGTTTAGTATCTATGGCATTTGAACAACAATTGAAATAGAAAACCAGAATTGATACGTTGCAGATCACAAAGATTTCTGTCATGAACTATGTATCATAGTTCATGATTTCTGTAAAAGAACATCCGATTTATCAATTGATAATGTAGGTACTGAGTATATAAATTCTATGGTTTTATCATATAATATATTTTATATTATCATCTATGCCCTATGGCAATCGCCAATCGCCGACATTCGTGTCAGACGATTATTAACGATTATTTCGATGAAAAAAATAAAATAAAATGAGCCAACAATAGACGGCTAGACAGTTTGCTAAGCAGTAGGTACTACATGGAAATTTAAAAAACATATTTGCCTAAAGTCTTTTTAGATCATTTTTGAATTTTTGAAAAAAATACGAATTATTATATAAAAGCAACTATTCAATCAGAATTTCCATACTTATTACTGTAAAAAAACTGCATTTAAGTATATTGATTTTCCACTGGGATACTAAGGGCGATACGGGATTTTTGGGACATACCTATTGTTTACTGTACGTTATATATTATTATGATTTTTCAGTTATAAAGTATTAACTATTACTATCGTCATATAAAAATAATAAATATATTTAAAAAAAATGTAATATCATTTTTATTTTTATCTAGGAGTTGTTCTAAAATTGACTTTATGCCTCGGACTTTTTGGTTGTCTACCTATAGCAAAACATGGTTACTAAACAAGGCAGATCAACAAACACTCGAAAGCTTTGAAATATGTAGTTGGAGAAGGATGCTGAGAGTGAGTTGGATAGAATACCGTACCAATGAAAGCATACTCTGTGAAATATATGAGCTCCGAAAGATTTTACAAAACCATCAGAGAAAGACGATGAAACATGATGTGTCACATATATCGAGGCACGAAAATGAGCTAATTTATTGAATAATAGAATGTTAGGCTATGTAAAAGTTAAACTTATTTGAATTCAATGATTTTCTATGCTAGACTATCAAGCTACACCCAACTGTGGAGAGCACATGTCCAACTGCAAAACTAACTTTTGTATATCTTAAAATACTCATAACTCGCTTTACAATTAAAATATAATAAAAAGCCTGTCATTGTCTAGATAATAATCGCTCTAATTTTTAAGCTAACGGAGATAAACGTGTTCTGCTGAGCATAAAATTTACTAAGTTACGCACTTGTAAGACAAAGACAACAAATGCCACTGTAACGTCCCCTTAACGAGTTAATATAAGTTAAGAGTTAAGTTATTTTTAACTTATTGACTTAACTTACCATTTCCCTGTTTTAATTAACTTAATTTTAACTTAACTCCTTTGTATTATTGCACCTAGGTTAACTTAAATACAACTCAATTTATATAAAAATCAATCAATCAAAAAATTATATTCAAAACATGGGTTACCATAAAAAAATTAAGCTGTATTGCATATGAGCAAAATACATAAGTTAAAAAATGTTAGTTATAGGAACTTATGATCCATAAGTCTAGTCCCACAAACAGAATTGAAAAATATTTACAGGGTTATGAGTGATAAAGTGTTCCCTGTTTCCGTGAACAAGCGGTTTATATAATATTCACCACTTAGATGTATTATTTTATTTTTTTTTTTTTTTAAATAAGTAATATACATTATACAATCTGTTCAAAATCAGTTGACACAAAAAACATATACGCTAAGAGTAAAAAAAAAACATGAGTATATTTGAACAAAGAAGCCACTTAATGGTACCACACTTTCAATTTAGAAGCTTAAATGCATGTTAGTTACGTAAAAGATCTCAACACCAATTACGTTTAAGTAATCTTGTATGGTAAGTTTAAATATATAGGTTTTTTTATAATTTCTAAATGGTTTAATAGTTTATTTTTTAAACATTTACACACAATCAAATTTAAATTTAAATGAACCTAACTTGAAATATGAATACAGTTCTAAAATGATCCAGCCCTATAGGCTTTAAATTACATACATAGACATAATGAATAAAACATTATGTAATAATAAAATTATGTATAGGGTACTGACTAAGCTATAAAGTATACCCTGTTTCGGTGGGCACACAGTGTACATGTATATTATATAGAATAAAAAGTATATAATAAGGTCACTTATGGCATTTCTAGTAATTCAAACTTGATTTTACACTCCTAATTAGTAATTATACATTATTAAAACAAAATTAAAACATTACAAACGATGTAAATTAATTTATATCTTTTCATTCTTTATACTATTTAAGATAAATTAAACTTTTTCTTCTGTATTGAATCCTAAAAAAACTATATTATGACATATTATATAGTAAAATTAAAAATCTATTTAAGCTGTTCTCGATGTTTATCAATAGCTTTTACATTTAACACAAAATATAATATATTATAATTTTACTTGTTAAACTAGACAATTAATTAGATGTTAAATTATATTATATTTGTAACAATTATGTTTAAAATAAATTTGTGTCTTAACAGCATTTCTTAACACTTATAATCTTATTATCAACATCTTCTAGATCTTGTATTCTTGCAGGAGTATCAATACCTATTTCTTCCCATATATTTACTGTATTTTTATTATCCTTATTCATATCAAATGACTCATGAATAAAGTTATCTAAAATGTCTACCAAACATAATATTGTTACAATACTATTTTTTATAACTATTTTAAATATTATACAAACAATATATTATAAAATATTTACTTGTAAGATCCATTGTAACAATATTATCATAGGTTGTTTCATTAGCGGAAGGCACACAATTATAATCTTGATAACACAGTTTATTTGAAGTTTTGCGTTCTGAATTATTATTGTAGAACGATTTTTGAACTTGAATAGTTGTAAACAACAAATTCAGATCATCATTATTATCTAGGTTATCATTTTGAAACAAACTCAGAGAGGATTGTTTTGTTTTAGATAAAATATAATATGTATTTTCTAATTTAGACACTAAAAAAAATTAATTAATATATTAGAAAAGGATATAATATTATATATTCAAATGTTCAAATATACTAAAATTTAAGCATAAAACAATGTTAAAAAGTTTAAAAATTAAAAACCAATTACAATATTACTTACAACTTTTATCATCCAGCATATCAGAAATTATAGTTTGAATATTTTTCAAATATTTGATTATAATTGCACATCTTTTAAGTAATTGATTTTTAGTTGAATCATTATAACTGTGACTTGTTTTTTGATTATAGATTAAACATGCATTATACTCTCTCAGAGCTAAAATAAAATATTTCAGTATTATAGAATAAAGATGTATCTAAAGTATATTTTTACCATTTTTATACTGCTTGTAAGTTGTAGAAAGTTCTTTATTTTCAAAAAGGGTCACTGTAAATATTTTTTCAATAAACTTTGAAAAATTAACCATTCCATTTAACAAATATACATATAAATCCATGTTGGTATTTGGATCACTCTTTTGGATAGTATCAATAATATTCATAGAAGTTTCTATTGTTGTCTAATAACAAATATAATAAGTAATTAGTATAAACTAGTAATAAAAACTAAAGTTTAAAAAAATTACTTGAATGAATGCATAGGGATCAACAATTTTGTCTAGAAGATTTTGTATTTCACAAATCTCACAAACCCAATGGTTTATTAGCACCTTTAAAAATGTTTTTTTCACTAATGAAGTCGGATCTAAATAAAACTCAATAATAGCTGGTACCATATCACTGTCCAAAAGTTCCAAGCTTGATATACACGATTTTAAAGGAATAACATCTAAATACATTTATAAATATTAAAGTATAAAACATTTAAAAAAAATTGATTGTATTAAATAAATATTCAAGTTGATGTAGGGACAGTCTTAGTGACCACAAAAACCTTGCACCTGTATTTAGTTATTAAGTGTCTGTCTATACTAATTAATTCTTTATATTATTAATACTCATACATAATCAATATTTTAAAATGGCGATCATTATACATTATACATTTTGATACATAATTATTTCAAAAAATGTTTACTTTTTTAAAAATATTATTTTTTAACTTTTTATTGTTATCAGTTTTAATTTTAAAATGACAAGATGTATGTTACAGGGGTATCGCGTTAAATTCTGATCTAATACTACTTCATCTAAATTTTAAATTTTAAATACTTATATAAGTTATAGTTAACATAACTTCCCTCTGGTACGTCAGATATCTCTCCCTCCACTCTGACCTCAAAATCCCAACCATTCATACAATAGCCGCCCACCATTATAAATCATTTCATAAAAACACTTTCAACCATTCAAATCCTCTAATATCAAGCCTCTTCTCTCTTACTTTTTCTGATAACCCACCCCGCCTTCTTAAACGGAATTGGCCCAGGGACCTACTTAACATTTAAAAAAAATTTAAAAACCACTTAGAATTATGAAGTAGGGTCAATGGACCCCCCGCATCTATCAAGCCATCCAGTCCTGTATACTTGTAACCCCCCTCCCAATATTACCTATTGTATACATTTATTACAGATTGTATATATTCTTGTTTTCTCATAAAAAAAAAAAACATAACAGAACATAACATCAAAGTCTGTAAAAATAATATTTTCAAAAAATTTAAAACTTTTTGAAATAGTGTATGCCTAAATATACCACCTTGTGTACATTTATTTGTTTTAAAGAACTAATGATTATTGATTTATAACTTACATTCATCATTTTTACAACAGGCCACAGAAAATAGTCCAATCTGAATTAATACATCAGTATATTTATCCAAATCACAAATCATATTAGATAAATCTGATGAATTTCTTAGTTGAATGTCAACAGAATCTCCACACTTTTTAATCAGTTTTTTAATAATAAAAAATGGATCATTAAAAATCTAAAATGTTAATAATGTATAAAAAAAAAACAATTAATATATTAGTAAGTACCTAATACAAAATAATATGTTTAAAAATTTTAGTATTTATTCCATAATTGATATACTATACCTTAAATATAAGGTGCAATACTGATGTATTAATTCTTCTTTCAAGAATAGATAATGAGGAAGATAAATAATCATATCGGAAAAAATTATCAGTTTCATTGATATTTATCTTTTCGAAGTGTTGAATCGCTGTTAAAACCTTAAATAATAAGTGAAATTGATCTAAATATTAAAATATTACATATTATTTATATAATAAACAGTTTTTACATGTTTAGATGAAGATGTTATTTCTAAGTTGTCTATTGTATCTGCAACTTTAGCAATAGTTATAGCTTGAAATAAAATTTTATTGATATTAGGTTTAATAAGTTCAAAATGATCCCTGTTGCTTAACGCATTTAAAACAATATTCATTTGATCGATGAATTTTCCTGGATGTTCATCTACGTCAGTTAAATCTATCATTTCCAAACAGTCTTCCAACTTATAAAAACATTTTTGAATTCGCTTAATTATGTACACGCTTAGAACCTAATATGAATAAATGCTTAGTATTAGGTATTCAAATAATAATATCAAATATAAACAGTGGTTGAATTGGGTGGGGACGCGGGGGGACGGAGTCCAACTTCTATTTTTAAAATATTTTAGCGTACCCCTTCTAATTTCAAGAATTGATAAGACATTTAAATGTTGGGGGGGCGCACAAATGTTTTATACTTTTGCATACCCCTTCTATTTTTTTTCCAATTCAAGCACTGAATATAAAATTAATTAATACTATGCAGCAAAATCAATAATAAATACATACCTTTTCAAAGTTTAGAACATTATTTTGTTCTGATATAGTTGTTTCATACAAGAGGAGACATTTTCGAATTTGACTTAAGCATACACAAAGCATGTAAACATTTTTATTTTTGAATGTTTTTAAAAAAACTTGAATTGATTTTACAAATTGAAGGAGTGGTCCGTTTATTAAATCCTGTTATTAAAATAAGTATACTTATTAAAACATTAGGACACAAAATATTCTGTTACCCACTTACTATGAATATGATTTTATATTCATGAAATTCTTTTTTCTCAAAATTGCATAAATATCTGGAACACTCATTTAAAACGATATCAATTTTGAAATATAAATCATCCATTATAATTTATAATCAGGACTATAGTACGGTATTGTTCGAAGGAAAATTGTAAATAAGTAAATAAATCAATGTTAAAAATTGTATACGATCCAACTCTCCAATTTCGAATTATAAAAATCTTTTAAGAATTTTCAAATGACGGTTGTAACTTGTAGACTGTAGTCAGTTACGATAACAGTGGAATGCCGTGATAGCATAAACTACCAGATAGATAATAGCTATAATACAGTATTGTCTATCTATTCTATCACGATGTCAACCTCTTAGCATAGAATATTATCATAGAATCGTATTATAGGCATTCTACAATATTAGCCGGTGGGTGGGTGGGTAAGTTGTCCGACCTTTAAATCTCCAATGGGCTCATGCCTAGTATGAGTAATGGGCCGTGGAATCGTACCTCGGAATAAGATCCCCAAGATCCGCTAATTACTAGATAATATAATCTATTGTTCAGTTATCAATTATAAGCTCTTTAGTTTTTAACCAAGGTACCATGGCAAAATATATTTTATAATAAGTATACCTACTACCTTAGTACAATTTTTCTTCTGGAAGGCGGAAGCTTAATAATATATTTAGTAAAGGTATTTAATATAGGTAGTATACTAGTATGCCTATTGCATATTTCACATTCAAATTTCCGTTTGCAGTTCCCAACGCGATTCATTATGTTGTCAATAGCATCTACATATATTAAAATATTAAATTATTAAAATTAATTTATTATAGTAATATATAATATTATTAAATTGCCACGATCAAACTTTACATAGTATGCTGCCATGCTAACATTTTGTAAAGTACGTTATTGGAATTAATAATAATTCCTAAATATTTAATTAATAAATGCATTAATATATTATAAAAAAAAATCTCAAACAAAATATTTTGTATATAATAAAAGTATACTTCTATTATTTTTTTTGATTGAAATGTGATAAAAAAAATCATTAAGTTGTCGATGATGAAAATTAACTTGCGATAGCATAGTTTGGTGTTCTATCTAAATTATCTTAAATAATTTTATACACTAAATAAATTTGATTTAAGTATAAATGTATAATATTATAATTATTGTCATATATTATTACAAAGTATTATTACAAAATTTTTTTAAAAAATATGTAACTTGGTGGTAGTTGGAATATTTAATTGTGTATAATTTGTTTAGTAGTAAGTATAGTTAATTATTGATTATAATTGTAGTTTTATCTAAAAACAATAATATAATGTAATTTAATATTCTGTAGCCGGTTAGTATAAAAGATTGATTCATTTAATGGGCGACTAAAATACTAAATAGGTACCAAAAGCTCACTATTGATTAATTTTTTTTAGTGATTGTTTATACATCCTGGCATATAAATTGTAGTATAAATGTTCCTTTTTTGTGTACATTGTACGTTGCATAAAAATAAAAATAAGATTGTAATTCTGATTTAATTTTCTGAAGCTGTAATTTTCCTGTTTGCTTGTAAAATATTTTGTTTGCTTTATTTTATTGTCACTATGTTTGTATATAGTCGTAGAATGATAAAGAACGGTGCAAAACGTAACTTCATTTAGTTCAAAAAGTTTTGGGGCGATTTTTTATTATGAGTACATGGTAGTCGATTCTGTTATTTTCACACAGTGTATGATATATAATAAATTAATTTAACAATAGACTTCTTATAAATATAAGTTACGGTTTTATGGATTAAACATAAAGTTGGATGCAAAAATAATTTGTGGTCTTTGATTTTATGCATCACCAGTGGCGTCATTTGGGGGGGAGCAACTTGGGCATTTGTCCCAGTCTAGTATTCACATCAACCTTAAGTCGGCACATTTACCACACCCCATTCATATTACATATTTAACTATTTAGATCCAATATTTATCCCAAGTAGAAAAAAAAAATGCTGGAAAACAATGTAACACTGTAGCATACAGCCCGTCATCAAATGTATTATTATACAGTATGTTAAAAGTAAATTAGAATATATAAAATTATTCTATACTTTGGTGATAATGTAATTTTTTTGTGAAAACAGTACTGTTCTTTTTTAAATTATATGTTTCTATGTAAATTTACATTAATGCAAAAACAAGTTTAAAAAAATATTTATTTTACTGGTTTTGCAAGATTTTTCAATATATAATACTGAATCTTAAAAATCTTATTCATATATTCAATTTTAATTAGAGAACATAAAAACATAATAAAATAATATTATCTCAATACTATTTGGTAGTATATTACTATAATATCTGTAAATACTTATAATACTTAAAATGGTACTTTAATCGTCAATATCATGATTTCAAATACGATTAGAATTATTTCATTACTATTTACAGAATTTACGCTATGTAACTATTTAAAACTCTTGTTATGATATTGATTATTTCAGCATATAAATATTTATATTATTTGTGAATTGAATTTAAAACTTGTTGGCTTAAAAGTTTTATTACCTACATATTTCTATATTGCATAAAATTACAAATATTTCTTTCTAATACAAAGTAAGAATAGCTAAAATGTGCAACATCTATTGATTAATAGGTAGGAATTGTATAAGTTTTATTATTATAAATATTTCAAATTCAATTTCTTTTAATTTATTTTATATATTATAATATTGGATGAGATTGAAAATATTATTTCTATCACACCTAATTTGTTGTTATCAGTACCCAGAGGACAGAGTTAAACCATTGCAATATTTAGTCATTCAGATATTCTTTTAGTATGTATTTTATAAAATATTTTTTTAGTGTTGATAATTACTGTTTTCAGTTCTTTTAATTATTGCTATAACTTTTCAAACATATTAGACATTTTTGTATTCTTGTATAGGTACGTACATGTTTTCTTAAGAAGTAGATGAAAATATTTTTTATGTACATATAATATATAATTTGATTGATGAAATTAATGTACTATTCATTTTATAAACAGTTCATTGTTTTATATAGTTAAATAGTTAAGTATAAATTCCAATATGAATTCATTTTTCAACATGTATACGGTTAACCTATTTGAATGATTACCTATTATTTATCAACGAGCCTGAAGGATTAATGTAATTTATCACTTTTGATTTTGAAATAGTATATATTTTTAATATATATTGGTATATTTATAATTCATACAATAACTATCTATCAAATATCTCAGGACAAACTAATATTATCTATCCATGCAAATAAATTGTTTCACAAAAAGATACATTTTGGTCGATTTGTTAAGTCGATCCTAATAATAATTATGTTAGAGTACTTTTTTTTAGTAGTTTTAAAATATGCCCATATTCCATGTTTATAAGATAATACAAATTATATTTTCAACATTAATATATTAATAATAAATATAAAAGTACTTTGGTACTATCAAAAGTTTATAACTGCATATTGGCTTTGATAATAACATTTTTATTAAATATTTGAATGAAATGTAATATCATATAATCTATTATTTTACACCAAAATGTAGTTATTTATTTATTTATTCAACTATTTTAGATTTATTAAACTAAGGCACTGAACAATTATGTTGAGTTCTACTAATAACAACGTTGATACTGGAAAATGGCAAGAATTTGTATCTGATGAAATTCAATTTGACCATAAAAAGTGAGTTTTAAAACATAATATTTATTTAAATAATTTCATTATGTTTTGTTTAAATTTTAGTTGTTTAGACAATGAATTACCTCTTTAATCAATAGAGATTTATCTTAAATTTTCTTTTCATTAATAAATTATTATTTTGTTTAAATTTTAGAAACTCAAAATATAAGTTGCCATTTTCATCAATATCCACGATTAATGTTGACTATAGAAAAGCAAAACTTCAAGATATTAATTTGGATGATACTGAATCTGACATAGAAAAGTAAGTTTAATGTCATATTTTAATTTTAATTATTAATAATTATTAACCTATTTATAATTTAGTTATTCAGATAATGAGCTACCTCTTTCATCAATAACAAATGTATTCCTTCCAATTGATAGCTGTAAAGTTGTAAAATCTGATTCAAGTCAAATATCCATCAAAGAACAAAGTAAAATAGATATACCAATTAAGAAGTATGGATGTGATATTTGTGGGAAAATATTTCTTACTCGTATTGCGATTATTGAACATTTTAGAACTAGTTTATGCTTTCCAGAAAGTCCTTTTGATCTGGAACACAACAACCCTACTTATAATTTTTGTAACAATTCTAAAAATGTAGTATCATACATCAACATAAGTAATTTAAAAACTAATAATACAAAAGATATGACCAACAAGTGCAGAATTTGTCAAAATGTAATTAGAAATGGCAAATTTATAAAAAGGCATAACATATTACATACTAAAGGAAATAACTTATGTAATATATGTTCAGTATTAAATAGTATTGCATGTGGAAATAATCACCACTTTAAAGAAAAGTATACATGGAAATGTAAAACTTGTGGGCAGTCATTTACTAAATTATCTGTTTTAAAAGCTCACAAATGCATTTTTCCAAGTAATAATAAATTGAACGCCCTGGAAAACCATAAAACTATTACATTGCATTGCAATATATGTTATAAACAATTCTTTAAACGGTCATCTTTAAAAAATCATAAAAGAATACACAATTTAAAACGTATCAACCAATACAATATTCGTTTAAAGTACTTAAATTATAGTGTATTGAGGCATACAAAAAGAATCCGCAGTTTATCTCAAAATTATGAATGTTCAAGATGTTCAAAAGTATTTCATAAACGTTCAGAAATAATATCTCATATTTTTGAAAACCATCCAGAAGATTATTCCAAATATAGTTGTGACGATTGTACAAATTTATGTGATTCTTCGAGGGACTATATTTTACGTTTAGGAAAAAACCATTTCAAATGTGATGTATGTCCCCAATCATTCACTACATCTCATAGACTACAACAGCATTATGGATGGCATCTTGGTATTGATCATTTTAAATGCGAATTCTGTCCTAAGACATTTTCGAAATGTTCTCTTTATTTATCTCATGAAAGAATGCACACTGGTGAAAAACCATTCAGGTGTAATTTTTGTGGCAAATGGTTTCCAGAATCATCAAATTTAAATATTCATTTAAAACCCTATTGTCAAAAACCGATGTCATCATTATTATCCCATAAAAGAATACATGCTAAAGAAAAACATCTAAAGAATAAGAGTTATAATCAGCTGTCTACTATGGAAGTACGTACAAGACGACAATGTACTAGAAGAAAGCAATTTAGGTGTAACATATGTGCCAAATCATTTTTTCATACATGGTCATTAAGTGCTCATCTAAAAACACATCAAAATAACAAGAATATGAAAAAATCATCCTTCAAAAAACATAAGAGACCACAAAAAAATGGCATATGCATAAAATGTGATTTATGCCAAGAACTATTTTATGACAAGAATAATTTAATCGCTCATAGATGCAAGTCATCTACTTGTACTTGTTGTCTAGAAGTATTTAATAATTTTTCTTCACTTAAAAGACACTACAGATCCATGCATCAAAAAAATAACCAACTCTATGACTGTGATATCTGTAATAAATCATTTATGTGTTCAACTAGTCTTAATGAACATAGAAAAAATCACACTCAGTTTGAAAAAAACACCCCTCTTAAACTTAATTCCAACAATGAAATAAATACAGTAAATGAAGAAATGTACTTAAATGAAGAATATAAATGTGAGCTTTGTATGAAAAGTTTTTTCAATCAAGCTATATGTGCTCATATTCTAGAAACTCATTATTAGGTTAAATATTAAGCATAAGTGAATATAAATAAAAAAATTTTTGTAAAAGAAATTAAGCTTTGATCATGTATTCAAGTGTCATATTAAATTAGGATTTACTAAGGCAAAAATCTTTTTACTATCTATTTGTAGTACTGCTATTAAAATTTAGTTTTTGTATGTATTATAACAGTTTGAAATTAAAAAATCTATAGAATAGAATTAAAATATAAGATATTAATTTCTTTTTAATATTATGTTATTATGTATCATTACATTATAATTGGCTTGCTTTGTAAAATATAAAGTAGAATAATGCAATTCATTCTCACTAATTAAATATCAATGTATTGTAATAAACTGGTAAAGACGATTATAAGACTATAATAAAAAACTATATATATTCAAAGGTTAAAGTTAAGTTACTTATCCAATTATAATATTTTTCTAAAGGTATCAGATTTTAACATGGAGTATACCTACCTACCTCTAAATATAAATTGTCTAAGTGACTGTATTGTAATTTTTTGTTGACAAAGAATGATGCTTATTAATAATGTATTAAATTTATTGTATTTAAAGTAAAATATAATATATGCTGTAATTATTTTATACTTTGATCCAACTGTTTTAGGGGATTCAATATATATGTTTAAAATAAAAAAAGTTATCATTAATCATCACTAATTGTACATGAAATTTTCATTTTTATATAATATTTTTTAATAGATTTTAATAAATTATTGTATATACCTACAATAATTACTACTGAACAATCATAAATATCAGTAAAATAATGCAATCTATAAATTAATTATGATCAATAGAATGCTTCAAACTACAGTGTAAAAATAAATTTCCATCAGAGAAACAAACAATCTCCGCAATTATTGGGTTAATTAAGTACAATAATGAATGAACCATTGTTACACACTTATCAGTTATTATACTCATGTTACCATGTAGTTCCTACAAGGGTACACCTATAGGCTAGCATATATTGTTGAATACCAAAATATAGTAGTTTATTGAAATTGAAATTGAATGAGCAAATAGTCCAGACATAATTTAATTTTAATTTAAAATTAATCACTTGGTTTCTACCGACTACACTTAAATAGATTTAAATTTATTGTCCTATTTTTTTTATTTATTTGTCTTGCGTTGCGCTTATCCGAGTTACCATAAATATATCATGATATCAAACACAATTAAAATTATGCTGAATGGGCTATTTAAGTATCTATTGTAAACCATTTGATTGTACACGATAGTGACAGCAAATAAGCATCTAATGAGTATTTTATTGATAGCTAAATAGTAACATATAAAAATGAATTTAATATTTTACACATTAGACCCAACAATAATGGTAGTACTTAAAAGTTAATTTTTTTCCTTTTGTTATTATAAAGCAATGACATCTTGATGATTGGCACACTCGCTTTAATTCAGACTGTATGGAATGAAAGGACTCGCATAGACTTAGTATACTGTGCAGTTTGCATTTCCAATAACAGTCAATAATTAATAAAAATGTGGGCCAATAAGTGCAATAAAAACGTATGACTTGATATTTTTAAGTTGCTAAAAGAACAAGTTATGAATTATGAGAAACCATATTGTAGATAGGTATTACATTTTCAAGGTTTAGACCAAGAAATTTTTTTTATCATCATTTATAGAAAAAAAATTCGATCATTTCAAATGTCCTACAAATAGATTAAAAAAAGAAAAATATTCAGAAAATGTATTGAAACTTGAAAGTAAATAAATTGAATATAAAGTTTTGGTAAATATGTCAATTCTCTATAGGGTTATTCTTAATGAACTATAACAAAAATCAAATTGAAAACCGCTCCTCAGTAAGTATTGCAATATTTCTGATTCTTTAGTAGATTGTTGTCACGTCATCGACCTATCTACCCATTAAAAATTAAATATGTACACTCAAACATAAACATAATCTGTACACTGTACTTACTATTTGTGTGGGTCTCTAAATATGGACGTGTTAAATTTGAATTCAATAATATAAAATCACTGGTTACGAAAAACTAAAGGATTTTGAGCGAAAACGGTCAGTCAGACTTTACTAAAATCGTTATTCTCCTATAAAATATCTAATCAGTGGCTTGCTGAACTGCTATTTTTTTATGGAAAATAAGGGAAGATCCTCAGGGAACATATTTTAAATATCACATAAATGTATACAATTTGTTAAAGTATCAATTGAGTACGAAAAATCTGATGGTGGTAGGGTGGGTGGTCAAATAGTATAGTTTGCCTCAGGTCTGAAAAATGTTCTGCACGCCACTGTATCTAATAACGTAGGTACCTACCTACAATTTTAAGTTAAAATATATACCTATATAAAAAAATCTGTATTTATAAATTTTTCGTTTAACTACTATAGAAGCATTATTTTAATTTGTCTATTCTTATAAATTATAATAGAAGAACATTTTAAAGTATCTGCATTTTAGTATCATATTCATTTTGTTTTTGAAGTACAACGAAATAAGAAAATCGTTTGATGAGAAATCTGGTGAATATCCATTATCCAATGTCATAACAATTTAAGCTTGATAGGTAACTACGCTCATCAAAAATGTATGTGACCTTCCGGTGTGCGTACTGCGTATACTTATTATTTTTGTTGAAGTTAGAAAAACTTGTGTGGAATCCAGTATTAAATTTTAAAATTTAACTCGAAATAATTTGCAAATTTATGTTATTTAGCTGGGTAAAAATATTTTGTGAAGAAACTGGAAAATGGTCATATAAACATTTGATGAAAACTTAGTATCTACGGTTATATTTGTTTTTGAGTTACAGTGTAACACTAAATACACAAAATACATTTGGTCAAAAACTGGTTTTGCGTACATATTCCCGTTTTTTCAGGTTGTTCCTAATGTTTTTTAAAATTACTGAAGTGATGAGGATTTCATAATTTTGACCTCCTGAAAAACCAACTAGATTTACTTTCCTATACCAGACAAGATGCCGAAGACTGAAGTAGAATATCGAAGCATTACTAATTTCTATACTGTCCTAAAGGATGATGAAAGAAGAGCATAGGCATGCGCATGGGTAGGGCTGATTGGGCTTTAAACCTATCTGAGATTTTTTTATACGTGGGGGGTTGGTACCTTATGAAGACATGACTAAAAGTAGTTATAGCCCAGAGTCCTTTTAGTTTTTAAACGTTTGAGTTTAATCATTATTTCAAAAAGTGTTGTTTTTGAAAATATGTTTTTACATAGTTTCGAGTCGTTCACAAAACAATTTTGTTATAAAAATATCATATTTTTAAATATTTTTTCTTTCCAATTTTTTTATTTTTTAAATTTTATTTTTGACAACAAAGTTTTAATTTCATATTCCAAATTAGAATATTTTTCTAAGTATTTCGATACCTACATAAAAATCGAATTTAGTGCGAGTAGTCTATGCGTTATAAGTGTTTTAAGTTTAGATGAGCGGAGTTGAGTGGTACGGGTTACCCCGCGAAATGTGTGTCCACTACTCAGCTCATATAAATTTTAATATTTATACCCATTCTTTCTTCTTTTTCGGTTTTTAAAGGCCATTGAGGCCCATTACCGCAACACAAACTTGATTCCATCTGTCTCTATCTTGTGCTATTGTTTCTCCATCTCGTATTCCGATCTCTGCTAAGTTCTTCTCCACTTTGTCGATCCACCTTTGTTTCGGCCTGCCAAGTGGTCTTTTCCCCTGGGGTTTCCATTTTAAAACTTCTTTCATAAGACAATTTGACCTCCATACATGACCGGCCCATGCCATTCTCCTATTTTTTAATACTGCTACTATGTCTGGCTCTTTATATAACTGTTGTATTTCTATATTTTCTTTTCTCATATTGTTGTGTCATGTTATTTATTTTTGGCCCAAATATTCTTCTTAATATTCTTCTTTCGAGTATTGCTAATTTGTCTTCGTCTCCTTTAGTCGTTGGCCATGTTTCACACGCATATAGAAGGACTGGTCTGATAATTATCTTGTATATTGTGATTTTTGATTTGAGTGATACCTGTTTTGATTTTAGTATACTCGTTACTCCGTAATAGCATTTATTTGCTGCAGTTAGTCTTATTTTAATTTCGTAGTGATTATTATTTTTGCTATTTATTGTAACACCCAGGTATTTAAAATTTTGTACTCTTTCAAATTTATAATTCTCAACTTCTAAATTTTCCTCGTGATTTTCTCGCCTAGATATTACCATATATTTGGTTTTCCCTTCGTTTATTTGTAATCCAATGTCTTTGCTGTTTATTATTAGTTCTTTGGTTACTGCTTTGACTTCTTGACTGTCTGATCCCAATATTATGATAATATCATCTGCGTACGCTAGTACTCCGCATTCAGCATTGTCTTCTGTTCTCTTCCAAGTTTACCCCACCATATTTTTTCTGAGTTTTTCTAACTACCATTTCTAAAGCTATATTAAAGAGTATTGGGGATAGGGCATCTCCCTGTCGAAGTCCAGTCTAAACTTCAAATTCATCTGATATATGCTGATTGAATCTAACTTTACATCTGGTTTTATTCATACATAATTTGATCATTTTCACTATCTTAGCTGGTACCTAACCCAAAGGTTATAAGTGTGTCCCATAGTACTTCTCTATTAATTGAATCATAAGCCTGTTTATAGTCAATAAATAGTAGATGTAGATCATTGTCGAATTCATAATGTTTCTCAACTAGTTGTTTAACAGTGAAAATGTGATCTATGGTGGATTTACCACTCATAAAACCACATTGGTAGTCCCCAATGATATCTTTTATGTAAGGTTTTATTCTGTTTAGTATGAGACCTGACAATACTTTGTACATTGTATTTAGCAACGATATTCCTCGGTAATTTTGGTATCTTGATCTGTCTCCCTTTTTATAAATTGGACATATTATTGCTAATTGCCATTCTTTTGGTATTTCTTCTTTATGCCATACCTACATCCCTGACCCATACCTGAATCATGGGACCCATGATTCCACGTTAGTAGTAATTCTGTTACTAAAAAATCTAAGAACTACATTAGCAATTAATTTTTTATAGTCATTTCAAGTTCAAACTTGGACAAAATTACATATTAAAAACCTAGAATAACTATTTTAGTTATTTTGTTGTGGCTGTATAATATTATTTGTGGGAACTTTAAACTTCTAAAGTATACTTTAATATATCTATGATAGTATCAGGGTTTGTTGTTGATGTATAACACGTTATAAGTACCTAATGGATATTGTGATATGATCAATTCGGAATTTATTATATGTAGGTACGAGGTACCTATTATAGGTCAATTTTTTTAATACCGTAGATAAGTATATAATAATATGTCTTATACCTAGACTGACATATTGTCTCCGCTCAGCATCGTTTTTCTTATGCAATGATATTATTTCATTGAATTCAAATTTAATACCATCCATTATACAGTGACCCACTTGTAACCTACTGTACAGCCGAGCACCTTTTTAATATTATATATTATATTTTGAATGTTTTTGAATAAATTGCTTTACTAGGATTAGATTATATTTGGTTAAAATTTAAATCAATATTCATGAATTTTGTATATGTGAAATAATGAAAATTGATTGTTTACATTTTCCAGTAACCAACAAAAGGGTCACTTAAAAGTTTGTAGTGAAAATGTCTATACATTTTTTCTTGTGTGACCATGACAAGGGGGTGGGTGATCAGATTGAATTTAGCTTTATACCTGACTCAGAAGTCTGCGCACGCCTATGAAGAAGAGAATATACATAAACAAAACAAATCATTGTAAAATCAATACATACCCGAATAATATTTTTTTTAGGTGGATTTAGGAATGAATATATTTGCAAACTTAGGGGGGCTATGAATTGAGCCCATTGCTTTTACTCAGATTCTAAAATGTATTTTTAGGTATTTTAAAACTATCAAGAGAATATAAATTATATTGATGCCAAGCACAGATCCGAGGACCTCCCCTAAAAAAATTCATAAAAATGCGTTTGTATGATGTATAATAAGTTTTAAAAATTATTATAATTTATACTGGATCCATTTTTTTCTTTATATAAAGGCCAAGCCAATACACTTTTTATTGCTCTTTCGTACCTATTATGTATTGTAGGCAGCTTATAGTAATAAGTATAAAAACAATTTTGCGCCCCCAAACGAGCATATAAATTAGTTAGTTAAGCACTTAAGCCAAACGTATTGCAATAGCCCAAAGGACAAATTCCTAATTCCCAACTTAGGCCTTAATGAATATTCCTATCTAGTTACACGAATTAGTTGGTTAGCTTTTCCCACAACACAAACCTAGTTGATGATTGTTAGACCAATATGGCAATAATACAGTTATATTTACAGGTCTTAGAAACCTATAACTTGCAGCCATAAACTCATAAATAACGCTGTATAGCAAAGTAAACAATGCCAAAAGGTTTATTAAATATTTAAAATATTAATATTATACAGTACCTTCACCATTGTCCATAAAATGCGAGTAACCCTAGTTCTCCAAGTTAGCATATTGATAGGAGGTAAGTTCCCAGGAGTATGAGTTGAAAAATAACCGAATTATCTATTATGATTTATCTATAACATTAACTTATAAAGTAGCCGGGTAGGTGATTATACATATGGTAAATCAAATTAATTTTAATTAAAATATGTAGTCTCCACTCAACAATTCAAAACCATACTGGCAATGCAAATAATACTGGTACTCAACATGTTTGTGTTCGGTTAGAAAGATATTCACTAAGTGTGACATAATACATAAACAATGAGTCAGTTATCTGCAAATTGTTACGTGTTATTTATTATAAAAGATATTTTGGATTTGCATAAATGTATAATGTAAATATGACATTTTGAGTAAACGCGAGGTGTACTAGTACCTAAAACTAAAATAAATCAAAATTGTCCCAAATCAATCCTAAAAAATATTTACGATGCCCAAATAAAGTATTGCACGACACAAGAAAACTAGTATTATAAACAATATTTTTAATTGTTTTATGGCTAAGCATATTTTATTCACATAAACCTTTTTAATAAATTTATATTATAATATAAGTATACAAAAAAAGATGTTATACAATATTATATAAGATTTTAACACCAATGTATAAATTTATTTCATGTCTATAATAATCAATAATCATAATAGTTTTTCTATTTCTAGGTAATTTTAATGTCCTAGAGCAATAAACTACCTTCATTACCTACTCTAACATCCTCAAAACAACAATATTAAGTTAGTAATTTACATCGCTTTAAAAAAAATTTTGAACTTCTGAAAAAATAAGACTCAAACGTATAATAAAAACAGAATATATTCAAAGAATAACCTAATATGTAAAAGGAAAATAATTGACTAATTTTAAGTAATACAAATGATGTAAAGGTAAAATATTTGTATAGGTATGATTTACAAATTAAAAAAAAAATGTTCTATTCATTAGAATTAAGGAATGTATTCAGAATAACTATTACATTTTTAAGGTAAATATTTAATCATTATGTGGAGCCTGATATAAAAAAGCTTTTGTGCTTTAACTAAAAAATATTGGAAAGAATTAAAAAAAAAGAATGTATTTAAGGTAGCTTACCAAATACAAGTTTAATTACGTGTTTTCAGTTATAATACACATATTTTATATTTTTTCCCCTAACTCCAGCAATGTTTTCAAACATCATGGTTCATTGTCACTGCATTTCTTGTGTTAAACAAGAGCACACGCGAGTCTTTAAATGTTTTAAATAATTTAAGTAAAGAAAATGAGTGTCCAACTTATACAATAAAATTAGAGCATGGCGTTGACAAGTATTTTTTTTTTTTTTTTGAGTATATAGGAAACCACTTTGTGCTTGTGCATTGCAAACAAATGTGTATCAGATCCCGACCACTTTGATTGATAGAACCCTATTAGGGTGCGTTTAGACGGAGCGAGTTTGACTCGCGAGTCATATTCACGCATCACTACCGTGAGCGAGTCCCGCGAATCTGATTCATGGTGAGTCGTGACTCACCTAGATAAAGGGTGAGCCCTCAGTAGGATACTAATTAAAACGTTTACACGGCGCGAAACAAAAGTGCGAATCACCTTTGACGCGCACCTCGAGACCGACGGCTTGCCACGCATCCGCCTCGCGAGTCGTGATTCGCGTTCTACAGCCGTCTACACGTCACGAGGATTGATGCGAGAGTCTGACTCGCAAGTCAAACTCGCGCCGTTTAAACGCACCTTTACAAGTGCAATACTGTTATCAGAACCATAATGCAATACACTCAAAACACTGTTCGAGTTAGCATGCATGTCTCCCTTCCCTATATTCAAGCTGTGTCACACAAAAACGAGAACCGTGCAATTGATGATTGCAACTGATAATAATCTACAGTCAATCACAGAACATCTGGTGGCAGCCAGTGGGCATATGTCTCTCAGACAAATATTTGAATACGCTAGAGCATATTTAGCTTTCTTATTCTGAAATCTGTGTATTATCATTATAACTTAGTTAATAGTTTTTAATGTCAACATTAAAGAGTTAAGATTTTAATTTAATTTATGAATCTCCTGAAGATGAACATATTTTTAAAGCCTGTTTACATCAACAAATGTTAAATACAAAATAGATAAGGTTGCTAAAATCTAACATATGTTAATGAAAACAGGCAAAAATGTCAATAACATTTTTAGGAGACTCCAAAAATGACTATTTCAAGATTAAATGTTAACAAACATTAAAAAGTATTAAACTTGTGATAAGTGAAGGGTATACATTTATGTAATCTAAGTAACTAAATAAGCGTCGACCCTCAGAATAATAAACTGCTAAGCTGATATTACAATATTTGTCAAAATTATAAATAAAAATAACTCAGTAAATAATGAATACCATTCATACACTTAAATATATCAACTATCAAAAAATTAAAGAATTAAAATTTATTATAAATAGTAATATTTATTATAGTTAAATTTTTGTAAATTTATACAATTACAAAGTTGAAATCATAAAAAAAAGTCAAAAATGTAAAGATTGAAGTTACATGCTATACAACTTACTTTTTCTTATTAAACTTTTTATTTTTTTGTACTTTGCCACCTTTAAATTTTGAACCATTTTTACCTTTATTTGGCTGACCTTTTCCATTTTTGAAACCACCCTTAGATTTAGGCTTAGGCTTATCTTCTTCACTTTCTTCTTCATCATCATCTACTTCAAGACCTTCGGCAGTTTCATCATCATCATCATCATCATCATCATCATCATCATCATCTTCTTCATCTACTTCGAGAGCTTCAGTTTCATCATCATCATCATCATCTTCATCATTAGAAGCTTCTTCTTTTTTAGATTTTGGAGTCTTGGAATCTGGTTTTTTAGGCCTAACTTTATTGTCTTTATTTATACTATCTACGTTACCACCAACAGCTTTGAATTCACTGATTAATTTTTCATAAACTCCATCCAATACTTCATCACTAGTATCCTTAAACTTGGAAAATCCTTTAGTAATCATATTCTGTAAAAATATCAAAAATATTATTAGAAAAACACTAAATGTCCACAAAAAAATGAAATATTGTCTTACTTTCAATTTTGTACTCCTTTTCGGAATAGAAGATTTATTTTTATAATCTCCCAACAGCTTGGCAACACTACTCTCTTCCTCAGAAAGATTAGTCATATTTGATACATTTTGAATAGCTTTAGACCATAACTCTTGTAGTGCCAATTTTTCAGGATTAGGAGGAGTTTCTACTTTAATTTTTTCTCCTTCTTTTTTCAATACAGTTGGCTTGACAATATCTTTTTGTTTTTCTTTTCTAACTTGCACACCACCTTTACCTTGTTTCTTCGGAGACTTATTTCTATATATTAAAAAATCAAAATATATTAGGTATTATTAATAACATCGAAGTTTAAATTTTAAAGAATTAACAGATATTTCATTGGATTCAGGGAAAATAAAACGTAAGAAATAAACAATAAATAATACTTAATTGATTTTGAATCCTTTACAACAATTCAAATTTATGAAAAATAAAATATATAATTGTATACAGGATGATTTTTAAGCATACTCATACCATATTTTCAATTTTGTTTAAATTATGCATAATTTCAAATACTAATTTTTGAAAATTTGAAGCCTAGTTAAAGACAATATTTTCAAATACCTATCTTAGATTACTCTAGACTTGTTATGACATTTAAATAGTATCCAGGGCATTGGCAATGGTGATATTAATATTGGTTTTTCAAATGAGTAGATACAAGTTTTGTGAACCAGAAGATTTTTTTGTTTTGAAAATTTGGTGCATGTAATTGAGATTTGAACAAAATGTTTCTGAGTTATTCTACTTTAAATACACAATGATTTTGATACAAACCCCATTTAAAAACTAAATATAATAACTACATGGTCTCTAAAATTTGAACCAGCTGTAAAAAAAAATTGATTTGTTAAAATTACCTGTTAAAATCAATCCCATATAAAACAATATTCACCATGTCAAATATACGCAAAACTGGTCCACCTAAATACACCCCCATATCACATATTTGTGACACTTGGCCATGAACATGTTAATACATCATAAAATATCCTTAGGATTTAAAGCATGATAAATCAAAAATTGTTCATCTGAGTATTCGAAAATAGTCTTAAAAACTGCCTACACTTATACATTCCAAAAACTTAAATTTTAATATAAATATAAAAACGGGGCGAGCAAGCTTAAAAAATTACTCTGTATGTACATATATATATGTTCCTAACATTGTATGTTTAATATTTGATTTGTTTATTAGCCGGAAGGTGTATTCAACAAGCTATTTTAATTTCAACTTTCATAAGCATTGTATTTTGAGATTAGTATGTGCGGTATTTAAAATTGTATAACATTATAATTTATTTATATTGTGCATTATGTTCTACTTTATTAGTTAATTTTTGATGTATAGGTACAGTATAGTAGGGTTAAGACTCATTGAACATGTGTTCTTATTAACAAAATCTGTAATCTATGATTATGGTGACCAGATATTTAAAAAAAAAAGTACAAAGCCCGTAGGTTTTACAATATAACATCTTATTACGTTATATAAAAATATAAAATACAATACAAATTAAACAACCTTTATTCATTTTGAAACATAACTGACATAACATATCATAAATTTGGTATCTTACTATTAATTAAAAAAATTTACTTATTTATTATTTGACTTGAATTGTATGACTTTCGTAACAATACAATTTAAAAATTAATAAACTTTTAATTAAGAAAACATTCAATTTTTTTTTTACATATAATCTATTTACCCAAACATTTAACTTACCTACTTAATACGAAATACAATTTCATATCTTTAATAACTAACTTATAAAAGGAACAAATATTAATATTTTGAATATTTTTGAGATCTATGCATTTCTTTAAGTATATTTTATCTGTTTTTAAGTTTTTAAACACTTCATAACAGATTTTGTCATTCAAAAAAATTCAAAAACTTAAGTATTTTGGACGTATCATAATTTTAACCTTAACATTTAACTTACCTACTAAATAAGAAATATAATTGATATAATTAAATATAATATAACCTATTTAAAAATAACTAACTTATAAACGGAACAAATATCAATATTTTAAATATTTTTAAGAACCATATATTCTCTAATTTCCATTTGGAATTTTTTACATCATTTAAAATAAGTACTTTTTGGTGTAATTCAGAAATTTATTTAGGACAATAGGACATGTCTTCAAAAAGAAGTACTGTCCATATAAAATAAGTAATAAGTACTGGTCACCATATGTATGTACACTCATAATGAAGTTAGTTTTCAGTCTTGACAAGCCTGTAGTGTATGTTTATAACAAATATTATGTATTATACTAAGTAGTATTACCACTTCTTTATAATAATCTATTCAGGATAAGTGTGTACAGGCCTACAGTCCAGCCGACAAAAACTGTACGTGTCGGTATATGGGGGACCTATACACACATCGCCAACAATTAAGTTCATTGACAAAGAGTCTAGTAAATAGTAGTTGCCTAGTGGTCCTACAGGATTGGCGGCTCAGTCTGCATAGGCGAGACCGGTATACACTTAATCTGTGTAGAATAATAATAATTATTTATTTTAGTCTCCATACGCTATTTCTCACTAATCTACTTACAATATAAATATTTTACAATTTACAAAATTGACATAAATGATTTAAGCTTTTTAAGGAGCTATTTATTTATAAAAAATTAGTACCTATAACAAATCATCTAAACATTTTTTTACTCGACACAATATTTTACAAATATTGTTTGGTATTTATATTAACATCTAACCAATACTCAGTACTATCACAAAATATTTAAATGTTTGCATAATTACTTGTTTGTATTCATGGGCTTCTTAGCAGAATTATTAGTCTTTAGCTTCATCTAGAACATATAAGATATGTAATAATTTAAAAGCTACAACAATCAATGTTACCTACTATAGAACACTAGATTAATAGATACTGTTTAATTTAGTTTAGAAATAATATTATATCATAAATAATATAAATTGTGTAAATAATATAACATGTGTATTTGTAGTAAAACAAAATGTAATAAAAATAAGCTATTCATTTTAAAGATAATTTAACTTTGAATAATTATTTGAAATGCATAACATTTGTTTCCACATTTTAAATTAGAAATCATAAGGATTAAGGTTCACATAATTCTAATATAAAGTGACATTATGATTAATACGAATTTGTAATTATAAATCATACTTTAATTATCTTACCTTTAATAGTAGTTAATAAATTGGAAAATGTAAATATCAGTAAAAAAATTAGTATAATAATTAGAACAAAATACTCTAAAACTTATGAATTAGTAGTATTGAGTAAGCTGTAAGCAGTGAGCCGAATGTAAAATGTTGATCGGATAACCACACCAACACTTCAGCAACACACAGAAATTTCAAATGAAGTATAAACACATTTACTTAAAACACGATTTAAGTATTGATTATTTTAGGTTATAATTACGAAGTATAGACGCACCATGGAGCAAAATCTGATAAATTCTCATATGAATGGAAGAAAAACAATAAACATCCTTGATTTTACTCTGCGCGTACACATAAATCTTTGCAGGGGGCAGGGGAGTTTGTAAATCATAATTTTTAACCACTAAAAATTACAAATTACAAAAAGGTTTTTTAGGTAATATAAAAATAAAAAAAGGTGAGCTAGTCTGCTGTTCATTAGAAGGGAAGTGGTAAAATGATGTTTCTTCCCCGTTAAAAAAACCAGTCAATAGTATGGTACCTACTACCCAGTGGTGTATTGGTAAATAAATTTATGGGTATACGCACCTAAAAGTAGTTGAATATAGTATATACCTATATATACGATATACCTACCTTAAAAATTTTCTCGCTCCGCTCAAAAAATGATTACACTTTGTATTTAATAATCTTTTATAACTTTATTACAAACACTTACTCTTCATGTGTATATGTATATGCAGTGGCGTATATACCCCCCTATATACGCCCCCCAGTTCGCCCTATATTCACCCACAACCATAAAATGAATTCATATATACTCCACTGTGTGTAATATGTACCAAGTATCAATGTATTATTTTTTTTTTAATTAATTCAATTTCATGGTATAAGTCTAGTTTACCGGGCACCTTTTTTTTTTTGAAATTTTTTTTTAAAAGTGTTGCCAAACGGTCGCCAAACTCGAGGTCCTCCGCGCGGCATTATAGTAGTGTTGCGCGCACGCGTATAAACGTAAAATCGTTAACTTTGGGAAGCTATAACTTCCAAAATAATCATTTCCGCAATTTTTTTTTGCACCATCGTTCTTAACTCGTCAAAACAACCCTTTTCAAAAAAAAAATTTCAAAAAAAATATGTGCCCGGTAAACTAGACTTGTTGGGAACAATTGATTCATATATGATATATATCATAAATAATACAACTTTTTACTATCAAATTTTAAAACAATTGTACAGTAAAATACTTATATAGTAGAAGTAGCGGTACGTTTATTATCCATTATCGATCATATAATATTATAATATATGTGTATACAAATATTTATATATATATTATTTGTATAAAATATTTTACAAATTTAAAAGAATTTCAAAATTAATAGAATTAATATAATGAGAAACTAATAGTTCGATTTTATAATTTGGTTATTGGATGACAACAGACAAGTAATAACACAATACATCAACAATAATTATTTTATTATTATTCTAATTTGTCATTATCATTTAGTTTGAAATGAAATTACGTATGTTTATTCACAGTTTGAGAACCGCTGTACATTGATTGTTCATTGATTGATTGTATTGCTCGGCAGTTTCCGATCGTCTTCGCAAGAAAACGTCGGGTAAAATTTAATCGAACTTCATGCGGGTACGGGGCTATTTTTAGTATTTTTGGACAGTGCACTTTATGTTATAATAAATTAATATTATAACTAAATATAATTTAGGTTATTATTATTATTATTTTTAAGTTTTTACTTTTGTTTGGTGATAATATGCCTAAATTGTCTGATGATAAATTAGAAGCGTGCGTATACCCATAAAAGACTAATTTTCTTAAAGGTATACGCATAAATCCAAAAATAGGGATCCGGGTATACGACGTATACCCGCGTATACCCTCCAATACACCACTGCTACTACCTAGTATAATATTATGGTACCTTCCTATTATTAAGTTAGGACATTTGGCCTCTGGGAGTAATAATTACTCCAGGAGGCCAAAATTCCAAAAAACCAAAATACAATTATTGTATGATGTTCTTAACCCTTTTATTTACAACGTTTGGTATTTTGGTCCAACTCGTCCAAGGTATTTAACTCACTAAATTCATATTGCTTTTTTAGATTCTGAGTGAAACGATGATGTATTCATTTTACAATAAAGTGTGTTTTTTTTTTATTTTTTTTTTGTGTTCGTCATCGCCTTATACTGTTAGGACAGTAAAAATGCTTAGATTTTCTTCAACATTATCTTTTCTGTTAGGAAAGTAAATCTAGTTGGTACTTTGGGGGGTCAAAAGTAAAAAATTTCCAGTAGTTTTCAAAAGTACCGTGAAAAACAAAAGAAAAACAAGAATTTTTACTCAAAAATGCAACAAAAAGTTGCAACTCTTAAACAAATGACCTTACATGAAATGTTAATTAAATGTTGATATTACCATTTTGTAAACACCTTAACATTTTCCAAATTTTTGATCTGTTTACGGACATTTTCAGTTTCCATTTTGTTTAGTTATTTTTTCTATAAATATCAATAAAATTTTATTTGTAGGTTAAAAAAACTTGAAAATTTAATAGAAGGCTCCTAGTATATAGTTTCAAAGGCACGTGCTCCCTAGACCCTAATCCCTATACTTTAATTATAGCGTTGTGTATATAGGTAGGTATGCGTAAAAAGGCAGTGCAGCGAGCGAGTTGCAACAATGGCAACTCGAGTTTGAATACAATATAGGTATAGTAGGTACTACAATATACTCATTAGCCTATCTACCTGATATAATTATCATCAAGATAATTAGATATAACAATATTAGTAATAATATTATACAATTTAGTTATAAAATAGCGATATTGATATAAATATAGAACGAAGACCAATTAAAATGTGCAATTTTGTTTGTTTTTTTTAATATCCTAATTATAATTTATAGCAGTTAACTTATAAAATATTTAATTTTTAAAATAATTATAAGGTACTTATAAGTAGGTACGATAAATACGATAAAATCAGTTTGCCCGAAAGTGCAATAGCGACATAGGCGCACATTGGGTGTGAATTTAGGGGGTGCTGGGATAATTTATGGTTCACACCCCCCTTATCCTAATATTTCTGCATTGCATTAGATTTAATTTGTATAGTGTATACAATAATTTCTAAAGTTATACATTTTTAACTATAAAATTATTATTAAATTTTAAATGTGATAAATTTTGTCTAAATTTGAATTATAGATTCACTTTCCTATCAGAAAAGATACTGTTGAAGAAAATCCAAGCACTTTTACTGTCCTAAAAGATGATGACAGACAAAAAAAAAAAATGAATTCGTGAATTCGTAAACAGTTGTCAATATTTGTAATGAAAAGAAAAATTCCGAACCAATAAACCACGATAGTTTATAAATGATTGGTGAAATACTGAAATAAACTGAGGGTGCTAGTTTGAAGCTTGGGGGTGCTAAGCACCCCCAAGCACCCCCCTATGTGCGCCTATGAATAGCGAGTAGGTTATTTTTTAGAAATTCTTATTTTAATATAATTAAACAGTTTACTGTTATAATGTCAAATTTAAATCTTTTAAACATTTTTAAAATATTTAATTGAGACAAAATTATTGTCCCCGTAAAAAGAATTTAAATAGGTTATACACGCTCCGCTCGGCTGCAGTACCTAATGTAGTGGTGTTGAGCGCATGCGTAGGTATAAACCTAAAATCGCAAACTTTGGAAGGCTATATAACTTCCAAAATAATGGTTTCCGCACAAAAAATCAAACAGTTTAGAAATCAGAGTTGAAAAACACGTATTTCAAAAATAAAAAAATTTCGAAATTCGTGAAGGGCCTGGTAAAGTGCATTTGTTCCGCCGATGTTTAACGGCACTTTAACCTGTATATCTTAAATCGTGGTGTAACTCTAAAACAAATTATCATAAATACATGAAATTTTCACTGAATGTTTATATTAGCCTTTTCTATACATAAAAAAATGTTGACTTGTTTTGAGCTGTTTACGGATATACTCAGTTTCCTACTTTTTTAGGTATTTTTTCTAAGAAATGTCAATAAAACTTTATTTGTTTAAAGCTTCTACTATGTTGTTACAATGATGTTTGAAAAATATTAAAAATCCTTAGTCAAAGTTTTTTTATAAGCATTGAAAGTTCAAATATTGACAAAATACGGAAAAACAAGAAAATTAGCAAATTATTTTGAGTTAGAAATTCATAAAAATGAAAAATGAAAATGTCCCTAAACAGTTCTAAATAATTTAAAATATTTTGAAAATGTTATCGTGTATAGAAAATGTAAATGTAAACAACCAGTGAAAATTTCATGTATCTACGGTCATTTGTTTTAAAGTTACACCAAAAACCAAATTCAATTTTGTGAAAAATCGATTTTGCGTAAAAATTTCCGTTTTTCCTTAATTTTTCTTTTGTTTTTCTTGGCGCTTTTGAAAAGTACTGGAAATTATAAATTCCGACCTCCCCAATGCACCAACGATATTCACTTTCCAATCGAACAAGATACTGAAGTCGAAAATCGAAGCATTATTTTGACTACTTATCGTGTACACAGACACAAAAAAAAAAAAATTAAAAAATTAAAAAAAAAAAAAAATATAAAAACACACATCATTGTAAAATCAATACATTCATCGTTTCACTCAGAATCTAAAATAATAAATGTGTTATCGGAACGTTCACTAAAAAATTGAACTCGTTCAAATTCACGTTCTTTTATGAATTGTTAGCCTGCGCCCTGCAGTCAATATAAAAATTAAAAACCCATAAACATATACCACCCAACCAAAAAATAAAAATACAATTTAGACTTTAGAGCACATACAGTTTATTAAGTATCTTACTAGTATCTGAGTTAATTTTTAATATCTGACACGCTATTTGAGTTACATTTTGACAAGAATTTTCTAGTGATAAAATTAAGCGAAACTAGGGTACAAATAGGATAATAAATAAGGAAGATAAATAGATTAAGTTTATTACAAAAAACGTGGAAATCATAATATTATTGTTGTTGTAGCCGGGGACACTGGAATTTCACTTATTTAATTTATATATTTTGCAATCAAACAAATATTATAGGAATTAGGAATTATAATGGGAAAAATGAAAATTTTATTATTATAATATAGTTTATTAAAATATTGTATACATATAATATTTATTAAATCTTATATATATAAAAATGAATGTATGTCAGTGTGTCAGTGTGTCTGTGTGTCTGTGTGTCCATGTTACCATGGTTACCAAGGTTGCCATGGTTACTAAGGTTACCAAGATTTCATATCAATCTATATCTATCTATATATATATAAAAATGAATGTATGTCAGTGTGTCTGTGTGTCTGTGTGTCCATGTTACCATGGTTACCAAGGTTGCCATGGTTACTAAGGTTACCAAGATTTCATATCAATCTATATATATAAAAATGAATGTATGTCAGTGTGTGTGTGTGTGTGTGTGTGTCCATATTACCATGGCAACCATATCTGTATATAAAAAACAGTAAGCTGATTGACTGCTATCAACGCACAGCTCAAACCATTGGACGGATCTGGCTGAAATTTGGCATACAGATAGCTATTATAATATAGACGTGCGCTAAGAAAGGATTTGCCAAAATTCGCATTTTAAATAGGTGCTGAAACAGGGACATTGAGATTCACGATAGAAATTGGAAATTTTATTTTTATTTATTTATAGTTGCCATTGGTTACAGTCTACATTAGAAATTAGCATTTATTTATTGGTTGCCATTGGTTATTCAGGCAGATCAGGTACAAGCTTGCATCAAATCGAATTATTGAACAATGCTTACCAGGGTGGCAGAGTTGCACTTACCGCAGAAAATTACACCCAAAAGGAGTTCAACAATCATAATTTTTTTAAGAGTTGCGATTTTTTACGAGCAACCAAATTTATTATATTAATCCACAGTATTACATCAAAATAAACTTGGTATAACTTTGATACTTTAGAGTTAAATCATACACTTCCGTACAAACAGCACGGGGTCCGCGATCTACCGCAGGTAGATTGCCTACCTGATAATGTACTGCTGCGATTCAGAATTTTTATTCAGGGCAACGGGAAAGATAAGATAAATTTTGAACACCATACACCGAATATTGAATAATGAATTGAACAAAGTTTGAGTAGGTAGTATTGAGTTGATCCATTTAACGGGCGACGAAGTGCACGGGATCAGCTAGTAATATATAAAAATGAATGTATGTCAGTGTGTGTGTGTGTGTGTGTGTCCATATTACCATGGCAACCATATCTGTATATAAAAAACAGTAAGCTGATTGACTGCTATCAACGCACAGCTCAAACCATTGGACGGATCTGGCTGAAATTTGGCATACAGATAGCTATTATAATATAGACGTGCGCTAAGAAAGGATTTGCCAAAATTCGCATTTTAAATAGGTGCTGAAACAGGGACATTGAGATTCACGATAGAAATTGGAAATTTTATTTTTATTTATTTATAGTTGCCATTGGTTACAGTCTACATTAGAAATTAGCATTTATTTATTGGTTGCCATTGGTTATTCGGGCAGATCAGGTACAAGCTTGCATCAAATCGAATTATTGAACAATGCTTACCAGGGTGGCAGAGTTGCACTTACCGCAGAAAATTACACCCAAAAGGAGTTCAACAATCATAATTTTTTTAAGAGTTGCGATTTTTTACGAGCAACTAAATTTATTATATTAATCCACAGTATTACATCAAAATAAACTTGGTATAACTTTGATACTTTAGAGTTAAATCATACACTTCCGTACAAACAGCACGGGGTCCGCGATCTACCGCAGGTAGATTGCCTACCTGATAATGTACTGCTGCGATTCAGAATTTTTATTCAGGGCAACGGGAAAGATAAGATAAATTTTGAACACCATACACGTTAATGAATTGAACAAAGTTTGAGTAGGTAGTATTGAGTTGATCCATTTAACGGGCGACGAAGTGCACGGGATCAGCTAGTGGTAAATAAATTTAACATCTTAAAAATCTAACAAATTCATTAAAAATATAACCGTCCTTCACGTTCACGTACTATTTGCAAAAAACGTGTGACGTTCATGTATCGTTCACTATACATGAACGTAAACGGCGTGTACGACGTTCTTTCCAAATACTGAGCTCATGCAGTGGCGTATCTACGTATCTAACTGTATACAAATTACAAATTATTTCCAGATGATGAATTAATTTCACAAGTTGTATAATTTTAGATTCTGAGTGAAACGATGAATGTATTGATTTTACAATGATGTTTGTTTTTTTATTTTTGTGTCTGTGGACACGATAAGTAGTCGAAATAATGCTTCGATTATCAACGATAATTTTTGAGCTGTTTACGGACATTTTCAGTTTTCAATTTTTTTAGTTTTTTTTTCTATAAATATCAATTAAGTTTTATCTGTTGGGCCAAAAAGTGTAAAAATTTAATACAAGGCTCCTGATATATTGTTACAATATCAGTTGAAAAATATTAAAAATACATAGGCACAATTTTTTTTTATAAACATTTAACCATCGAATTTTGACAGAGTTTTTCAAAATCTCGAAAATTATCAATCATTATTGTAATTAATAAATTATAAAATGTTCAGTTTTTATAGCTAAGGATTGCAAATTTAAAACAAAGGTTCTCATAAATAGTTCATACTGTAACCAAAAAATCTAAAAAATATATGAACACAGTTATTTTTTACAGACATTTTAAATTCAAATTTGGACTAAATTACATTAAAAAAAACCTAGAATAACTATTTTAGTTTTTTTGTTGTGATTGAATAATATTATTCGTGGGTACTTGAAACTTCTAAAGTGTACTATTATATATCTATGATAGTATCACTTTTTTTTTTATGTATAACGCGTTATAAGTACCTAATGGATATTGTGATATGATTAATTTGGAATTTATTATAGGTACCTATTATAGGTCAAATTTTGGTTTAGTACCATAGATATGTATATATAATATGTCGTATACCTAGACTGACATACCGTCTCCGCTCAGAATCGTTTTTCTTATACAATGATATTATATCGTTGAATTCAAATTTAATATCATCCATTATACAGTGACCCACTTGTAACCTACTGTACAGCAGAGCGACACCTACTTACCCACTTTTTTATTATGTTATAATGAATTAAATTAAAGTCTTACTATATAATACTATAATATTAATTAACTCAAAAGTCTTATGCCGGGTTGCACAAAACATTTAATGAATCAATGGTCCCTTCAACAAGATTTAGTGGTCCACGATTGGTCCATTTAATTTTTAGTGAACCATTAAATTTAATAAATTGTTTATGCAACCCAGCATTAATAATTAAAATAAAAAGTAACACCCAACAGAATATTACACCTAATATAAAAATATTTTATTATATATTATAGACATTATACTATTATAGTATAATATTATAGTAATATACTAATACAGTAATATATAATATATAAAATATAGTAGGTATTGTAGGTGCAATATTGTAATATACCTTATATATCTGCATAATACTAGTGTCTATTTTAAATTATATTATATTATTGTTATAATAAGTAGGTAAAAATCACGAACATTTGAAAATTATTTTGAGTTAGAAATACATAAGAATGTTCCTTTTTATATTTAAGATTTGAAAATTAAATACATGTTCCTCGTAAGTTTGCCTACTTTTATCAAAAATAATTGCCTAGCAGAAAGTGAATTTTTATGAACTTTTAAAGTTAAAATTTCTACAATATTAGATGTACACTCGATTTTTCATGGAGCGATTTTCTTATTTTATTGTTATTCAAAAACAAATAACCATAAATACTTTAATATAATAATAATAATAGTTATTACATATCATCAAATATTTATCAAATATGCGATGTGTTGTTTTTGGAAATAAAAATACACAATGTAATATACCTACATGAAATGTTGTTAAAATAATCAAATTTATAATTTATTAATTTTTTCAGATTAAAAACACTATAAAGAGAAAAGCTACTGAAGAAATATCAACAAGACCAAACAAAATTATACGGAAAGCAATATCTGAAGCAGATCATGTGACGCTTAATGATATTTCCAACTACAGACAACATATATATATAGAAAACGAAGGAAGGTTTTACCAGTGTTGCCGAAATCATATGATGAAGCTATTTCGCAATTAACTTCTCAGGAAACTATTTCAACTTTTAAAAAAGAACAATTTCTTTATATCAATGACAATAAAGTTGTATCTTTAACTTGTAAAACCAATTTAAAAACGTTATGTGACAATTCAGAATTCATTCTAGCAGACGGGACCTTCAGATATTGTCCAAGATATTTTTATCAACTGTACACGATCCATATTTATAAAAACGGGCTATACTTACCCTTAGCTTATTATTTTTTAACCGGAAAAACAACAAACGATTATATTGAAATGTGGCAATCTTTAATCAATTTATGTAATTCGAATAGCTTAGTATTCGAACCAAAATCCATCAGAGTGGATTTCGAAAAGAGTGCACATTTAGCAATTCAGCACTGTTTTCCACTATACAATATATATGGTTGCCGATTCCATCTAGGACAGGCTTGGTATAGAAAGCTTAATCAAGATTTTCTATCTCTAAGCAATGAATATAAAGCTAATACAGAAGTCGGAAAATGGATTAAATATTTCTTTGGTTTATCTTTTATTTCCCCTGAAGAAGTTTCTGATGTATTTTGCGAGTTGATCGAAAGAGCACCAAATAGCGACGTATTACATTTTAGTGATTACATATATGAAAATTATCTTCAAGAAAATTGTTTATTTCCTTTAGAGATGTTGGCAGAAATTCCATCAAATTTACCTAAAACTACTAATATGGACCTGAGGCATTTCATTCGCATTATAATGCACAATTTTACAGTACTCATGTACTCAAGTATGGCATTTTTATAAATTATTAATTTAATAAATTAATACATTTTGTTTTATATACTTAGGTAATAGAAACGTTGAAGGAAATACAGACTGAGACCGTGAGACGTAGTATGTTAAAATTAAAGATATTTCTGGTGGTACCTATCTATCATTTACAACGGGCTCCTGAACGTCGAAAACTTGAATATATTAAAAAACATTGGCTTAAGTATACTACCGGTGAAATAAGCAGGTTACATTTTGTAAAAATAATGGGACATTACAATATACCAAGTATTGATTTATAATATTATTTTAATTTTTTTGTTTTATTAATTTGGACTATATGTTATGTATTTTAACTATCAAATAACTGGAATGTGCCTAATTCAACTGAGTACAATTTATTTTTTCTCAAACTATATGTATATTTGTATTATAATTTATAACTATGACCATGTAATGGGCCTAATTGAACTGATTTTTACAATTTTTACTACAAGTTAATTTGCAAACTTTTGAGCTTTTGATAAATTTTGTCAACATTTGAACTTTAAATGCTTATTGAACAAATCTTGTGCCTATGTAATATATTAAATTATTCAATATCTATATAATATTATATGTGTGTACAATTATTTTTATACCCTTCTATTGTTTAGAATTTTGATGCGCATATGATGTACGATAATGTGGTGCAGGTAAACAGACGATGCGCAAATGATGTACGGCCATGAACCTATAGGTATTAAAAAAATCAACTTTTTAAATAAGTATATCCCTATAATAGTGGCCATACCTATTAAATAAAAAACACAATGAAATAGGTACCTATACCTATTACCTATACACTTGTTTGTGTTTATTTCACAAAAATACAATACCTACCTACATGTCATTACCTACTTATACAATATGTGGTTAGTAAAAATAAAAATAAATTTTTAACAACAGTGAACTTTACAAGTTACAGAATAATGAATATCAGGATAATTGCATCATACTCGTTTCATTCTCTCTCGGTATTATAAGCTTATTACCTAAAATCAAATTGTAATTTATATAACAAATTTACAGATTGTATTTGTATAGGTATAACTGAAAATACAAAAACATTCATGAATAAATTTCATGTATAGCTAATATAAATTACTTTCTATAATTTATAACAGTAGGTTGTAGGTATATATAATATATTAATATGACATAGGTAGGTACTATTGAAATAATTATAAATTATAAATTAATTTAATTAGTAAAAACTAAAAACGTATTAAATTTACATTTTACAAGTACCTATTTACAGTAAATATTTTACTTAGCTTACAATTTAAATTAATAGTGCAGACTATATCAAAATAATTCAAGATACTGGACGGAGCGATGAATGTATGATTTTACAATGAAGTATATATGCCGTTTGTTTTTCTTGTGTCGTAGTGTCGTACCCTGTATACGCCATGCATAGAATAACATAGTTGATAGATAAATCATAAATAGATACCTACCTAATATACATAATATGTAGTTTTATAGGTACTTTTATGTATTATCTGTACGGTACACACGCGATATATACAGTGTGTTTCCTTTTAAAGGTAACACTAAATAATTCTGTCCAGTGACATCGGATTAATATGCGGTTTTCAGGAGGGTATAGGGAATACATAAATACACATTTCTTAATGATTTTTACATTTTTAGATCTTTTCGTGTGCGCATACGCAATAAAACTTGCATTTTTTAAAATGGCAACAGGTGTTTTGAATACCAAATTCGGATAGACCAAATTTTTTTAAGTCGATTTGGTCCTTTTTACCATAGGTCTAAAATCAAAATTGACTAAATGGCAACCAGTCAAAGTTTCAATTAAAATTATTGAATTTTTCACCAATCATACTAGAATTTTATGAATTATTATGAAATTTTATTTATTATTTTTGTATCCGTAGGTTTGCAGATATTATTAAATCTAATTATTATAATATTAATAATTAATAAATTTAATTATTTTTAAAATTAAAAACTCTGGTTTGTACTTTGGGCCTTGGGGAGTCAAAAGTCAAAAAGGTGGGCAAATGGGTGTCGCTCTGCAGCCTTTGCTGTATAGTAGGTCACAAGTGGGTTACTGTAATGTATGGTGTTAAATTTGAATTTAATGATATAATATCATGGTATAAGAAAAACGATTCTGATCGAAGACGGTTATAGACAGCCTATATATGATATTATACTAAGTATATTTGATGATATTATTGTGAATAAAGTAATTTATATATAACCTATATATTTACGTGAAACCTTATTGTTTTAAATTTTAAATTCTTACTTCTTAGCTATAAAAGTAAAATTTAATTTTAATTTTTTAAAATGTCATGTACCTACGGTATATTTGGTTTAGAGTTGCCCCAAAAACCAAAATCGATTTTCTCGAAAACAGATTTTGCGTAAAAATTCCAGTTTTTCCTTAATTTTTCTTTTATTATTCACGGCGCTTTTCAAAACTACTGGGAAATTTTTACTTTTGACCCCCCAAAGCACCAACTAGATTCGCTTTCCTATCAGAAAAGATACTGTTGAAGAAAATCTAAGCATTTTTACTGTCCTAAAAGGTGACGACAGACACAAAAAAAAAAAAAAACACACACACATCTTTGTAAAATCAATACATTCATCGTTACACTCAGAATCTAAAACAGGTGGGTAAGTGGATGTAGCTCTGCTGTAGCCTGTACTGTAGGTTACAAGATAGTTCAAGACTGTATAATGATTAATGGATTTTATTAAATTTGAATTCAATGATAATATAATATCATTGTATACGAAAAACGATTCTAAGCGGTGACGGTTTGTCAGTGTGAATATTTTATATTATATTTAGGTACCTAATATGTATTGTTATTACTTATTAATTATTATTAATACGGTAGCCGTTATAATAAAATTACAACATAAGTACTAAAATCGTTGTTCTTGGTTATTTAATGTGTAATTTCCTCCAAATTTAAACATAAAATAATCGTAAAAAAAAGGTGTTTTTATTTTTTTGAGATTTTTTGGTTACAGAATTACCTACTTACATAGAACCTTGCTGTACATTTTCAATCCTTAGCTATAAAAGTTAAACATTTTATAAATTTTTAACTAAAAAATCATTTTGGATTCTGATCGAGTGGAACGATGATAGTCGATGAATGTATTGATTTTACAATAATGCGTGTTTTAGATTCTGAGCGGAGCAGCACAATATGTATAATAATATATTATATAGGTATACAATTTACACGTTTATTTTAATTAATAATAACTAAATATTTATTAACTTTATCGGACTAAATTTATTACTAAAACCTTATATGTAACGTCCTCTTTAATTTAAAAAAAATTGCCTGACGATTATTAAGTAGTTTCGGAGTTTATCCCTAACCAAATAAAGCGACTTCATTTTATATAGATTAAATAATAAATACTCGGTGTTTCAAAAGTCTTCATCCGATTACGAACAGAATAGATATAGTTCGGCAACGGTTAATCGCAGGTTAATGACCAATGTATTAATGGAAAGATTAGATACCCAAGTTTATTTTAAGTTATCTAGTTGATAAATTTGGCACCGTAATGGTTAGTGAGCTAGGAACCGTTTGTTTCGCTTTCGTTATGGCGACTCCGAAAAACAAAGCATTTTGCGTCCTACGTTTCAATAAGTGGAAGTCGGTAGACGGTAATAACCGTTCAACGTGATTTTCGAAGACTCTTTACTACTGAAGTTCCAACTGCTCAAAGCATTCGACCGTTTGGTATGTGGGAGATCTAGCTCTAGGCCTGCACAAATTCTGTGGACTCCGAACGAAACTTTATCAAATACGGTCGATGTTTTCGTCAGAGGTACGAACTACGAGGTCGACCTGAGCGTTTCTGTGCACACAGACAACCACTTTCTTTTAACGTTTGGTGCCAACGTCGAATTCTTTGAGCAGTCGGAGCTTAAGTTCCATAATATGTTCTTCGAAAATCACGTTATTACCGACTAGCACTTATTGAAACGTAGTACGCAAAACGCTTTCTGTTGCTGAGTCGCTATAACGAAACAAACTAAAAATTAAAAAACTAACCATTAGTTATTTATGCCTTATGGTGCCAAATTTATCAACTAGATACCTTAAAATAAACTTGGTTATCTAATTTCTCCATTAATACATTGGTCATTACCCTGCGATTAACCGTTGCCGAACTATATCAGACATCAGTTCGTAATCGGATGAAGACTTTTGAAACACCGTGTATAATAAAAATAAAAATTATAATTGATGTTACATATGACATAATCATTTACTAGAATAGGAAATTAGAAATATAGTTAAAGCTGATTGCACACTAGGCGATTCGAACGCGAGATCCGCGTTTTATTTATTTATTTATTTATTTATTAATTGAAATACGGGACGTGCCCAATTACATAGAATGTACATAAAGTAAGGGAAGTTACATAAATTACAAAAATACAAATATACAATTAGGATATAGAGCAAATAGACATAATAACATATTAACTAAGAGAACGTTGCATAAATTACAAAATACAATTAAAATAATAAAAAAAAAATAGAACAACAGATAATAATTTATTGCTAAGCATTCAGGAATAGTGGGTCCTCATTCGCTAGTTTCATCATACGAACAATAGGACGATTTACTAAATAGTTACAGAGGCTACCAGGAATTTGGAAAGGGAAGGAGCATCTGGAGTAAAAACTTGGAACTCTGAAATTAAGTTTATATAGGAGGGCAGGGGAATCCACTTCACCATTTATTAGTTTAGTAAGGAACGTAAGATTAGCCTGTTTCCTCCTGTCACATAGGGTAGGCAAATGGAGGCACTGTAATACAGGTTGATAATCATGGGGTTGACATTCAATACGTAATGCAAAAGCGGCAAATTTCAAAATTTTACGTTGGACTTTTTCTAGTTGTTTACTACCATCAAGTGTGCACGGCAGGCACGTAGCCAGAAAATTTCTACTAGGGGGGCCAATAATGTTTGGCCCTTTTATTACTTTCCAAAATTTTTCTTTATGAAATTCTTGTAAGGGGTATGCAATACAAAAAATCTTATTAATTTAAATAATTTACCTTTAGTTGGTAATTGGTTAAAATTATTTTTTCACAACAAGTTATACCTAATACTTACTTATTTAAGAATTACAAAAATAGAAAGTACCTGATAACAAAAAAAAAATAAATATAGAATTACCTACATCTTCACTTATGGGATACATTTTTCATGCTATGAAAAATAAATCTACATACATATTTAAAATAATAAGCTGCTTCAATTGTTTCACTTCAAAAATTAATTCATATTTGAATACTTATCAAAAATAATAGAGATAAATGATCATCGATTTTTAAATTAATATAATTTTTAAAGAAACTCAAATTTATTAAAAAAAAAAAAAAAAACACATACTAGTAGAAAATATTAATAATACACTTATACTTATATAAATACTAGCTGATCCCGTGCACTTCGTTGCCCGTTAAATGTATCAACTCTATACGACTCAAACTTTGTTAAATTCGTTATTTAATATTCGGTGTGTGGTGTTCAAAATTTATCTTAACTTTTCAGTTGCCCCGAATAAAAATTCTGATTCTCAACAGTACATTATCAAGTATAGGCAATCTACCTGTGGTAGATCACGAATCCCGTGCAGTGTGTACATAAGTGTATGATTTAACTCTAAAGTATCAATGTTATGCCAAGTTTGTCTTTTTTACTTAATTCCACCTACGGTGGATTATTATAATCAATTTATACAAAATCCTATCCTAACCTTATCTTACTAAAATCTGATGAATAAAAAAAACAAATTTAACAATTGGTAAATTAACCTATCTTCTTCCCAGAGGTTTAATCTACCCACAAACATTGATTTATATATATACCAGCTGTCCCACCCGGCGTAGCCCGTGCAAAAGATTATTTTTTTTAAACTTCAACATAGAAACGCGCCTCATATTATGTACCTTCGAACGATGTCAAGGAGCCCGATCTTCCTTTGAGTGATAAAATGTAAATAATTAAAAACACAGTTGGCTGCACTGCTGATTTGTGCACATGCACTTTATGTTGAAAAGAGACAACGTTATCAATCAAATTGATGTGGGAAAGAGAGGTCCAACCAGTACTATTTTGTGCAGCAGACTCTTATAGTATAGATTAAACAGTGCAATATAAAATAATTTTTCTGTTTTTATGATTTTCCGAAAACAATTTTACAAAAATATCTAGATCTAAGTTTTTAGAATTTTTTTTTTTTATGCTCATTGAAGCTAAATTATTTAAACGATCATTTGTCATGCGATTCCTCAGAAAGGTTTTCAGTCGTCTCAGACATGAAAAAGTTCTTTCGCAAGCTAACTTAGCATAGACTTATAACTGCGGCTAATATATTATTGTTTTTAAAAAGGGTATCAAGACAATATTATATTGTATTTTTTTCAGATAAAGTTATCCACGGTTCCCCGAATATAATAATTAAATTATTACAATAATAATTGTATTACCTAATAGTAATCACAATAGATTTCTCTCAATGTGCATAATCACATTTTTGATAATTGGTAAAAATAATTATATTTTGAATTTGGGGGGGCCGGCCTTGGGCCAGAGTATATTTAGGGTGGGCCCGGCCCACCCAGGCCCCCCCCTGGCTACGTGCCTGGTGCACGGATCCCAAATAATTACTCCATACTCCAACACAGACCAAACAAAAGAGCAATATAACGTTTTAAGAGAGCTGGACAGTTTAAATTCAGCCGAAATTCTTTTCACAAACCCGAGAAGTTTCAGACCCTTACAGGTAACTTTCTCAATATGTGTATGAAAAGTAAGCGACCGATCAAAAGTAATACCAAGGTCAATAACACTGTCACCTGGTTGCTTTAGCGCAATGTAATTTATACCTAGTGTAGGTAAACAATAGACACGCTCATTGGAACGCGTGTAGGTTATGGTATGACATTTAGGAATACTAAGCTCTAAGCCAAGTCCCTGGGCCCAATGAGCAACAGAATCTAGATTCTAATACAGCGATTTTAAAAACGTCACGATTTTTAAACTCAAACGCGCACTCCTTACACATTAGAAGCGTCGGCGTTTTGAAATCGCTCTGCAGCGCTATCACACTGGACGATTTGTGTGCGTTTTTCAAAAATAAAAAGCGCGCCAAATGTTATTTGAACCATTCAATTCTTTGTGCTTTGTTGTATACTAGTAACTATAGTGTAACTATTAAAAATCCATAGTCATAGTTTTTTTTTATAAACATTTAAAGTCCAAAAATTGACAAAATATGGAAAAATCACGAAAATTAGCAAATTATTTTGAGTTAAGAATTCGTAAACATTTTTTTTTTTAAATCTAAGATTTTAAAATGTAATACAAGATTTCTTATAAGATTATCTACTTTTATCAAAAAAAATGTCTATAAGAAAGTTAAATTTAATTTTTATGAACGTTTGAAGTTCTAATTTTTATAACATTGGTATTTACTCGATTTCTCGTGTGGCGATTTCCTTATTTTGTTGTAATTCAAAAACGAATGACTGTAGATACATGAAAATTTCACTGAATTTCATATTAGATTTTCCTATGCAACTTACAATTTTGACTCTTTTTGACCTGTTTTTGGGCCGAAAAGTGTAAAAATTTAATCCAAGGCTCCTGATATATTGTTACAATATCAGTTGAAAAATATTAAAAATACATGGGCACAATTTTTTTTATAAGCATTTAAAGTTCAAATCTTGACAAAATACTTAAAAATCCCTAAAATTAGCAAATTATTTTGAGTTGAAAATTCATAAAAATATTTCTTTTTAAAGCGAAGATTTGAAAATGTAATACACGATTATTAATAAGTTTTTCTATTTTTATGAAAAAAAATATAATTTTTTTTTTAGATATTTACTATAATTTGTAAATGTCAATAAAATTTCGTTGATTCAAAAAGCTTGAAAATATAATACAAGGTTCCTGGTTCCTCATAACTATGTGTCATTCATATTGTGATAAAGATATATAAAAATATTTAAACACAGTTTTTTTACAGACATTTTATAAATTCAAATTTGGACAAAATTAGGTACCTACCTATTTAAAAAAAAGAATAAAGATCTTAGTTATTTTCTTGTAATTTAAAAATATTATTCATTGGTACTTCAAACTTTTAAAGTACCTACCTAAGTTATTATATTTTAAACAATAATGAGATGTATAAATGCAAGAGTTTATATGAAAATTAATTTAACCTACTATAAATATTAAACTAATATAGCAATAATATCATTAAATACTGGTACCTACTAAATACTAATAGTTGTTACTTATTATATTAATATGATATAAACTGACCGTCATCGCTCAGAATTTTGTATTCAATGGTTCATCATTGAATTCAAATTAACATATTCCATATTACATTGACCAATCGACCCACTCGATACCTACTGTACCTACAGCAGAACAGTACCCATTTTCCAACTTTTTTTTAGATAGCTACACCTGCTATCTAAAATATAAATGTAGGTACCTATTCTTTAAAAGAATAAAATGTGTTCATTTAACATGTTTATGTTTAAATAATGTAGGTAGGTGAATAATTATCCTGCTTTTATGCATTATTATTTATTGTTTTTTTTAAATGTTCATGTTTTGTCTACACCTAATAAATGACAAATAACAAAAAAAAATATGGGCAAAAGTGTGTTATGGTGTTATAACAGTACCAACAAATTGCCAATAAATTACTGGATAACATCTATAAAAAGCAAGTCGTAAATGAATGTTTTAAAAGCCATTAAAATGAATTCCAAAATTTTAGTGGTTGTGCTTCTAGCATATTTTTTGGCAAGTTTATAAATATATTTTGTTATTTCTATCTAAATTCTCAAATTTTAATCAATGACTTTTTTTAAGAAAATAGTAACCTATTTATAATTATTTCTTTTAAGCTCTCTTATTATATTTATTAGCTCAATTCCTTCTAATAAATTTCATATTCATTTTTTAACTATTATTTATTGTTTATTAATCACCTATAATACTTTGTTTAGGATAATTTATCAGCAGGCACCCTTAAACCAGTTAAATCTACATCTTTGAATGGGAAAAATACTCCAGCCCAATCCAAAAACACTTTAGTTTTCAACCAACCTATTAAAAGTCATGTAAGTGTGTTTTTTAATTTTATGAACGATATAAATAATTTTATACTATTGTACTTTGTATGTATGAATAACTAAATTTATTTGTATAACTGTGTACAATTATAGTTTTAAATAGTTCAAATGTTGTAAATAAATAACAGGGAACTAACAATGATAATACCTAATTCAACTTTTTTTTAAATATTAATATTTAATCTTTCTAGCATCCTGTTTTTGGGAATATCAAAGTCAAACCTACAGTTCCTTATAATTTTCCTGCTCCACCATCACTTCCAGCTCCTCCAGCACCTCCAAAACCTTTAACACCTCCTCCATCACATACATTTCTACCAAGTATAAAAGTAAGTCTTAGTTAAAACTGTTTTATTTTAAATATAGTATTATAATATTTGATTATTATTTATATAATGGGAAATCACCAGCCACTTCCACCATCAAGAGCTTCTGCTCCAACTACAGTACCAACAAATGTAATTAATGACATTTTTAGACAGAATAATTTTATTGTTATTAAAATGTCTTATTAGTTAGTTAATAAATATATGTAAAAAGGAAAATGACAATCATCAAGAATTTGACTCAGTTGAAGGAGATGATTATTATGAAGAAGTAGAAGAAGAAGAAGAAGAAGAAGAAGAAGAAGAAGAAGAAGAAGAAAAGGAAGAGAAACATTTAGAAAATAGTAAACTTGTGAAAATTCCAACTCAAAGTAAACCAGCAACCTCCACAAAAGTTAATAATAGTTCAAACAAATTCCAGACAAGTCAACCTAAACTAAGTTCTTCAACTTCTACTAAACCCATAGTACCAGAAAGTGTGAAACAGGTAAGTTTTAATCAGAGTAATTTTATTTTTTTCTGAATGTCAGTTGCTAATAAATATACCTTAAAAGGAAAATGGCAATCAACAAGGATTCGAAACACTTGAAGGAGATGATGATGAAGAAGAAATAGAAGATGAAGATCATGAAGAACCTTTGGAAAATAGTAAAACTGTGGCAAGTACATATAAAAGTAAACAAACACTTTCAATGAAATCTAATGATAGTTCTAATAAATTTCAGACAAGTCAACCTATGCTAAGTTCTTCAATTTCTAAGCCCACAGTACCAGAAAGTGTGAATCAAGTAAATCTTGTCGCAATTTTATTTATAATAGACTATCAAAGTTATTAATAAATATATCTTAAAAGGAATATGACAATCAACAAGGATTCGAAACACTTGAAGGAGATGATTATAAAGAAGAAGAAATAGAAGATGAAGATCATGAAGAACCTTTGGAAAATAGTAAAACTGTGGCAAGTACATATAAAACTAAACGAACACTTTCAATGAAAATTAACGATAGTCTAAAAAATTCCAGACAAGTCAACCTATGCTAAGTTCTTCAATTTCTAAACCCACAGTACCAGAAAGTGTGAATCAAGTAAATCTTAGTCAGAGCAATTTTATTTTTAATAGACTATAAAAGTTATTAATAAATATATCTTAAAAGGAATATGAAAATCAACAAGGATTCGAAACACTTGAAGAAGTATCAGAAGAAAATAAAGATGGTCACAATGTTGAAGAATATTCAGAAGATCCAGATCATAATACTCCAACAGATAATATAACAATTAACGGAGTTCGAGTAAATCTACCCGCACCAATGAATAATCCAATGGTCCCACAATTGTCGGAAGATGAATTGACAGCAAATAGTTACAATGAATCTGAATATTCTCTCAATACCGATGAAGACCAATCATCATTTCAAAATGATGATAAGTGGGAACCAAAGTCTTCTAACATTGACAATAATCTCACTGAAATTTCCAAAACTTTAGACAGGGAAAATTATAATACCAAAGATCAATTAATCAACACAAATAAATTTGAATCAAACCCATACGATAATACACAGATACCTACTGATAAACAAGAAGAAAATTCAGAATACCAATTTAAAAATCAATATGTGTCAGAAAATAAAGAACGAATTATCAATGGGTATAAAGCTATGAAGAAAATATTATTTATGTTACATGACTATGCAAGCTCAACATTTAATTGGATCATGAGCAAAATAAATTACCGAATAGAACAGTTCTCAAGTTAGGTAAACAGTCACAATATTATCAAATTGATATTAAAATATTCAGTTAAAAAGGGGATAAGTAACAAAGTAAAACAACAATAGAAAAATAATCAACATAAATTAATTTTAGAATATACTAATAAATATAAAATTTATTATAACCACCAACATACATGTAAAAGTAGTAACTAATAAATAAAAGTTTATCAATACAATAAAATTAAAAATAGATTTTTTAGTGATATAAGAAGTATAACAAAGATTGTTAAATTTATGTTATTCTAATATTTATTCCATAAATTGTTCCAATATCCTATCTGCTTCACGCCAACCAGTTTCAATTGCTCCGTGTACAGTCGAAAAGTAAGAACTATGTGTGGCTTCACCACCAAACAGCAAAATCTAAAAAAAATAATGAATAGTATTTTTTTAAATAATATACATTAACTATTTTAAAACAATAAAATTTTATGGATCACATACATTTTTTCCATTGGAATTAATTAAAGGTTTTGCTAATTGACTGTTGGCTTTTCCTTCTTTATCGGTGTTCATAGAATGAAAAGAATATGAACCATAGAAGTGGCTATTGGAACCCCATTGAGATCTTAAATATTTTCAGAATTGAATATTAAGTACAATTATATTATAATAGTAATATAATAACACGTAAAAACAAAAATATTAATTAAAAGTATCTACAGACGAAATATCATATTTCATTAGTATTTAATATTATATAATTTTACCTAGTCACTAAATCTGGAAATGGAATAGTGTATGTGTCTCCCAAAAATTTATTCAATAAATACATTAATCCAATTTTTATCTCATCTAAAGATTTCCGTTCCATGTTTCTTGCAGCAGGACCCACTATCCATCCAAGGAGTGTATCTGGACAGTTATCACAAATATAAAAACCAAATACATCACACAGATAATCCCAACCACGTCTCTGTATTAAAAAATATTTATAAAAATATAAATAATTATATGATATGTATAGAATAATATCATATCAAAAATAATAGTAATACATTTATGGGAAGAAAGTTATAAAAGCAAACAAGTAATGCTTTAAATTTTGTACCCAGCTTCTATTTAATAACTATAATAAGGGCAATTTTTTTTTGTTAAGTACATCAATTACATATTTTAGAGTTTTATAAAAAATGCATATTGTAAATGTCAGGTACATCATACATGTTTTTATATATATTTTATTGTGTATTGTAAATATTGTATACTATATGCAACCATTGTAAATATATATACTAAGATCACTGGATCGTTTTAATTAAATAAACTTTAAAGATGTTGAAAATAAAAATTATTTTCAAATGGAATACAGTTGCCTAAGTTATAGCTGTTAAATATTAACCCTTATAAATGCATATTAATTGTAATGATACCGGAACTAAAATATATTAATATTAAGGTTTGATTATAATTTTAACTTATGACCACTGTGCCCATTAATATAAATTTAATATTACATTTGAGGTGATTTCACATGTAGCAAATGCAGTGGTCGGGAGTAGTGAGCTAATTGTAAGGACACAACAGTACCCCATTAATCGCTACAAATAAAGTAGCATCGCTACAATACACCTAATGTAGCAAGACACTATAGCACTCTAGAAATGTACAGTTATTGTAGTGAAATGTAGCATTTATTTTGTTGCTACCTACCTACAAACTATTAGGTAACAATTAAAATATTATGATAACTATTTTATTTATTTATAAGTGAATTTTTCGGGTTTAGTCTATGCACAAAGTTAAATCCCATCCAGGGATCAAATGTTAATTCAGTACAAACCACATACTACCAATTTTCAATAAGAAAATTAAAAAAAAAAATAGAGAAAAAGTACCGCGCTACATAATCAGTAGGTAGCGTTAGAAATTTGAAAAAGTAATGATAGGAAGCTACTTTTTTGGGAAGAGTACCTTAACGTTAGTGGGCTACAGAAAACTAATACCGTCCCATACACCCATCCACTGAGAAAATGTTTGAAACGTTTATAAAGTTGATTTAATTGCCACAAACATTTGACTAAAAATTATAATTTAATACAATTGATCTTGGGTGGACATACACTACGTGTGAAACCACCTTTTAATCTGTTTTTTCTCTGTATAATAGTGTACAGAGATAATTCTCTGTATCTTAATTTATTTTAGTGTTCTCTATAAATATTTAATAAAAAAGATACTAATAATCTTTAACTGTTAATATCATTTGTATTACATTATATTAATTTGCATTTTTATATCTACGATTTTGTTACTTAATTTATTCTACACAGTATGTACTCTATGCCCTTGGGTATTTTTAATTTAAATAAATAAATAAAATAATAATATTATTTATTTATATTTTTAATAATATCAAAAATAAATAAATAAAAAGTGAACAAAAAAGTGGTATACTTTCATCATAATTACATACTTTATTTTCTTTAATGAATTTTTCACGATCATCATCGGACCATAAAAAACTAAACCCCGTGGTGCCTTCTGACCACCATGAATATGGAAATTTCAAAAATAACTTATCAACAGTTCCAATACCTAAATTCTAAAAACATTTAATATGTATAAGTATACACAATAAGAAATCAAAAAAGGTTTTTCATTACCTGTATAGCTTTTAATTTATATTCAGGAAGTTCAGGTTCAAATAATTCATTACACACATTTTTTAAAACGCCAAGACTCATTGTAGTTAAAATACATTGTGCTTTAAAACGGCTATTATCAGCACATAATACTTCTGCTTGATCACCAGACCAATATATTTTTACAACTTCTTTTCCAAATATTACTTTATCTTTAATATGTAGGTCTTCTACTTCATCATTAAACTTTTCCTAAAATATTAGAAAGAAAACATTAATAAAATTAATGTTTATGCCACTAAATAAATTACATTTTTTTAAATGACACATTTAGACACTTACAATTTTGATACCTATACTCCTTTTCAAAAGAGAATATACCGCTTTCGTGCACGTCAAATGATTTGATTCGTGCTTTGAGAACCACGTGATCACGCTAACAATTGGAAATTGGCGGGCGCCACCGGACATAAATTGGCCGCCAACCGGTATATTCTCTTTTGAAAAGAAGTATAGTAAGTTATTGTTATATAACTCATAAATTTCTTCTAAGAAATTAATAAAATGCCTTAATGCAGAATAAATTATTTAATATACAGAAATTAAATGTTTTAAACTATTTGTCCCATTTTTTTCTTCAAAAAAATTCATAAAAAGGTTATACTAATATAAAACTTAACTATTGCTATGTTTAGATTCTAAAAATAAATATTCCCAAACAATTTTGAGGAGGGTAAAATTTACATACCTGCATTAAATCTATTACAGTTGAATATCCTTTTGATTTCCAACTAATTTCAGGATAACCAGGACAATATTTATAAGTGTCTATATTAATTGCAGATGCTTCAAACCAACTATCGCTTCCATTGTCAGAATTTTGATAATGTTGGCACCAATTAATAAATTGCTTCAGGGGTAGTTCTTCTGTGTCAACTAAGACATTTTCAATTCTATAAAAGATACAAAAATATTTCTATGTTTATATAAAAATTATATTTATAAAATAAATAAAATAAATATAATTACCGTTTTTGAAAAAGCTCTCCTAATGACATGAATCGCTCTAAATCATCCTTTGGACTATCATCAAATACAGAATAAGCTACTTTTAAGTAATCACGAAGATGGTTAGATTTTAGTTCGCTACCTGATGACGTAACAAATGTAGAATTAATAAATTGCTGAATTGTTTCTCTTTTATCAGATACTAAATTTTGAGCAGAAGCCATTTGGAATACTACATTCCCTTCTTCTCCATGAATCCATTGTGCTCCTAGTTCAATGTGCCCATCTAGAAAAGTACAACTAGTACAAGAAAAAATAAAATACCTACTTATTGATAATATTGAATTAAAAAGTAATTATTTATTATCAAAATAATTTATTTAATTTGTGACCAAAAAATTTATATTATAACTTGTATAATATACTGATATTTTGGTTGTACTGTATCTGTTGATGTGATCAGAGATTATTATATGTTATAGCATGCATCAAGCATAATTGTATGGTGGTTATGTTAGGATGTTAGATTGGTTCTTTATATATTATATTTTATTTTGGTTAAACAATATTTCTCAACAATTAATCTAGACATATTGTTTGTTACAAAATTAAATTATAAAGCAAGGATTGTCAAACAGAGAATCTAGGATAATATGACTGGATATCTTGGTAAATGAGATTATATAGTAAATTAAAACACTAAAGAGTATATTAAGGGAATTAACAACAGTAACCAAATGATTTGGTTCTATTAACATAATAATGGAAATAAAAACAGTGCCAGCTTTTAAAAAATCATGACCAAATTTGTTTAAACTCAATATTTTTTTTTTCCAATGAATTATTTGTTACTTTTAAATTAAAAAAATTTCAACCCGCCAAATTTTGAAACTACAGGGTGGAGCGTAGAAACCGCATAGTTTTTGAGCCACTAGTACACGGCAACGGGAGGGGGTATTGACCTCGAACGAATGTTGGTAGACGGCCCAGCCAATGCCGTTTCAGTCGCTATGGAGCTTTGGAACGTAGAGCATCGTGTGTTCGTGGTAGAGCAGTATTTTAGAAACAATGATTCCGTAGTCAAAGTTCAACGTCTTTTTCGTCGAAATTTTGGAATTGGGCGTCGAGGTGCAGTGCCTGATCGAAATACTGTACACCGATGGGTTGCAGCGTTTAGAAGAACTGGGTCAGTGATGAAAAAGAAACCATCTGGTACTACCCATTGAGTTCGAATTCCTGAAAATGTAGACCGAGTAAGACGGCATTTTTGGTTAGTCCATGACGATCGGCCTGACGACATGCTGTAACACTGGGTATGTCTCGTCGTTCGCTTCATCGCATCTTACGTAACGACCTTAAGTTTCAGCCGTACAAGATAATGATTGTCCAGCAGCTTAAGGAAGGGGATTTTGTGCAGCGCAGAGAGTTTTGTCGCTACTGGACGAAATTTATACGGAAAATGGAGATGCGGAATGGAAGGAAAAAAACCCTCTTCGAAAAAATAGGGTCCAATAATGCCCATCTTTGAAATACCGCACCACACTGTTACTTTTAAACTGTGGAGAGGTCTTTGGTGTAATTCATGTGGGTTCTCCGACGCCCAATACCGACAATTTTGAACATTTACGTAACCGTTTAGGTGAAAATGTGCTTCATCAGTTATGTAAACTGTAGCTTAGTTAATAGGTCTATGCATTTAAGCTCTCTATATGACTATATGTATTAATAAATATTCTACTCTGTGTTTAGAGCGCCGGGCGCCCTGACATGTAATAGAGTACCGGACGCCCGGTTACACTGTAGAGCACCGGTCACACTGTAATTATGAAAATATGACAATACCACAGAAAAATAATAATACCATAGAATATAGATAATAGAAGAATATTATCTATGAATAATACGAAGAAAATAGAAATACATTGTTCTATAATTTTAATTTTGTTATAGTAAGTTATTACTTATTAGTTATTAGTTAGGTATTAGTTATTATTTTTTTATTAGTTAATACATACAATTATAATAAAATAATAAATCACAGTAATCAGCTATACGAAACCGATAGTTTTATAATAATAAACAGTAAGTTAATACATACAAATTATTTAATTTTAATTTTTACATTTAATGTCAATGATTGACAAATCGTTAATCCTTATAGGTAATTATAATATAATAATAAATCACAGTGGAACAATTCTAGTTTAGCAACCTATCTATTTTTTAGGTTTTGTTTTTTTTAAAATATGTGTTTTTAGGTGCTTTATAAGAATCTAAAATAAAAAAAGGCCGGACGGACTTCGTTTGGAAGTTACAGCCTTCCAAAGTTTGCGATTTTACGTTTATACGTATGCGCGCAACACTACTATAATGCCCCGCGGAGGACGTCGATATTTTTATAATAAAAGTTACGAGTCTGTATGCATAGTTAATTTGTGTTTTCACTCCTTGACCTGTTTACAATGTTTACATAAGTATATAGTGACTCCCTTCGCCTATCGGCACCGGTCGACAGTTAGAGTAACATAAGTCTATAGAAGCTCCCTACGCCTGCCGGCTCCGGTCGCCTTACTCGAGGTCCTGCGGACCTCTCGCTGGATGGGGGCTCGGCCCTCAAACCCCCCGGGGCTTAAATAGCAAACCTGAGGGGGGGAAGGGGTGGCGACCCCTTCGGAGTCGCGGGGGGGAGAGCATACCTGCCATTCGGGCAGACGGATGACCTAACAAGTAATTTTAACCTTGTTAGTTGAAGTATCACAAGTATAGTGGCTCTGGTCTTCAAACTCAAGGGACCTAGCTCCCGTCGTCTATCGGCTCCGGTCGCCATTTAGAGTAATTAAGTCTGTAGAAGCTCCCTACGCCTGAAGGCTCCGGTCGCCTTACTCGAGGTCCTGCGGACCTCTCGCTGGATGGGGGCTTGGCCCCCAAACCCCCCTGGCCCCTGGGGATTAAATAGCAAATCTGGGGAGAGGGGTGGCGACCCCTTCAGATATCGGGGGAGAGAGCACACCTGCCCTTCGGGCAGACGGATGACCTAACAAGATAAATCAACGTTTTACAAAAAATGGCACCAATGTAAATGGCTAATTTACCTAATCTAAGTTTTCAGTTTATATTATAATCCATAAACACACTGTATTCAGACAAATAAAGTTATGTTGTATAGTGTGTATATTGTATAGTGATAACACGTCTTGCGGCACTCGTCACTGCGCTTATAGTAGTGTTGCGCGCATGCGTATAAACGTAAAATCGCAAACTTTGGAAGGCTGTAACTTCCAAACGAAGTCCGTCCTGTATTTTTTTATTTTAGATTCTTATAAAGCACCTAAAAACACATATTTAAAAAAAAACAAAACCTAAAAAATCGATAGGTTGCTAAACTAGAATTATGCCATCACAGTAATCGGCTATATGAATACCGATAGTCATATAATAATAAATAATAAATCATAGAAACTGCGCTTTAGGTTTTATCTTATTTGGACGATCTCCACGACTCCTGGGGCAAAACCATTTACCTTTTGGTTTTGTTAATAATGAAACACAAGAAAAATGAAACCATTCTATTGGACATGAATCATTATCGCAACATTTCATCTCTCCGTACGAAATCTGAACACAATGACAATAGGAAATTACTTCAGGAAATTCAATCGATTCAGTCATGAATCTGTCCTGTATAAAAACACCATTGAGGTTATTTGACTCTTCTGTTGATATTTCAACAATACAATTATATTTGGACTTTAAATTATCAACAACCTACACTAAATTGTTCTTTGAATAATTTTTTCCTTTAAAAAATAAAATAGTTATAGAAATATTATAATATTATAATGTGATACTCAACAGGTAATTTACAGTGTGACCCGGTACAGTGTAACCGGGCGTCCGGTACTCGGGTACTCTATTACATGTCTATTACACGTCAGGGCGCCCGGCGCTCTAGACACAGCGAATATTCTATAATGCTTCAAAATAATATGTTAAATTTATACTCAATTTAACTATTAAGTTATTAACTTTAAATTTATAATAATTACTTTACTACTGTTAATTAGGTATAAGGTATAGTTGGATAATATGTCAATATGGAATTTACAATATTAATAACTATAATAGCTTATAAATTATTATTATTACAACACAATTATAATTAATATTTTAATCTGGGGGTCTACAAGTAAATGTCTGTGAACAGCACTGGTTCTAAGTATTTAATATATTTTTTAATTTTTACGAGTTGATTATTAAATAAATGTCAATATTGAAATGTTAAGTTATAAAAATATAATAATCTTTTTAATTTTACTATTTGAGATATGACTATAACAGCCAACATAAGTTTTACTATGCAGTGTAATTATAAAGGACTTCTATTCAAAATAATAAAAAACAATTATTGAAACTCATATACCTAAAATGTGTATTAAATAAATAAAATCAATTGATAACTTCCTTAATTTTAAATTTAATTAAATAAATCATAATTACCACCAAAGGGTAAAGTTTGAATGCGACCACCAATACGGTTTTCTGCTTCCAATATGATAAACTTGTTGAAGTTATTCTTTAGTAGTTTGGTTGCAGCTGCAATTCCTGATACACCTGCTCCTATGATGATGACTGTGTTGTAAGATTGAGCCATCTTATGCATAGGTACATAAAAAAAATATATAAATATTTTCAATATCTTATAAATAATATAAAATAACTAAAAGTGTAGAAGAATAAAATCTAATATTGTTAGAGTAAGTGTTGAATGAAAGCCATAGCCACACCCAACAGTAATACAATGAAATATCACAGATATAATCTAATAATTGATTATTGAATAATTTAAGAATACTTGATTTATATACAGGATGTTCATATTATTAAAAAAAAAAAACTTCCTCTGTTACAAATGTTACAATTATTTTATAATTCATAAACATGCATTTATAACAACTGGCCACTGCCACTAGGTACAAGTATTTATTTTATATAAATGGTTTAATCATGCCCATCATTCAAATTATAATATTAATAACTATATTTATGCTACATCAATGATATTGACGACTTTTAACATTTTACAAAATATATGCATATTATATAAGATTAGTATTACAAATTAATTCATTGTTATTAAAAAATTCCCTATTCATATTTAATTATAACATTTTTATTTGTGATTTGACTATCAGGTTAGGGCAAGGTATGACAATTACATAGGATTTATCCTTTGTATATATCTTCTATAACCCTTAGCTTTCAGAACCTTTAAATCAAGCCACACTTTTATAGATATTATTTATTTTTCTGAATAGAATCTATTAAATTAGTTATTAGAATATATTAGATATATTTATTTTCATATCTATCTATACTAAAAGTTGGATGGGTTGGTTTTAGTAGTTTTTGAAAATTAAAAAAATTATAAAATTTCTACATGACTTAAAACTTAAATATTTGTAACAAGAATAACCTTTTAAAATGTTTGACTTAATTAGTAGTATAATCTAACATACACACAAATGCAAAATCGAATTATTTATTAAATAATATAGTTATTACTTATTAAGATAATATGAATATTGAACGTTTGAACTATAGTGAAATGTAATAACCTTTATAAACATTATACATAACAATATCAAGTATAAATAGCTAAAAAAACTAGTATAAACCTAATGATATTTACTTATATACAAATACTTTCAGTTATTTAAAATTTGAACTTTGTCAACATGACAACATACAACATCTTGTTAGTTTTAGATACTAAGAAAGATAGTACCTAAAATCAGTGATCGGGAGTAGCGCACAAATTATTTAGTGTCCTTACAATACACCTAATATAGCAATATAATTTAGAACGTTAGTCATTTTCAGTTAGCCTAGCAAGAATTACCATTATTTTAATCGCTATATTCAATAGGTACCTATTTCGTTATAGTTAAAATAGTATGATAACTATTATATTTATTTATTTATTTTATAATAATGATAAGTTATGAGTATATAAATTAATTATTTGGGTTCAATCCACAATTAACGTAAGTCGTTAAAACCCATCCAGTGACCAAATGTTAAATCAGTACAAACTATAAACTATCAATTTTCAATTAGAACATTTAAAAAAAAAAATGTAGCGTAAAAGTAGTGCACTAAATTTAAACAATAGCGTTAGAAGCAGCACACTACATTTAAAAAAAGAGTAGCTATAGTGATAGAAGATACTTTTTTTGGGGGAGTAGCTGTAGCGTTAGCATTTTACAAAAAACTAGTAGCGTCCTGAACACTGCCTAAAATTAGTAGAAAAAATATGACCTACCTTCTACTTATTTCAATAGCCAATTAATTTAATATATAAATTGCTAACAAGTAACAATATTATTATATTGATTTGTTATGATATTCTATAGTATAAATTAATAATGAAAAAAATTAAAAATTATGTATAAAAGTAGTATTATTATTTATTTATTATTTCTTGTTGGCTTTTATTTTACAATTTATAACTCTATATGAAAAACATTACAAATCCGAAACTCTTATTAATCACTAAATGCGATTCACTAGTATTTACGTTTAATTTTTTAAGTTTAAGGTGTTAACATAGAATTGTAGAAGTAGTAAATAATAAGTACGGAAAAAATGATTTCACCAATGCAGCCATTAAAGATTAAAGACTAAAGTTTAAATTCGTTATCTGAAAATTGATAAGTTCTCTATATTATATAATATCCCAACTATAACTTTTCTGTGATAATATTCTATGGTACTGATGATGATAACAATACTGGGGGGGACATTGTATTTGCGACATGTTAGTCAAGAAACAAATTGAGTGTAAAACCATATTTAAGGCTTAAGCGGGTGCATAGACTTTTCAGAAAAAAAACAGCCAGAATATAATTTGACAGAGTGTTTAAATACAGAAATAAAAATACAGAATATTAAAGTCCCAGAATATTAAAGTCCCAGAAAATATTGAAACAGAAAATAAAATGAACAAAAATAAATGGTAAAGAATGTAAAATGATAAAACGATACATATTATATCGGTATAAAATCATCGTTCCAGAAAACACGTATATTATGACGTATGGTGTATCGAATTTAGTATCGGGCTCAGACTTGCTGTGAACAAAGATATATATAAAATAACTAGATATAGTGTTAACGGATTGTATAATTTAATTATTTACACAAAAATAAAAATAATATTTATGAAATATACACATATTATGGATATGATATGTGTACATGTATAAAATAAACGCATAATCGTACAAGCTTTAAGATCTAAAGAGGGACATGGTTCAAAATAATTCATATATTTTTCAAAAAACTCAAAAAACATGAATAATCCCCATTGTTCTATGATACTACGCGGGTTATATTAACCCATGGTAGCCACAGATATATATATATATATTGTTTTATATATCTGTGGTGGTAAACCCTAGCGTACGCAGCGCAGCCTGTGGCGTTTGATCTTGCGACTCATTTCGATTTTCTATACGTTTTATACTTTTATCATGACGACATGACGTAGGCGCACGCCGCACGATAAGATCTTAAATCATGGTGTTATCTTAGATCATATAAGTATATAAGGCCATAAGGGACATTATAAGGGAGTTATGGCCAAATCGGGTGACTGTGGCCCACAAATTAAGATATAATATATCTTAATTCGTGCTGTGGCCTTGAAGACGGCCTTCGTGGGGCGCGGTATACGTTGTCAATTAAATATTTCATATCAATATTATTTTTTAAGTGTCATTCATAGAGTAATACTCTATGGTGTCAACTGTCATTACCGGGTGGCTGCTTTTATCAAGCCTTTTCATGTATTATATTTATCTCAGCTAATACTCTTATTGTACCCATGAGGTCTTAGATCATATACTATGATCTAAGCATGAGGTACAGACACGGCTACAGATAATCTCATGAACATTAGAGTACTCTAATGTACATGGATATTCTATAGCCGTGGGTAGAGATTGTGTATATAGAAATAAAGGAAAAAAAAAATAATATCAATATTAAAAATTATTTGAATAATGTCAAATAACAATATTATAATATTTAATTCTTATTTCATACCAAAATGTGACAATACTGACAACACTATGCATGAAAAACTGTGAATAAATTAAAACGGTCGACGGTCGTCGTCCGTGGTCAATGGATTGTTTTTGTTTTTTTATAATATCTAAACATCGTAACAAATAGGGATACACGTTACCAACATCTTATTAGATTACGGATACGGTACAATTTTTTGCACAGACTTCTATACAACACTAGATAGGGAACTCCTATTGTTATTAAGTGAAGCTCAGAGCTGCTGTCAACGGCCGCCATTCTGTCGGTTGGCAAAACATTTCATTTATCATACAAAATGTATTAGGAATAATATTTTTTTTAATGGTCAAATAAAATAATAGTAAATGTAATATGACTTGTATAAAATATTTATTTTTTTGTTTTTAAACTATAGTCTGTTCATTTTAAGAAGCGATTCGGCGGCCACTAGTAAAACCGGTTTTCAAGCGTAAATCAGGTCGCTTCTTATTTTGAACAGGGTATAGGTACATGTTTAGAAATAATAAAATACGATACAAAATAAATCATAGTATTATCTTATTTGTCATATGAAATACCATACAATTGCCAACCGACGTTGAAGCTTCAATTCAAGACCGGAGTTCGCTATCTAGTAATAGGTATATAGAAATCTGTGATTTTTTGAGTCCAATACATAGAGTAATATTACATTATTACTCCATGGTCCAATCTTAGATCATATACATACACCACGGACTTAGTATATCTTAGTCCGTGACATACACGTATAGTATATGCTCTAAGGGTCCAATACTTCATACCCCTGGGCCCTGGGATACACAAACCCGACCAGAAGGCAGAAGCTGATCGACTGATCGAGACATCGAGTGTCTATTCTATATTGTGCAAGGTGGATATATATCCACCTTGATATTGTGGTATGGCGGCCGTACGAGTTTTGTCCATGAACTAAGATAATAATATTAATATTATCTTAGTTCATGGCACGGACTAAGATATAATGGACTGGAAACGACATGGTCGGCGGGGATCGGGGGACGGCTACGAAAAGATGTCACTTAGCTGATAAGAATACTGTTCTTGAAGTTTTCAGCGCTACCGGTGGTTTTATTTGGCTACACAATTTGTATCTTAGTCCGTGTTAAATACAGAGGGCGCTGTGAACTCCAAGAACAGATAGCGACCCCCCGCACTTTGCCTCTTGTACATACATTCGTGGCCATGATAAGCTGCTCGTTTCCAGTCCATTATATCTTCGTGGTCTCTAAACGATTAAAGATAGTGACTCTTAGTAACCGCTTACCGCAACCATTATACCTTTAATCGTGTTAAAAATTAACATATTATTTATTATTTATTATTAATCGGTATCGCAAATCGCATTAAACTTTGTCTTTTAACCACGGACTAAGATATACAGGACTGGACACGACAAGGTTGGAGGGTGTGTGGGGGTTGACTACGAAATGTTTTACAACAGGCAGTGTTCGGGGGGATATTTTCCTTTTAGCATTAGTAGCGCCGTCCTAGTGGATACTTATGGAACTAGAACACATCATACAAATTTCTAGTTCCATAAGTATCCACTAAGACGGCGCTAGTAATGCCAAAAGGAAAATATCCCCCCGAACTCCGCCTGTTGTAAAACATTTCGTAACCACAATATTCATCTCGTGTCCAGTCCTGTATATCTTAGTCCGTGCTTTTAACTATTATGAATTTACATTATTTACATTCTAGTATTCTACATTCTGCCAAACTACCAAATACAAATGTCAAATATACAATATCCATAGTATTTGATTCTACAATATATTATTTAATTTAAATATCTCATAATATAGCCATATGTAATGAACATTGAATTTTTAATGTTTATCAACCACTAAAATAAGTAATAACTACAAATTAAAAATACTTAAGTGAAAAAAATAAATAATTTTATGCAGGTATTCTGTTACATACTTTAATATAAACAGGTAAGTTTTTTACGTGTAATTATTCTGTAACCCACTGGGTACCTATTTAATTCATACCCTACAAATTATTAATTAAATTAAAACAAAAATCAATTACAAAGAATAGCTTAAGTCACCTACATTAAAAAAAATAAATTTAATGATTATTTCCATTTAATTATTATAAAAAAAACTAAGGCCTTAGATCAAAGTTAACCTATTTAAGATGTTGTCGAGAAAAAATAAAGATACAAGAACTATTAAAGAAGGAGTGGTTGGAAAATATGTTAAAAAAGATAAGCCACCTGAAATACCAAGTAAGTTTACAAAGTAAATAAAAAGAATATTTTATAATAATAATACCTATGTTATAATATAACATTCATTGTTTAAGAATGCTGAATGTATTAGTATATTATTGAAATTATTTTGTTATTTCTTATTCATATTAGAGATAGGTATCGAGATAATTCTCTATGTGGGAGAATTTATTCTTCCGTCATATATGTAGTTTCATAAGACATTGAGGACGCCCTACCCGTGTTGTGTCCACATTACTCAAGGACATCATAGTAAATTTTTGTTCACCGGTTTCAAAAGTCTGTGGTTAGTTTCGGTATTAAAGTGAATTGACCTACTATTAAACATCTAAGTAAAAACGTAATTCCGTGTAAAAAACATTATCTGTATTCTCTCTATCAGTTTTTTTTACGATATTTTAATTTTTAAGTGAGTTATGACATTATGTACTATATAAATATAAATATTTGAAAATGCTCATAATTCACTTAAAAATTAAAATATCGTAAAAAAACTGATCGAGAGAACACAGGTAAGAACACTTTCCTCCTTAAAATCAGATATTAGGTCAATTGATTAGGTAATTTTATTATTTTAATATCAAAACTAACAACACTATTGAAACTGGTAAACAAAAATTTGGTATGTTGTACATTTGTAAGTCAAAGAAAACATAATATGCAGGATGTGCTCTCAATATAAGATATTTTTACTTGGTAAAGTTTGTCATCAGTCACATCCATTTTTACTATTTTATTGGTCACTTTATGAGAATTTCTCTCAATTGGTTTTTTTTATTTTATTTACCAAATCATGTTTATTATGCAATTTGTGTTAGTTATGATCACGTTTAAATTTAATTTATTTGATCATTTTTTTGTCATATACAGGGTGATTCTTTTATCATTGAACACTCATTATTTCAAGTCGTTTACAAAACAACGTTTTTATTAAAAAATTATATTTTAAAATTTTTCTTATCCTTATAATTTTTTAAGTTTCTTACTTTTTTGAATGATGACATATAGTTATAATTTCATATTCCAAAGCAGAACAAGAATATTTGTCTAAGTATTTCAAAACATAAAAATCAAATTTAGGACGAGTAATTTATGAGATAAGTATTTAAAGTTTAGATGAGCGGAGTGGTGGATAAACATATTGTGGGGTAACCCTGTACCACTCCACTCCTCACATCAACACTTTAAATACTTTTAACTCATAAACTAATCTCCCTAAATACGATTTTTATGTTTCGAAATCTACTTTGGAATATGAAATAAAAACTCTTGGTTATCATTAAAAAAAATATAAGCACAAAAAATATTTAAAAATATAATTTTTTAATAAAAAGGTTGATTTGTAAACAACTGAAACTATGTAAAATAATATTTCCAAAAACATTTACACTTCTTGAAATAATGAATGTTCAATGATAAAAGAATAACTCTGTATTTGTAACATAATTAAAAATGTAATTATTGAGCATTATTATTATTTGTTGTATTTATAGAATATTTTTCATTATTTAAGTATTGAGATGAATACAGACAATCAAACATCGATTAACACTATTGTTGATGTGATAAAATATCTTAAAATTTGAATCAATTTTGTTTTGCTTATACTTAAATTTTTTACAAATATCAAAAAAAAATATATAGTAGCTATATTACTGACTTATTGCACTATTGTTTCTAGTATTTAATTATAATTAATAATATTAAGATAATATAGGTAATAATATGTAAAGATTCTAATAATGTATTTATTTTAATGTTTCCCTTTAATCTCGAGTACCTATTGATGAAAATTAAATGTTTTATTTTTAGTTATAAATGTTTGGACTACAGAACCTTTCAGAAAAAATAACCACAACCGGACTAATGTTTCAGAATCCCCAAATCTGAATGTAAGAATTAATTGATTTTTAAACTAAGCTCTACTTAATTTAAATTCATTTAGAATACAAACCAACCAAGTGGTTCAGTTCAAAAATTTGGTAATGTGAAAAATACACCATCTCCATCAATGCTAATAGGCCATGAAGGAAAGTATACTCCTAGTAGTTCGGTTCCTGACTTAGCTCAAAAGTATTTAGTATTATTAATTTAAAAATAATTATATAATGTTAATAAATTTATTTTTTAAAGATTTGCCAATGCTAATTTATGGAGTAGTTCACCGGGTATAGCTGCTGATCAATCAATAAGTGTTAGAAATTGTAGTCATAGATACATTTCCAATGACTGCCACATTAATCATCAAGCAAGTTTAAAACTTTGTAACTGAGATTGTAGTAAATTTATTGTAGTGATATAATTTGTGAGATGTAAGAGTGTGTATTTTCATCTCAAGGTTTTTGTTTAAGAGGACACTACACCCGCATGCATTCTCTCCATCTTACAAATGTACAACATAGCAAAAACTGTTTTGTGCTGGACAACTATGCTCCTACTGTATTTATAGTAGAATTACCAAAATTCCACCACGCATAGGGAAGAACTTTATCTGTGTTGTTGAGTTTTTATCATTTTGATAAAATAAACAAAATTTAAGCTATCAGTTTGAGAAATAATGTTTTTTTTTTTTTCATTTAATTATTAAAAATACTCATGTCGTAGTACCTCCGCTTGGAGGCCTCTGTACTCCGTCCGGTCTGTCTTTTTATTTTATTTTATTTTTATTTTATTCTTTTACTAAACATCAATTGTTCTTATTGTTCTTACTGTAACAAATTAAATAAAAAACACATGAATCAAAAAAAAAAAATAAAAATCCATGAAGTGCTATTACTGAATAGCTTCTTCAATCAAGCCAACCATGACCTATTATATATCCCTCCATTCTGCTTATTGTTAATATATTTTGTACAGATTGTACAAATTAAATAAATATGACAAAAAAAAAAAAAATTATAAAAAATTATTTGTATGTGTTATCAAAAAAAACAAAAACACTACTACACAGATAAAGTTTTTTTTTGTGTTGAGGAATTTGGGTAATTCTGCTATTAATAGAGAGGGAGAATAGTTGTCCCGCGCAAAACAGTTTTTGCTATGTTGTGCATTTATAAGACGAAGACAACGCATGCGGGTGTAGCGTCCCCTTAAACATTTATGCCATTTTGTAAGGAAAGCGATTGTTTTGGTATATTGATTGTAGATTTATTTATATCATGAAATAATGAACAATTATGGGCACTGGTTTGTATGTATATTTAAATAATTTAAATTTTATATTTTTATTTAGATGGGAACTCACACTAGTGCCACTTGTTTGCCTTATCATTCACACTCAGATTTAGCAGAATCTTCTGTTATTATACATGGATTTAGTGACAATACAATTTACTCACCAGCATTATCACAATGTTTCCCAACTGTAAGTTTATATCTATTTTAGATTTTAAAAACGTTTAGCTTCATAACAACTATAAACTGTGCTTATGTAAAATCCAACCAAAAAATAAGTTGCTCTGCTGTACAATAAGTTACAAGTGGGTCGTCGTAATGGATGGTGTTAAATTTGAATTCAATGATATAATATCATTGTATAAGCAAAAACTATTCTGAGCGAAAATGGTCAGTTAGCCTATGATATTACTAAGTATATTTGATGATATTATTGTGAATAAAGTAATTTATATATTTACTTAATCATGAGAACCTTTGTTTTAAATCCAATCCTTAGCTATAAAGTTGAACATTTTATACATTTTTAACTACAAAATAATTATTCAATTTTAAATTTGATAAATTTTGTCAAAATGCGATCTTTAAATGCTTATAAAAAAAAATTGTGCCTTTGTATTTTTAATATTTTTCAATTGCTATTGTAACAATATATCAGGAGCCTTGTATTCATTTTTTACACTTTTTGGCCCAACAGATAAAACTTTATTGATATTTATAGAAAAAAAACTAAGAAAATTGAAAACTGACAATGTCCATAAACAGCTCAAAAAGAGTTGAAATATTTTTAAATTGTTATGGTGTATAGAAAATAAAAATATAAACATTCAGTAAAATTTTCATGTTTTTAAAGTTATTCGTTTGTGAATAGCAATAAAATAACAAAACTGCTATATGAGAAATCGAGTGAATATCCAATATTGTAAAATTATGAATTTCAAACGCTCATAAAATTTAATTTGATTTGCTTGTAGACATTTTTTTTTTTGATAAAGGTAGATAAATTTATGAGTAATCTTGTATTATATTTTCAAATCTAAGATTTAAAAAAAAAATTTTTTATGAATTCTCAACTCAAAATAAATTTTGTGATTTTTCTGTATTTTCTCAAGATTTGAACTTTAAATGCTTATAAAAAATAATTGTGATTAAGGATTTTTATTATTTTTCAACTGCTATTGTAACAATATAGTAGGAACCTTGTATTAAATTTTCAAGCTTTTTTACCCAACAAATAAAGTTTTATTGACATTCGTAGAAAAAAAGATTAATAAAATTGGAAACTGGAAATGTTCCTATACAGTTCAAGACAAATCAAAATGTTTTGAAAAATTTATCGTGTATAGAAAATGCAAATATAAACTACCTACCAGTGAAAATTTCATGTATGCGTTCATTAGTTTTAGAGTTAACCAAAAACTAAAATCGATTTTGTGGAAAACCAATTTTGAGTAAAAATTCCCGTTTTTCCTTAATTTTTATGTTGTTTTTCCCGTCGCTTTTGAAAACTATTGGGAATTAAAAATTTTACCTCCTGAATGCACCAACTAGATTCATTTTCCCATCGAACAAGATACTGTTGAAGAAAATCGAAGCACTATTACTGCAGGGCATAGTTACTAGGGCGGATATGGGGACAAGTCCGCCCCCATGGCTCTTTAAATACATGTCTATTATTATATTATAATTATTACATCGTAATCTGTAAGCTAAAATTCTTGTCATCCGCCCCCTACAAAAAATACTGAATACGCCACTCTTTTACTGCCACAAACCTTGATGACAGACACATAAAAAAAAAAAAAACACATTGTAAAATCAATACATTCAACGTTTCACTCAAAATCTAAAATATATGCTCTATAATATATAAAAGTTTATTAATTTTATTTACTGCAAGTCTAATGCTTAGGGTAACTTAATATGTCCAAATGTAATAGATGTAGTATGAGAATAGGAAAATATTTTTAATTTTAAGTGTATTTTGTCAATGAGCTTAAATATTTTCCAATATATTTAATTAATTGTAAAATACCTATATTATTTAATGCTTATAATTTAAATTAATCAAATAGCTTATAAACAACCATTTTCATACAACAACTATCACTCTTAGTCTTAATTTGATGAAAAACATCAGTAACACTTTTTTAAATTGAAGAAAATGGTAAACCAGCTTAATTTTGATCAATGATTATTTTTCGGTTAATAATTTTACCATCTTTTCATTATTATTGTACAGAAACATTTGGGTTTACAATCGAAATTCAAAATAATGGTTCCTAATTATCTAAAAGCCTAATATTTAACTTAATATAATATGATATTATGTAAATCAAGTTAACTTAATTAATTGACTCATGATTATCGATTTCATACATCTACAACTACTGTAACAGTAACTTTGGAAATTTCTTTTATCTAAAGTTCAGTAACCAGTGTAAAATAATAATTAGGTAAAATGTCTGTCTTTGATTTCCGTTGAATCACATAGTAATTGAAGCACATATGTTTTAACTTTTAGATTCAAATACAACACAAAAATGAAATTATTAATACTCATCATTCCACTCCTGCTTTACATAATATTGGACAGTCTGTTCCAATACCTTTACCATCAGGTGAATATTTATGTTTAGTTATAATTAAAATCTATAATAGTTATTAAGTTTAGGATAATGTTTAACTTCTTATCCCCTATTATAAATACTCCCTAAAATATTTTGGTTATAAATTATATTATTACTTGATAATTGATTGATACATTTTATACATAAGTTGATCTTAGCAATTTTATAAAAAATGTATAGTGCTATTAAAATATTCAGCATTCAAATTTCTTTTTTTTTCAGCTGGAGGGGAAGAACTTCCCTTACCACCAGGTTGGTCTGTAGACTTAACATTAAGAGGTCGTAAGTATTTTATCGACCACAATACCAAAACTACTCATTGGTCACATCCTTTGGAAAAAGAAGGTCTTCCTACTGGATGGGAACGTATTGAAAGTGATGAGTATGGAGTATATTTTGTTAAGTGAGCAGAAAATAAAATCATAAATCATAATACTTAAATTTAAACAGTTTAGTTATTGAGTTTTAAATAACATAATCCACCAGAAGTAGGAGTAGTATGTTCTTTAGTAAAAATCTTTTCCTGGCAATTACGAACATCTTAAAAAAAAGTTGAGCCAAATCGGACCAGCCATTCTCGATTGATGAGGTAACGGAATTTTTCATGCACCATTTCTATATATATAAATAAGTGAATGTTTGTGTGTAGATTAGACCTCTGGGAAGAAGACAGGCTAATTTAAAAATGGTTAAATTTGGTTTTTTTTTATTCATCTGATATTAGTACGGTTAGGTTAGGATTTTGTATTAATTGATTATATTAATCCACCATTGGTGGAATACTACAAACTTGGTATGACTTTAGTACAAACTTAGTACAAACAGCACGGCGTCCGCAATCTACCACAGGTAGATTACTTACCTGATAATATACTGCTGCGAATCAGAATTTTTATTCCTGGCAACGGAAAAATTAAGATACATTTTGAACACCATACACCGAATATTAAATAACGAATTGAACATAGTTTGAGTCATATAGAGTTAGTACATTTAACGGCCAACAAAGTGCACAGGATCAGCTAGTATTTTATAATATACCTATTAATATTTTATTAAGGTTATGTCAATACATAATTTGTTTTATACCTGACCCACTAATAACATACCAAATTTTGTGTTTGACAAAACCAACCTACACAAGATCAACTTTGATTTTATAGTATGAATCGACCTACTATCAAACTTAAAATTTGGAAAATTATCTGTGTTTCTATGCTGTATTTTTACAATACTACTTCAATTAGTATTCAAAATATTGAAAAAAAAAAACCATAACAAATGATTTTCATTTGAGTTTTGATATAGGTCAATTTGATTTAATATTAATGTTAAGAACATTTTCTATATTGCCCCTGCCTCTTGGGTTAAATAAAAAAAACAAACAGTGCACTGACGTCTTTTTAAGTATTGGGAATCGAAACCGCGCGCGGTAGAATAAAAATGGTACACGGAACTGAGCATGTAGTCCGGCCAGCTCGGCGGCAACAAGCTGTAGTGCTGCGGACCTATGGTCTGAGAATATTATAGAGTATTGAGTCTAGTGATGTGGATTTTACGTAAAAAAATTTTTTGGTAATTTACGGTAAAATTGGTAAATTTTTATTAAAATTCAAATTATAGCGTACCTGTTGAACTTTTTCATAATATAATGTAAAGAAGGCAAGATAAATATAAAATAAAGTATAAGTATTTAATCCCTTTATTAATAATAACAATTAATAATTATTAATTTATCATAGTAAAATATAAAATAAAAATAATTTTAATCTGTTTAAAAAAAAAATAAAAAACAACTTATAGTATAATGTAAACTACGTAACTGTCGTTATCATTTTATAAAAATCCTAATTAGTAATTTGTATTATAATCCTAATATCTTGATAAAAAATACAAAGACATAGAAATAAAGTGGTCATTCGACTGTTTGAGTGGTAAAAAAAATGTAAATTGTAAATTGTTTTTTGTAAATTTACTTTACCGGTAAAATTTTACATGGTAAATTTACGAGACGCACATCACTAGTATTGACTGTCTCAAATCTCAATATCTCATACTATTAAGGCGCCTGGTGCCGATTCCATTTTGTCCTCAAAAATACACTGTGGGAATAACGATACCGCCTTGAAGAATCAACCAAATTTCATAATTTTTTTTTTAAATACTAGTGGGAAATATTCTACAGCCCGTATCGATTTCTGTTTTTCAATATTTTATTCTTAAACATTATAATATGTCTAAAAAAATACAAGATAAAAAGTATTTTTTTACAATTTTTTTAAGACAATTATTTGAAATGAAATACAAAATCAGAGATCGATGCGAGTTGTAGAAAGTCTTCTACTTTCAGATAAAAAAATAGTCATAAAAATCCGACAATTCAACAAAACTTGAGAGTTATTTCCATAAAGTTAATTTCTTTTGATATAATACACCCTATCAACTCCCCCCCCCCCTTAAATAGTGATCGAGTAGTAGATTAGTGGAAAAGTATTATAAATTATAATTGAGCTGGAAACTAAAGTATAAAATTTAATTTTAAAATTATTTGAATTGTTGAAAATTTGAAAAACTGGCACCAGGACCCTTAAATTTAATCATACTATTAATACTATTAATATTATTAGATTCCGTTAAATTTCGGTAAAATGGTAAACCATCATGTTGTTTGCATTATTTTAACGTTATTATGACACCATGCATATTATACCAATTGAAAATTTAAGTCTTATTAATGGCCAATTGGGCATAATACAAATCTATATATATAAAAATGGAGACAAAAAATTTGAAATTGCATCAGTTGAGGACGGCTGGGCCGATTTTGCTCAAATTTTTTTTAAGATGTTCGTAATTGCCAGGTGAAGGTTTTTACGAAAGAAAATTTTTAAAAAGTCAACCGAATAATTAGAAAAACTGCAAAAACTATTTAGTGATGTCTGGGATTTGAACTCGATACCGTTGTCTTTATTTACTCTATGGTGTATTATATTATATTGGTTGCTATTGGTTAATCGGGCATGTTTGTTGATTTGTATTATTATTTTTTGTAAATATATCTTATATATAAATGAATGACGGTGTGTAGATTAGACCTATGGGAGGAAGATACGCTAATTTAAAAAGGGTTAAATTTGGTTTTTTTTATTCATCGGATTTTAGTACGGTTATGTTAGGTTAGGATTTATAGGTAGGTGGAATTAAGTAAAAACGTCAAACTTGGTATAACTTTGGTACTTTTTGAGTTAAATCATACACTTACGTACAAACAGCACGGGGTCCACGATCTACTGCAGGTAAATTACCTATCTGATAATGTACTGCTGCAATTCAGAATTTTTATTCTGGGCAACAGAAAAGTTAAGATAAATCTAGAACATCATACACCGAATATTAAATAACGCATTGAACAATGTTTGAGTCATATAGAGTTGGTACATTTAACGGTAAACGAAGTGCACGGGATCAGCTAGTTTAGTATAAAATAGCTAAAATTAAACTGCTACCATCATAGACTTATGGTTATTATTCTATTGTAGATATTACTGTACTATTATATTATTCTACAAGTATATGGTTATCATCAATTAGTTGATTGTTTTCATTAAACACCTTTGTCAATTCTTCATTTTGTAGTACCTATATCATATAAGATAAATTACCGTACCTATGCAAAATAGATACAATTTCTCTATCAGAAATTTCAAATTTATAGGTTTTGCAACTCTAATCCGACCACCAAAAATATGGTGGAAGGAGAAAATATATTAAATAGTGGACACATTATTAATTGTGGTTACATTAATAAAAACGAAATGGGTATTCGGATTTTTGTGACATGACTACAAACGTCTTCAATTAAGGATAGACCCCATGAAATAAATGGTAATCTAAATTTTAAAAATTCTTGGGATTTATTTGGTCACCTTGACCATCACTTTCACAATCGATTTCCATACTTATTAATTCAATTAACACGAGAAAAAAAAAAAATTACAATTTAGACATAATATTAACAATAGCTAGTTTTATTAATAAAATCAATTAGAGGTACTTTATATTGTTAACTAAAATTGTTTAATAATAAACACAAGAACTTAAAAAAATTGTTTATGATTTATAATAATATTCAAACAAACATGCCCAGTGCATTAGTTAAATTGTATACCATTTAGTGACCAAATATTCTCTAAAAATAAGATATTATGCTCTATATTCAAATATTATTTAAATTTAACAATTTACTTTACTTAATAAGATTAACCAATATTTCATTATCAAATCAAAAACTTAATCTTGTATAATTTTTTTTCATTTGTTAACATTTTTTATTGATTCATGTTGTATTATTTGAATTTTTCATTTATTCTTTGTGCATGTAAGGGACGATGTAAGGCAGTCAAAGGTTTGGGGAATATTATTTAACTGTAAATACTGAATCTGGGCCTATAAGTATATTTCTCTTATTTTTTCATATAAATCAAATGTTAAAAATTATGTTATGCACTAAGAATGTTTTATATTAATTTATTAAAACAAAAGTTCAAGAAATCTTGAAAAAATTAAGCATCATAAAAGTCTTGTTTATGATTTTAAAATTCCAAATAACATAATTTAAATATATTAGCATCATTAATTATACTCCACATTTTAATTATTTTTTTCAGTCATATTTCTCGACAAGCACAATATGAGCATCCATGTGCTCCACACTATATTTATCAACCAGAAGTGAGAATTCCATTGCCACTTCTACCTCCTCCACCACCAAGACCTACACATTTCCATTCTCATAATATGCTTGTGCCTGCAAATCCTTACCTAAATCAAGGTAAGAATAATTGTTAATGATGTTAATTTTGTTTTAACTATTTGTTTTTCTTTAAGAAATCCCTGCATGGCTTGGTGTTTATTCTCATGCAGCACAAACATCAGACCATAAACTAAAATGGGAAATGTTTAGGTTACCAGAACTTGACTGTTTCAATGCTATGTTAACACGATTATATAAGCAAGAACTAGAAGAGATTGTTATGCGTTATGAAGTTTACAGGTTTGTTACTATTATTTATTCTAGATTTAATTTTAATTCCTTGAGTGAAGTTAGATATGCTTGTATGATCTTATTAGTGTATTATATGCCACATTATCATCAAAAAAATATTAAGATATTATAAAATACAGAAATACTTACTAATTTGAGTTCCTAATATCCTATGTTAATATAATATTGTTGGTTACGCTGGCTCGATTCCTCGGTCATGCGCGGCATTTTTCTTCGGGCAAGTCACGATGTACGGAGAACAAGTGCTGCCATCCCCTACCCGGGCATGGCAAATACCTACGGGTGCCCAATCAAAAATTCCCCGAAAAATTCTGCCAAACCAACATACACGTATTCCTCCCCCTACTGATATAAAAAAACCTACAACAGCTAATGGCCATAGCAGCCGGGCTTAAGATCAAATAAAAATAAAATATTGTTGTTTGTTGTTTAATTGTATAATTATATGGAAAAACTGTTTTCCATGGCAGAGATTTTTTCTATATCTATGTATAAGAACTTCCACAGTATAAAATTGTTTTAATTTTTAGAATTCCGTACAGTAAAATGGGACCCTATTAATAAGGCTCCTCTGTCCGTGCGTTTGTCACCAGGCTGTATCTCATAAACCATGAAAGTTAGAAAGTTGAAATTTTCACAGATTATGTATTTGTGTTGTCGCTATAACAACAAATACTAAAAATCCTAGAATATATAATATAAGCAGTGTTGCCAACATGTTTATAGATGATGGGCCAGAACCCTTTGTGCGCGAGTCCGACTTGCACTTGGCCGGTTTTTTTTTGTATTTATCACTTGTATAAGAAATCAACATAATATTGCGGTAATTTAGGTTTTTCTTTTTTTATGCTGAAAATTTGGTTGTTTAACAAATAGTAATACCAGTGGCAGTTTTTAACAATATATATTATGAATTTATGGTTCCTCTTAATAGAGTAGTTTTTGAAAAATAATTGATAATTTTACATTGCTTTTAAATTTAATATAATACTAGTATATACTATATAGCATTGAGGTGAGTGAAGTAATGTAAGTAAGCCACCAAGCTCTCTCAAGTTTAGATTTTTAAATCTAGTACTAATCTCATTGGTCTTCATCCTTTTTGGACTCTCAATCCATTTTCCTTGTTAATTAAATGGTAATTGATTAATATGATATCATGTGCTTAATTATATTTGGAGATACTTATTATTAATTTATTATTTATTGTATTTATTTTTAATCTTTCAAGGTATATTATGATATATGACCCAAAATTGAAACCTACTGGTGTAAGACCACTGATCTATACTTTATTCAGGATAAGAGCGATACTGGCAGCTGACTTGTGCGCATGGGCGTTTCGAATGCCGAATCTGGACAGTGGTTGAAAAAGTTTCTGACTGCCGCCAAACAAAAACCTGTCCCCGCCTAGTATCACTCTTATACTGAATAGAGTACAACTAATAAGATATTAAGTTTGATTGAGTCTTACTTATATTAATCATATTATTTCAAATTAAATTAAGACAAATAATTATTAACATTATATGTTAGTGTTTCATTGACTCAAATAGTGTTAAGTTTACTTATCCAAGACAGCTTTATTTAATGGTTGATAAATAGTGGTTGTTTTATTTTAATGATCACTTTGTTAAAATTTAACTTATTTTTTTTCTAAAATACAGAAAAATATTTTTGTATAAATCTTTTTTTTTTAGATCTGCATTATTGTATGAAATTGAAAGAAGACATAGAAGACATATGCAATCGCGATATATTGATACAAATGAATACAACCGTTATGGACCAGGGCTACGTATTATTGATGTAACTAACGATAATTTACGAGAAGTTGCACTTTCACAACATCCAGAAACTAAAGTTTAATTATTAAGTATTAGAATTCATTTTTATATAATATAGATCAAGGTATTTTACATTGTTTTTGAATACCATTGGTATGGTTAATTGCTTAATGATACTATGAGTTATTTTAACATATAATTAAGGTTTTTCTACAATACTGTGATAATTTATTAATTGTGTAATTATTACTATTATGACTAAAATTAAAGGATGTGGTTGAAATACTACCCATTATTTGTATTATAGGTTTTATTGTATTTACTAATTTGTTAAAGCAAGTGCTAATATAATTTTTTTTTAGATGTACCGTAGACTAAAATATATCTTATTCTTCCGTGGTTGTAACCATGGGCGGATGGGCCATTTTTGGCCTACCGGGAAATTATTAAAAGGGGCTCCCAAATGAAAAAAAAAAGGTCGCTTCGCTCGCAGGTATATTAGTTGGTGAATTATATTAGCTACCATATCAAAAAAAAATAATGTATAACAAAACACATTTTTTAAATCATTTATTTTTCTTTTCATTTTAAAATAATAACAACCGAGGCCAGGAGATGGTATTTTGCTCCAATTTAATTACTTGTAATTTGAGCCACCAATAGGTACATTTAAGCGCATATTTAATTTGCACCAAAATATAAAGATTAAATATGTACTTTGCGCCACTTTTAAAAATTAATTTTGGTAATTAGCGGCACAACAGAAAACAAAATAGAATATGTAATCTGCGCCACACTTTCAATTTTAATTGTTGGAATTTACCATCAGATAAATTTACTGATATTACATCGAAAATAAGATAATACCAACACGTGCCGGGTATATTATTATTGTTTCTATTAATAATAGAGAAGAGATTGATTACGTCTAATCTAATAAAGATTATCAACTGTCAAAATATTGAACAATATTGAACAGCAGTTTATCTAAGCCTGGACATAAACAATTTAAAATGTTAAAGTTAAGTTAGTCGACGTTGTTGTTGGTCGTAGGTGATAAGAAATCTTTTGAAAATACCACAGAAATACAGAATAGCAATAACTAATAGATTTATAGACATAAGATTAAAATATAATATTTAAAATTTCTATTGTAATTGTATAATATTAATGAGTCATTGCATTAACCATGAAAAGGGTCCCATTGACGAAATATGAAGGGGGCCCACCGGGAAATGCCTGGTTTCCCGGTAGACCTATCTGCCCATGGTTGTAACCGATACGGTGCCTAATCAATTAAAAATATATTTTTATTTATTAAGAGTTGAAAGTGATAAGAATTTAAGAATATTGAAATCAACCACAAAAGTAAATGATATTTAGTATTTTTTAAATAATATATATATAATACCTATTACATAAATTGTGGGTTATCACTATGCCTATATTATTGGGGTTTTTTTTAAAGATAGGAGTTTCACCTTATTTGTAAGGATAAAATAAGATAAAATATGTATTTAAATATTATTATGCTATGTCCCGTATATATGCAAAAATAGGAAATTTAATTAAATAAGATTACACATAAGTCAAAATTCTAATCGATAATTTTTTTTAATATTAAATATTTTAAATGTTAAAAGGTTGTTATGCTTGATGTATTCACTACTTATTTTACTGTCCCAGTTTTAACATAATAATGCTGAACGACTGTGAATATACAAAAACAAACATGGATGGATACAATTAAGAATTTGATTTGAATAAACCAGGGATGGAAACATTTTTAATTTTTTTGTTTTTGCTTATTGATTTGAGAAATATTGTTTTTGATTAACGTTTTTAAACATGTTATTTTCCTATTGTTTCCAAATAAAGTTTTTGATAATATTATTTTAATTTTTTTATTATAGTAATGCGCAATATAGAAATGCACTTAAAAGTTAAAAATTGAAAATTTCTAATTTTAAATTAAAATGTTTATGGTAAAGATTAAAAAGTAAAGACTTAAGTGAAATTTTTTTTTTGTGGTATAAATATAATAATGTATTGTATAATACTATAATTTATTTTTGTTTTCGATTTCGTAGTTAAAATTTTTGTTTTTGTTTTCCATTTTTTTTAGGTTTAATAATGTTTTTTAAAAACGTTTTCTATCCCTGGAATAAACCAATATTTAATTTTAAAATAATTTTTCATGTATAGAATGAATGAGTTTAATTAAATGGATTTAGCATATTTTATATCAGTGTTATAGTACAATTTTATTATTTTAAATTTATTACCAGTTGAAGGTTTTTAGGGCACCAATATTCGGGCTTGAGGTTTTAACTCTTAAATGTTTAAAGTGACATCATAAATGTCATACAAGAACTATCTAACACTAATTTTGTTCATTAAAAAATAATAAAATATATTTACACATAGTTTAAAAACTGCATATCTTAATAGCAATTATGTATCATACATAATAATTAATGCACTTAATAATCATTAAATGTTCAAAATAATATCCAGTAATAGCCTATGACTAGGAGGTAGGCCCTATATTCTAGTTAAAACTGTTTACAAAGATTAATATTTTTTTGTTATTTACATGGCTCAAAAAATAATAAATAAATAACCATAATCGTTTCTTAAAATATTGATATTGGCATTTGAAGACAATACAATTGTGAAATAAAATTACATATTTTAAACAATCCAATGTGTTATGTGGTTATCATGACTTCATTATTAACAGAATTCATAGATATTGCTGATCCTTTTTCAGTCAATTCTTTTTTGAATGATGATAGATTTTGAGTAAACCTATTAAAATGTATATAGGTATCAATTTATTGTATTTAATATTTAATATTTTGTTTAGTTAATATATACCTTTCTCGATTCCTGCTTGCTAAATTTCGTTCAACTCCTTCCATCAACATTTCAAACCATTGAGCCATTGCTGATTGTTTATCAATTGGTTGGCTTTGTAAAATAACATCCCTTAGTTGATTAAAATACTAAACAAAATGTATACGATATTAAATAAGTGAGGTTTTATTTACTTTAGATAATAGTATAAATAATCAATAATAATACCTCTTCATTAAGTAGTATAAGTCCAAGAAGCGGTCTGGACATTGACCATTGATTTCTACATTCTTCAAATATGATTATGTTGAGTACAGTCTGTAAGATTTGTCTAAATACACCTAAATGTGTTTCTAGAGTGCGTAAAAAAATTTCATTTACTTGTTGCATGCGACGCCTCACTTTTTTACCTAAGGAAAATAAAAAAGTAAGTTAGTTTTATAATATTTTTTTTTATTTATTAGAAAATACCAGCATAAGAATCACTAATTAAACATATTAAAAAAACTGATATTATATAATATCACAATGATTTTATTTAAGGTTTTTATATTAAATCTACTTTCCCTACTTTAGTTAAAAACTTACCTTTTAATAATAATTGCTTAAACACATAAGTAACAATATGATCGAGAGTAGTGCAACATCCTGTGCATATAGACATATCTAAAAAACAAGGTTAACAATAAACAATGCATATTGACTAAACATTTTATAATTAATTAATAATTCAAAGTTATGAACCTCAAAAATCTCCATATTATTCCCTTTTTTTGGTTAAGTTATAACCCTAATAAATCTAAAATCTCCAAGTCATTATATGTCTTTATTTTAACTAACTAAAAACTGTTTTATTGGAGATGATTTTATGTACACTACTCTGCCTAGAGTTCTTCTTTTTCTGCTTGCCATGCTGAGCCATGGTAAAATTATATATAATATTATCAACTCTTTAGAGCTAAGTATCCTAAATACAGGTGATGCAGCCACTCAAAAATATAAACCAAACTATCTAAATACTGCCATGTATATTTCTTAATTATTTCTACTTTCAAAATCTACTCTTCAACTTGATCCACTATGGCTACTACAAATAGTAGTGACCATTTTCCTAAAATTATTTCTCTAAGCCCAAACATATGGACAATTTTTATCACAAATCTGTTGCCTTAATATCATCAACTGACTTTCTCCACTAATTTTACAACACTTACCCACCAATCATTACTTTCAATATTTAATAAATTAATTGATTTAAATTTCAAATCAAACCATCTGCTATCATATTATGTAGTTATGTTAGTTGAACACATTCATAAAAACCAACTTGACTCGTTAGATAAATGATGTGTTGGGCTCATTGGTGTTAACTTGGATTTTAGGGACCCATGACATAAAATCTCCTGGGTCCCTTAAAAATTTCAAAAACAACAAAAGATAGCTCTAATAATTGGTCATTGGTCAGTAAGTCGTGGAATTTTTTTCAAATACTAAAATAATATTATATTATTGTGAAATTTGTAGTTTAATATAAAAAATAGAATATTTTTGGTTAGGATAGGGCCCTCATCAGTTGTGGACCTGTGGCATTTGCTCACCTTGTTCACCCGATATTTACCCTACTAGTTGGGCTCGCTAAACTTTGTTCTTTTCAATCAGCCCAGTCATACATCATACAAACTATATCATTCAATTTTGATTTTGTATATAATTTAATTTTCTAAATTAATATTTTAATGACCAAAAACTCAAAATTAAACTGATTTTTAAATAATGATTTATTTATTTTTAGAAGAATATATATTATATACAATCTATACCTAGACATAATAAGTATATGGGCGATTAGAAGGAAAAAATAACATGAATAATTAATTTCAGGAAAGAAGGCACCCACTGATGACACTTGGTTTAAATCTTGTGTGATTTAATTATATTAGTTTTTTTTTTTTAAATATTTAAAGTAATAAATCTCTGCACCATTTACGTTTGAGTCGCCTTGGGGGGGCTACCTGTGATTGTGAGGGATGATAAGTTCTGGATGAGAGGATTTGAATGGAAAGATAGACAGTTATGACATTTTTTATAAAAACGTTTAGCTTCGTCATGAATAGTTTTTAAGTTACAATCTGTATGTAGGGTATGGTTTGATATGTATGGAAGGGCGTTAACTAATTTCCTTAAGGTCATATTTTGGAAAGCTTGTATCTTATTCAGATTGGATTTTTTAGCATTTCCCCTTAGTTCCAATCCGTATATCTAGATGGGTTTCAAATAATGATTTAGTATTTTAGTGCATTTTTTTATTAACATACAGAGTGATTTACTTAACATAAAACAGTTGTTAAATCATAAAGTATTTACTTTTTTTCAAAATTTTGGTTCTATTCTTTTCAAGAAATGTATACAAATTTTTTTTTCCACCCTTATAATTACTTAAGCCACTATTAACTTTGGATTTTTAAAAGACAATCCATACTAAAAATGTCATAAATTAATAAGATTAGTTTTTTTTTGTTATGAATTATCATGTTCAAATTTTCGTTTTTTTTAACCCGTTGAATATAAACCACGCAAAGTTATGTGGTTTTGGGAGGTTTTTATGTGTTATCTAGTCAGTACCTACTGCAACAATTAGGATTTTTATATCCAGGGTAAAAGATATACTTTGAACATAAATTCAGTAAGTACAGTAAGTTTAAGTTTTCCCCCTAAATGTAATGTGTAGAGCCCATTTGGCAGGGTGTCGTGTAGTTTACCCCACTGCATGTGTTTTCTGTGGCTGGTAATGATAATACTTATCGTTATAATTCCAGAAGTTATAACTTATAAGTAAAAATTTTGATATAGTGCAACCCAAACATATAATGGTGATAAACAATGTACGTATTGACTACTTCTTACAATAACTTATTGTCATAGATACTTATAATTTACAAGTAAATTGATAGGATAAATAAAAAGATAATAGATAGTACACCATAAGTTATAATGTACTATCTATTATCTACAGCCGTTAATGATATTCGGTGCAATGCGTAATGGCAATCAATTATTGACCTTTGGGTCGAACGATATCAAATTCATTACTTATGACTTCTGGTCTTACGAACGATAAGCATTATTATGATCGGTGCCAATATTACATGCATTGGGCTGAACTGCACGACAACCTGCCAAATGGTATTTTAAAATAAAAAGTGGATTACCTAATAAATATAAGTGCAAAAAAAAAAAAATTAATGTATGCATTTCTTGAAAAGTATGTATCTAACATTTTGAAAAAGGTAAATAATTTTCTATATAATGACTGTTTTACATTAAATAAAATACCCTATATAAGTTTTATCTATACTATTAATTAATTAAGTAGGTTTTTAACTAAAAAGTTAAAAATAAACATAAAGTAAATTACATGGATTAGACTTTACCTACATCTTATGAAGTAACTACAATTTTTCACTTATTAGTTTTTAATGTTCATTATACCTTTACCAATTTTTAACACATACTTTGTTTTTTAAATCAATACTTACCGAAATATTCATCTCATAATATAGGACATAGGTAATGTATATTTTTACAATATATAACTCACCTAATGCATTCAGTCCTTCAGATATGGATGAAAGTATGTACAAAAATACTTGAGGTTCTAAAGTTGATAAAAACTCCATATGATCTTGAGCAAGACACTCAAGTAGTCCATAATATGTTTGCGATAATTTCGGATAATGCTAGAAATAAATTAAAATTAACAATTAATATTATAATTATTAATCTATTACTTTAATATGAAAAAAATCTTAGGTACTTAGGTTACATATAATAGGATGATTGTAATATACAATGTTATACAATGGTATAGAGCTAAATATAAGTTAGTTAATATTATAACTATTTGATAGTCTTAATATAATTAATTATTATTTATAATATTGAATAATAGGAAATTAGGTTATAATTTATAAGAAAAATAAAATAAATATTAATGGACTTTGAAAATCATAAAATTCAGAGAGAATCAATTTGTAAGCACAAAATATAAAATACCATGTTGCCACATACAACAATAAAAATATTCTTAAAAAATGTAACATAAAATACATACACAAGTGAAATCAAGCTACCTATGTAAGCAATTTATGTAGTAAAATAATTAAACTGCTTTAACTGTCAAAATCTTTATTATTAAAGAAAATTATATTTACATAATACAAGGTGATAATAATTTTAAAGTTAAACACTAATTTTTTTGAGAAAATGAAATATTTTTTTATTACATAATAATTAATTACTATTTTGATTATGATAATAATTGCATATGCCGAAATAGAATAATTTTCTGAGAATTCAAATATTAAAGAGTTGTACAAGTGAGTACCGTTCTGCTATATATTAGGTGTTAAGTTTATCAATCGATATATTAAATTTGAATTCAATGATAAAATGAAAAGAATTCTGAGTGAAGATCCATCGGTTCATTAGTTTATATTAGGTACTAAGTATATTTTATGAAATCATTACTATTAAAGTAATTAAATTTAATATTAGTAATCCAGTAAGTTAAATTAACTTTTGCCAAATACATTTGGCATATATATTATTAAAATTTCACTGTGTTTATAAAATATAATAATATACATTATACATTTAAAGTTATAAGTACCTACCCACTCATATTTTCAAATTATACCTAACAGAATAAATATAATAGTTATTCTTTGTTTAAATATCTACTTTATTCCAACTTTGAACTAAAAATATCTAAAAAAAATGTTAGCTATATATTTTTTATATTTTTTTTATTCATGTGTATTAAATTTTCAAGCTTTAACGAAAAAAATTGAAAATTTGAATACTGCTTAGTCACTGGGTCATTGAGATAATTAAATATTGATATTGTTCATAAATAGATTGGAAATTATTAAATCAACTACTATACATCCTAACAATGTACTCAGTAAAAAGAACAAATTTTAATTTTAGAATCAATTTGTAGTTTAATTTTAAGGCAAATAATATACGACTTACCATAAGATCACTCAGAGGAATTGACAGTAATAATTTTACAAATATATTAAGAGCGTTTTCTAAAGTGTCATCACCATAAAGTTTAAAAACACCAAAGTTAACATAGTTTCCACATAATGCTGCTTTTAACATTGAAAAACAAATAGATATTCCTTTTAACTTTTTTTTATATAACATATCTTGTTGAACATCAAGATTTAAAATATTATTCCCTGTAAAAATTATTTATGTTTATATTGCTTACAAAAATAAAAAGTTTAAGAAATGCTTACCATAAGTACAGACAACTTTACTAGCTTCACGGAATAATAATATTCCATTTGGAGAAGACACATCAACTTGAAGTCTTTGTGAACGATTTAAAGCCAATTCTGCATACAGTTTTAATAACGGAGTTGTAATTTCAGGATCAGCATACCATAGTTCCATTGCACGCAGTAAAATTGGTGTATATGAAGGATATAACCATTCAAACAATAACATAAATGATGTCTTAGTATTGAATGAAAAAGCTAAGCCTCTAAGGTCTCTAATGAGGCCAATTAGAGCTTTTTTGGCTTCAATATTTGAATATACAGATGTATCGTTTACACCGTTAACTGTAGCTAATAAAGCTCCTATTGACTCAACGGATGCTAAGTTTAAAAAAATTAAAACAATAGTTAATAATATATACAGTATGAATTATATTGATTGAATGCATTTACCTGTTAGAGGTATCATAAAATTATCAAATTTATCTTCATCTTCCAATAAATCAATCATAAGGAGTCTACCTAATGATGTATAAAATGATGATCGATGTCTCATATCTTTAACACTAAAAGTGTTACCCAATAAAGGAAAATGTTCACTCTGTTAAAAAAAAATATTAATAGTACATTTTTTATTTAAAAAAATTATATATAAATATTTGAAATTACTGTATGATTGTTTAATAGGAACTGAATTTCATCAAGTTTTACTAATTTTCTAACACTAGAAAAACCAACTGAAAGATCATTCAATAAAGCTAATGTTTTTTGAATTACTGTATTACTGGAGCACCAAAATTTTAAATTTGTTATACTGAAAATTAAATTAATGACAAATTTTAGTGATCAATATTAAATTTAAATTTAAATAATTTACATTTTTCTCATAAAAATGCTGAGAACCATGTGCTCTTCACTAATACCAAGGACGTCGTGTAATCGTCGATAGACCTTTGAATTCTTAGGTACCTATACAAATTTAATATATAAAGTACTGTGTTCAAATATAAAAAATTCAAATAAATGTAACAACTATTTTGGATTATTTGGCCAAAACAATAAAACTTCAAATAATCCATATAATTATTTTTCCTTACTTGATCACCGATGTAGATTTTTCGAAATTGTTCAAAGAAAAATAAAAATGAATGTTCTAATTTTTCATAACCTCCTTGAGGCAGCCTTGAATCACTAAAAGTCATTAACTGTAGAACTTTACAAGCCATTTCTCCATCCATTGCATCTCCATCATCATTACTATTAAATGTTACACGACCTCCAATTGCTGCTCCAATTAAATATACCAACCAAGTTAAACGACCTAAATTAAAAATTATTTATATATTTATAGTAGAAAGAATATTGAGAACTAAAACAGGAATATTAACACAAAATACCATAATATATCATAATAATATAAGACATAGATAAAATATTACATGATGATCAACATTAAAATACACCTACATAATCATAACTCATAAGCAATTATGATGAATTTATGACAAACAGTTTTAAATGTTAGTCTGGATAACTAAAATGGATTACAAGATACAAGTCTAGGAGGGGGAAGGGGTCTTAAAGAAAATATGAACTACAAATTAACAAACATATTATTATACCTAAATTTCATACATTTATACAATACTATATTATTACAAGTTCATCATACATTGTTTTAGAGGAATCATAGAAGTTGTTTAGGTTAGGTCTATGTTAGGTTGTTAGCTTTAATAATATTAGAACGAGTTGAATTCTTTAAGCAAAAAACATAAACTATGTTTAAAAATTGGCGTTTTAGAATATTTAAATTTTGAAGTGTATTGTAATTATGTATATATAAATTAAAAGTTTATTTTTTAAAAATGCTCACACCCATTTTTTCTCCTTAATAGTATATATAATTATTATTCAAATTTCTGATATTTTTTGTACTAGGTACTTGAGGAGTGTCTATGGCGGTACAAACATTTATTCTTCAAATGAGAATCCGATTTTTTTAATGTAAATTATTTAACGAGTAATTTTCTTGAACATTTTGATGTATCTTAATCAAAATTCTAATAAGTAGTTTCTGAGTTATGAAAAGTAGTAAATGTTTGTACTAAGGATAATAATCCATAAATATAGTTTTATACAAATATAAGTTATATGTAATATATGTAGTATTCATTATACTTAGATTATTTTTACAAACGATGGCGGCGTCGCGGAAGTAATGCGCAAGCCATTCCCGCGACGTCGTCGGTTCAAAAACAAACAAAAAAAAAAAAAGACTATTTTTACAAATAATTTATATTGATAGATCGTTTGTAATTAATACAATTTTCAAATCATCTTAGCACCGAATTGAATCCCGGAAAAAAAGTCCAAAAGAAAAAAAGAACAATTTTTAAAAATTAAATTAAATTAATTGATTATAAAAATTAAAAAAATAATAAGGGGTATTATCAAATATCAATTGTATGGAAAATGCTATGAAAATTAATTTTTGTTCTTCCAATAATATGGTTTATTGAGCAGTTTGAGGGTAAAAACACCTATTATCTATAATCTGTATCTATATAAAAGTAAATTTTTGATATTTTATATTCGTTATATTTTCATTGGTCTTTTTTACCGATTACCCCAAAATCTTCTTAACCTATTAGCATAGACATATTATTCTTAAGATACATCAAAATTCTCAAAAAAAAATATCAGCTGAATAACTGAAATTAAAAAAGTGGAGTTCCTGTTTAAAAACAGAAGTTTGTATTATTACAGAATCATCCTTAAGTGATGCAAAAAAACTTAATTATTCAAAAATATGGTCTTCATGTGCATTTAAAATATCCAAAAATCAAAATTTGAATAAATGTATAATTTAAGCATAAAAACAGGGGAGTATATTTAAAAAAACACCCTGTACATGATGTTGAAATTCAATACCTGTCATAACTGTATTAAAAGTTAAAACATCATAGAAAGTAAACATACAAAGATAATGTTATCAACTTATCCATAAATCAACTAAACGCTGGTCCTCTGAGAAAGAGTTATAAATACATGTATTTCGGTAACTTCAATTAAAAATGTCTGTCGGTGGTTTTTCGACTTTTAATCGTACCATTTTACCAAAATAAATCTCTGCAATAGGTAAACAGTTGTTGAAATCAAATGAAACGTAGTCAGACTGAATATGGCTCCCATAAAGTACAAGGATAAGCTCAAGGATAAAAAAAAGTGATTGCAGCAGTATAAGTTGGGGGAAAAAAAATTTTTGCCCTACGTTTTTGTATCCCAACTTCTAAACTTTCAACTATAATCAAACAAAGACATCTTACAACATTGACTTATTTACTTTAATAATATATATATATATATGAATAAATCAAAATATAAATATACAGGGTGAATCTTGAAGCATGCACACCCTTTTTTTTCTTCAATAATGCAGTTATTCAAAATCAAATTTTTTGAAATTTTAAATATACTTTAAATAACCAAACCATATTTGTTTTATTTTTATTGTCGAATTAAGGACCTACATCAACATTTTCAAAAAAATTATCCACTAAAATAATTACAGAAAAAAATCAAGTGCGGGTCGGACTCGCGCACGAAGGGTTCCGTACCATAATCTATAAGCATGTTGGCAACACTGCTTTTATTATATATTCTATAATTTTTAGTATTTGTTGTTATAGCGGCAACACAAATACATAATCTGTGAAAATTACAACTTTCTAACTTTTATGGTTCATGAGATACAGCCTGGTGACAGACGGACGGACAGCGGAGCCTTAGTAATAGGGTCCTGTTTTACCGTACGGAACCTTAAAAAGGAGGTTCTCAATAGAAAAACAGAAGTTTGTATTGCCACAGAAGCTTCTCAAGTAGATAGTACAAAAATATTCATTACATTTAAAATATAGTCTTTGACTATATTTAAAAATTCCACAAATTAAAATTAGAATAAATATATTATTAAAGTAAGAAATGGGGGGGGGGGGGGGTGAGCATGCTTGGTGAATCAACCTGTATAAAAAATTAATTAATAAATAATAAATACAATGTAATACAATTTTTATAACCTAACACTCAGTAAATCAAATACCTCTTTAAAACTAATTTTTAGATCGGTATTATATTCAAACTATTGAGGGACAACCGTAATGTATATAATGTATTATTATTAAGGGGTTTCATCACACTGCATAGCTAATGGATACAACAAAATAAAGTATAAACTGATATACCTTCTTGAATCTTCAGATCATAAATAGAAGCAGAAGCCGAAGCAATAATTTCTTGATAATTGGTAGCTGATTGATCAAATAACTGAGCAATTAATGAGCATGTTTTTTGATAATGACATCTGCCAATCACAGATAACTGCTCAAGCTGTTGTTGAACATTAGTGAAATCATCTAATGGGTCATCCAATCCATCTCTTACAATGAGTGTAACACTTTCTATCCTGGATGATATGTATGCCTTGGTAACTTCAGGAGTATAAGTTTCCAATAAATGAGGTTCTGCAGCTTTGACATAAGGTACTGATGCTACCATTCGTTGCCAAAAACTTAACAGATAGTGAAAGCTGTTTGGAGCACATTGGTATACCTAATTAAAATCAGATTTTTTTTATATAAATATATATTTTTGAATATACAGTTACAATAACAAAATTAAAGTTAAAATAAATTATATGTATACTTTTATAGTACTTAAGTAAAAATTAACAATAGACACAATAAACATTGTTGTGAAATTGATTTGTAAATTAAAAATATTAGGAAAAATAGAAAAAAAAATATGAAAACACATCAAGACAGTAATAATGTGTTAATTACAACTAAAATCGAATTTTATTCATAAAATTGTATTCTATACAAAAACCGATTTCAAAATAATACACCAGCATTTCATTTTGTTATTATATTTTATTTATATATTTACTCTACATATTTGATAAAACATTTTTACCTGTAAACTTTCAACAGTAAATTTAGCAATGAGACCAACAGTTTCTTGATAAGTGTCAACCATCACAAGTTCTCCAAGCTGATAATTTGATTTCAGTCTTGCTAATAAACGACAAAACTCATGGTAATTATTCGAATCGGCTAAACCCTACGAATAAAAAAAAATTAATTTTAATAATAATACAATATTTCAACGGTTATAATACTAGGAACTGCAATAATAGTTAATGCAAAATTGTAATGTTTAATAAGTTGTAAACCCAACAATTTATTGAAATATAAAGATAAAATGTTTATTCAGTTAAAATCTTAATACCTGAGGATTAAGTAGAATATCTTTGACACCATTTACTAAATGAGATAAAAATTTAGCTCTTTCAGTAGTACTAAATAAGGAACGTCGGACTGACGCTAGTTGCACCAAGCATGATAGAGCCTAAACAATTATAAATATAATTAATTTCATGATGAGGCATAGTGTGCAATTTTTTAAAAGCTATTCTTACTAGGCTTGACAAACTAGGTGGCAGGGAATGATAGAGATCGAAAAATAGTGTTAAAGTAGATTGTTCGAGGAATGCTGGTCGCCAACCTGTGGGTATTTGAACAGTACAAATATCATCAGCCGATTCATCACAAGTTGTACCAATAAAATCATAGGTTAAGCAATTCTGAGCTAACTGTAGACATCGAGACATGAATCCATGCTAAAACAAAAAACAATGTATACATTCAAAACATAAATAAATTATATGTATAATTTTGATGAACTTGGATTTACTTGGGTTTCATCAGTGAAATTTAAATTTTTTCGATTATTATTAGCACCCCGTAACATTTGACATGACATTCGAAAAATTTCAAATAATTGTGTATCTCTGAATGATGAAGCCACTTTTCGATGTTTTAAAACAGCTCGGTGAGATTCAACATCAGCTACAGTGTTCATTTCAGTTGTTAACTGAGATAATAGTTGTACACCAATCATGCAATGTTCAACATTCGTTCCCTAAGACATTTATGATTTACTATATAATACAGTATATTTTTTTTTTCTTAATACCAAAAAAAACTCCGTAGAGGGTTTTTCACCCGTATTGTTGTCTCCTCCTTACACACATACGGCATAGCAAAAACTATTTGAACAGAGAAGGCTAGTCATAACTAGGAAACAATATTTTCACCACATATAAAGGAGAACTTTGGCTATGTAATATCGTTTTAATTTTTTTGATATCACGTATACGAAAAAATTTCTTATTGTTTCAAAATCTATTATTATTAGGGTTTTTTCACCTTTATTAACTTTTGTTGAAAAAATAAAATCGATATGGCACAGCCAAAGTTATCCTTTTTATATGATGAAAATGTTTTTTCTTAGTTATGAGTGTAGCCTTCTTGGTTCTTTCCAGCGCAAAACAAATTTTGCTATACTGTATGTGTGTAAGACAACAAATGCGGATGAAATGTCCTCTTACTTAAGAGAAAAACAGTACTAATAATAAAACCATTTAATAAAAAACTAATAACTGTATATAAAAATTGAAAATAATGTTACATGTTATAACTATGGTGTTTGGATGTTACTTGTTACAGTTTTGAGTAAATGTCTGGGAGGCATATTGGAGTACTAAGACCTCCTAGTTTCTACTAAGTATAAGGAATACAATTATTATTTTCAAAGTCTGGGGGGACATAAATTGTGTAGTACTATGCAACTTCTTGCCACTGTTGCTAACTATAACCGTGATCCGTGAAGAATACTGAGGATATGGTTAAAAGAAGAACCTAACAAATTAAATAATCTAACCTAAAGTTATAAGCCTCAAAATGTTAGTTACTTGTAAAAATACTGAAATATCAGATACAACATTTCTAAATGCATAGGAATCTTTTTCTCCATCAAACCATCCTTGTTTAGTAATTTTTGCAAATAACAATACAAGTGCTTGGACTACAAATGATGGCAATTTAGGACGAGTAGCCAAATAATTCAAAATATAATTTCCTAAAATAAAAAAATATTAACAATTATAATATAAGGAACAAAACATTTTTAAAAATTGTATTAAATTTAAAAATAGCTTAAATTATATAACTTACTGATTTGTATTCTTTGATCAAGATTTAAAGTTAATGGTGTGCGTGATAAAAGTTTAGTTATAGTGGTAGTCGCTAATAGTTGAGAATAATGTGAATCAGCTCGTTCCAATAGCAATTGACACTTTGATAGTGTGTTAGGGGTATTACTATTTTGAAATGAAACCAAAGCTTTTTCGGCTTCTACACAAAGAGTAGCATCCCTTGATTCGTACATTTGCTTGCATAGCATTTCCAAACGTGGAATACTCTATAAAATACATAAATATTATTTTTTTAAATTTGTAAACCATATATTATAATGATTTAACAAATTAATATATTTAAATCTAACATAATATTATGATACAATAAATATTAATATTAAACAAGAATGAAAAATAATTATTCATGACAAATATTTACATTATAGTTAAGAGATAATACTGTTTACAATAAATTAAAATTATAAATAATTATTTAATTTAAATAAGTATAATGGAAATATTAAAACTAAAAAATATCTAAATATTCTATATAAAAATCTATAGTTGTAAGGATAATTATATAATATCGGGTATTTGGAGAAAAAAGTTAGGTAAAATATGTTAGGGATGTTAGGTATGAACCACTCGGCCGACCAAAACATATCTTTCCCGCTCATCCCGACCACAATCCAAACATTGGAGAGAGTGTTAGAACAGGCGCCCGACGACCGACAATGAAACAATGAATGCATAGCCATCGCATGGAGGGTCAGGCACTGTTAAGCTGCTCAGTCTGCAGGCGCGAAAGCGGTTAAATATTATTCTGAATAGAGTATATTATATGAGATACATATTAATCTAATAAATTATTTATATTTAATTCAATGTAATATGGAATTATTCAATAATGTATTTAATATTCTGTTTTCTAGGAAATCATTTTTTTCTGAAGGATATCTATTATTATTTATTATTAATTACCAATAAACCAAAAAAACACAATATTCACTTGGATTTTACACTGTTTTAAACACATGTTTTAATTGTTTTGTTCATGAACAAAATGTTTGAAATGAATGTTTTTTATCATGTTTAAAACAAGTTGTTTAAGACATTGTGTTTTAAACATAACAACTCAGGCGATTCCCAAAGTGTGTGTTTCGCAGAACCTAAGGGTTCCTTGGGACAATCTCAAGGGTTCCGCCGAGAATGCCAGATGTATGTGGATATTGAGAAAATTATTTTGTAGTACCTTTATTTATTTATTTATACATAACAGTCACTAGTATAATATTGGCAGATTGCTATAAAATATTTGTTTAACAGACATATTAGGGTTCCACGAAACTTTGGTGCCATGGAAGTAAAAGTTTGGGAACCGCTGGTGTATAAGTACCTATAGATATTATAGTTTTAGTACAGGTATTACATGATATATGCCAAAACCTAAGCAGATATACAATTACACAAACACATATGAAAAAAAGTTTTTTTGTATGAATTACATCTAAAAATGTTAAGTTAACTACTATTATTTTCTACTATACTCATGTTCCATGAACCTAGGTACTATTTAAAATACTTAGTTATTTAATATTTTCTAGATAGTCTTAACATTAAATCCATTAAATGTGTACCATATTTCTTGAAATTAATTATACACATTTTTCTTTATACATAGTATATCAAATATTTAAGTAATTAACTATTTTATTTTAACACTGTCGAGTAGTTATTTAAAAAGGTATACCTATTATGTAAATGATGAAGATAAAAAGGGAAATTTTAATATGCTTATACTTAAATATTATAATATAAATAAATAAGATATTGAGTGATCATCAAAAATGTATAATACGTAAATAAATGATCATAGTATAATATAACTATAATTTCATTAACTTATAAAAAATAACAATACAAATGTAACCATGCAGGCCGATTACACTTGCCTGAATATCGTCCGCCATCTCCATCAAAAGCCATTAAACATCCAACAGAAATATGTATAGTAACAGCCTTATTATATTATTATTAAATTGTTGAAAATTATAGTACACCAAACAAACTTATTTTACCGCAATCACACTATAATAATTCTAAACTAAAAATCCAGTGCGAAAAAATAATAAACAGAAATTTTTGCCCAACTACAAACAACGTTCGTCTATCTATTTTCATGTTAACCAACATTACACCAGTGTATAAATCATAAATTAAATTAAGTTGCATTTAAATAACACTTGTTAATAATTTTAATAAATTTCGAGTTCTAAATCAACATTTATTTAAGCGGTAATTTTAAGTTTTTAACACATCGTAAGACAAATTAAAATTTTAATTATTGTTGGTTAATCTGAAAAAGTGATAAAATAAAATAGTAATAATTATTGTTATTTTGTTAACAGTTTTTGATATCAAATTATTTTAAACATTTATACGTAATAGGTATGTATATATTATATAATAATAAATAATAATGTTATCTATAATGTAATAGGTATAGTTTATTTCTTTCTTCACTTTAACAGTACACATGTTTAACTTGAGTAGTTGAGTTATGGGTATGACTACAAAGCATACAGAATACCGAATAATCGAATGTCGTTTTATTATAATTACTAATTAAATAGGTAGGTACATTTTTCTAGTCTCCAGTTTAATATTAAATTACAAAATTTTGCAAAAGTTTACTGGCCACCGGGTAACTATATGGTTAAATAAATATCATACATTCAACATAAAAATTGTTTAAAAAAATGAATAATCAAAATGATGGTGAGGCTCATGTACAAATGTTGACAGACGTTTGCCAAAATGTTTGTACATTTATCAAAACAATAACAATGAATAACATGTCAAATATTGATAAGTTAAATACCTTTGAAATAAAAATTAATGATTTGCAATGTATTTGTTCTAAATTAAAAACTAAATTAGAACAAATTAATGAACAAGTTAAAACATTAGCAAGTTTGTTAAATTTCGCAACTGACCAAGATGCGTCTGCTATCGATATATTGACTCAATGGATTTTATCGCTTTCAAACAAAAATATTGAATATCCCAAGAAAAGAAAATTATATACATCATATTCACCTCTAAAGTTGTCTCTTAAAGATAAAACTGAGATTAATGAAAGCACTAAAAATAAACCAATGTGTACAAAACCTGAAAAAGAAAACAAAATTAAATGTCAAAATGAATTAAATAATATATGGAAATTACAAGTTAAGCGTGATGGAAATCCTTCTGATTTATTAAAGAAATCTAAACAAACTACATTAATGCTTCAACCACAAAAAGAAAAGATGAAGATGGATATTACTACTTTCAGCAGTCCTACACCTAAAATATCAGTATTAAATTCTTCTAGTTTATTTAGTCCTGAGATGTTAAATTTGAAAAATTATACGACTAATGATAATACAATATGTGAAACAAATATAATTCATAATACAGAACTAAATGATTCGACTAATATTTCTTTAAGTAATTTTAATGCAATTACCAAGCCTAGCAAAAATACATTGTCTATAATAAAAACAAATTTTTTAAAATCAAAAGAAACAAATACTTCCCATGGTGAAACTGAAAAACATGATCATTCAAATGATGAAACCAATTGTAGCCCAATAAATATATCAATGAGTGTTTTAAATAATGCAACAACACTTAAAAAGCAAATCAAAATTCCTAATGGAAATTTATTAGATAGTTTTGATATTATTCCTGGTTTGAATGATAAAAAAAATGACTTACCCAATTACAAATTTAAAGAAGATCCTGTTAGAAAACATAATGAACGAAAGTTGTTAAATGGTTGGGATTGTAAAGACTGTTGCAAATTTTATGAAGAAAATAATGATAATCCTATAGATGCAAAAAATGCAATGAATCACTTTTCAAGACATCGTTCTCATAAACATCAACACCACGCTCCAACACCACCAGGATTTTGGGATCCATTGTAATAACACCATAGGTATACAATTCCTGTATAATAATTGATTTTAATCAGCTTTCCAACTTATAAGGTTACATCATTTTTATAAGTACTTTTATTGTTAAATAATAAATAATATAATAATTGGGTCTTAACACTATTAAGATAATATTTGAAAAAAAGATAAATAATTATATTCTACAGAAATAAAAATTAAATATTCAATGTGTGTTATACAATTTTTTAAGGTCTAACACAGCAACAGGCCACTAATGCCACTATAAAAGAAAATATAGTTAACAATATCATATTTAAAAGTGTATTTAATATAAATCTTCAATTTGTAAATTATTAATATTTAATATAAATCTTCAATTTGTAAATTATTAATATTTAATAAATTCATTATATTATTATTTTGTTTAACATATTTTCTATATTATAGTATGTATATACTGATATAAATATTAGATCAATTATATTTTTCAAGTATAAATTAAGTATGACAAATAATAACTTAATATATTCAAATAATGAATATAAAAGTTAATTAAATATGGTTTTATTACTGATTTATAATAATTTAATAATAGGTAGTCATATAGGTATAGGTTAGCAGAATATGTAACTTAATGTATTGAATTCATTGTATCTGATTCAAATAAAATATTTGTTATAAACAAATACATTTTTTTTCTTTTAAAATTTCTATTTCAAATTAAGCAGTACTATTTTATTTATTTTTTTTTTTGGGGGGGGGAAAGGGGTAGGCTGGAGGACAAAACCCTGAGAAAAAGAAGTTCACTTGAGATACACAGCCGCAGAGCTCATAAACAATTAGTTTAGGCAATTAAGGTCTAAGGCTCCTGGACTCATAACTGATAGTTGCAGGTATATTATATTATTGTAGTAATCTATAATAAGTATTAAGTATACTAATATTAAGTCCTAAGTTAGTAATATTATGGATAGCCCATAGATACATACAACAACCAGCTTGGGATACGGCCAAAACATCAAATATTAAAATTTTCCAATCACTCAGGTCAATTTGCCTTCGCCTCATTACAAAAGTCACCTAGTACATCAGCCATCTCTTCCTTCACTATCAACTACAAAATCCCAAACATTCATTCACTAGCCTCCCACTGGCCACTATTATAAACCATTTCACAAAAACACACAATCCAAGAACCTAATATTCATATCCCCTAACTTCAAACCTCTCATCTCTTACACTTTCTGATAACCCACCATCTTAAACAAAATCGGCCCAGGGACCTTCTCAACATTAAAAAAAAAAAATAAATAATACAACACAAAAAAATGTTTAAAAAAAACTTAAAGAAGGATCATTTGAGGGGGAGGGCTTCTATCATGCATTCATGCACCGTATACTTTACCCCCCCCCCCACCAAATTACCACAGATTATATTATAAAATCTGTGATATTACCAATATTGTATAAATGTTATTAAAGATTGTATAATATTATATTCTTGTTTGTTCTGATAAAAAATAAAAAACAAAATAAAATAATGGTGCCAATGTATCAAGGTCTATGATAGTCTATGCCTCTATGGGTTGTTAATATTATCTGTAAACATTGCCAATATTCAACTTCTCCCCCTCCCACCCCAACTCACATACAAATGGCGATCAAGACAACCCGTTTCTTATAACCAGTATAAATGCTAAAAAGGCAAAAAGCATAACAATTAAATTTTTATTATTGTTATTTGTTGATGCAACAATGCTTTTCCCAATTAAAACCAATAATAAATAATAATAACTTAACAGGTTAATGGTCATTGGTCATAAGTCATAACAACGTTGTTATTGTTTTCGTGTTATCAGTAGTTTATATTATCGACCGTTCAATCTATGTGGTTCAATGTTCATACACGGATAACGGGTGTACTATAACAACTTTACTTTATATAAACGTTTTATATACCTAGTAGGTATTATACTATGGGTATAATCTTATAAGTTATTAGTCACAAGTCATAAGAACAAAATATTTTTTTATTTTATTGCTACGACGCAATAACTCTATGAAAACGTTTGGGTTACTACTTACAGTACTTTAGTTTGCTATTTCACGTTGTTCATCAATGTTTTAAAATCACTACCTGCATTAATCAAAGTTTAAGGAATCAAAATGAAATTACTATTTCTAGGATTTTGTCTCTTCATTGCCTTATTTGGAGAAAATGTTTCGGCCCAAAAGCACAAGGTTAGTATATTTGTAGTGGATTTGATTTATAGTTTATTTTTTTTTAATCTGATCATAAGAAATTAAAATTGATTTGTTTTTTCAACCATCGGACCCTTAAAATGTTTATCCTAACGATTACATCTTACATTATAAATTCTATAAATCACAACTGAAATATAAAACTGTTATGTCAATATCTTGGTTTAAAATTATCTTACATTGAATATTGAATCCTTATAATAATTGAAATTGCGGCTAATTGGTCATTTGCTATCCGAAGGATAAGACATTCTAGGGTTTTGAAACAAACTGTTTTTCAATTTAGCATACTGAATACTGATCAATCTAATTACTGATATACCTACCTAGATTTTGAGAACATTATAATTATTTGTTATATATATAACAAACACTTATGAGGAACCTTGTATTAAAATTTCAAGTATTTTGATTCAGAGAAAATTTTTATTGACAATAATTTAGAGGACGTTACACCAAAATTTGTTGTCTTACAAGTGCGTAACATAAAAAATTGAACTCTCAGCAGATCACATTTAGCTTCGTAAGTTTAAAAATTTGAGTGAATTGACCTATTACAAAATGTAAAGGTAAGATTATTATCTAGGCGATGTCTTAAGCGTTTTATTATATTTTTCTTTTAAAGCGGGCTATGAGTATTTTAAGACGTACAATGTTGATACGAATTTAAAAAAATAAAAATAAAAAACAAAATATACATATGCGATATGCCTATACTCAGGAATGTACATAAAAAAAACTAAATCAATTTTGTCCATTTGCATAAAAATCTCCATTTTTTTTTTTCTCGACACTTAAAACTCCTGGAAACCCTGGATTAGATTCACTTTCATATCAGAGAAGATACTGAAGTATCGCTCTGCTCAGAATCTAAAATTTACAAAAATGCAATGTGTGAAATTAAATAATATATTCATTTTTGCTTTAAATGATGTAATATCTAACTAACTCTTAAACTAAAGGCTAATAAAAAAAAAAAAAAAAACTCCTAAACAAATGTATTATATATTACTGTGGCATAACACATTATATTATTTACTATTGAAGACCAAATATTGTTTAAACTAATTTTATGTTTAATGTATAATATGTTATTAGTAGGGCCCGGAAGTTCATGCATTTGCATGTTTTTTTTTAACCTTTAGATTTATTGCTAACTTAAGTGAGCTAGAAATGCATTCCGAGACACTACGAAAAACATATCAAAAGTTTATACTGCATATTTTTGCATATTTATTGGTTTTTAAATTTTAGAGCATATTTCTTAAGTTTACAATTATTTAGAGCATATTTTATAACTTATGAAGATACAGTATGAAAATTTGTAATAAAAATAATAAATACATTTATATTGAGAGAACTTACTAGATATTCTATTATATCGTATTTTTCAATTTCCATTTGACATTAAAAACAATATTTTTCCCCAAGTAGTTAATATAATATATTTATAAATTTTAACTACAAGTAGCTTTATCTTATTACGTTGATCTTCGGGCGCGCCCGTGCAGAATCGATGTCGGCGTTTAAAGATTTTAACTTGCTCAATATAATATTTCACTACGACAAGTTATCAACTATCGTAATATAGCAATATAGGTAGTTATTCTTATCCCCGATAAGGATTCTTTTGTCTTTGGTTGACTTGGAGTGGAGCTTTTCGGTGTACAAAAATATGTTGGCATATAACGGTCGGTCGTTTAAATTTGAGAATTTATCAAAATCATTGATTGTAAAATGTAATGTTTAAAAATGTATATTAATTAATGAAATAATGTTTTTAATCACTAGTCAAAGAAATTGAAATAAAAATGTTTTTTTCCTCATATTTATAAATTAAAAAAATATATTTATGCGCATATATACTTCCGTGTCCTAGTTATCAGTAAAGCCCTGATTTCAATGCAAACAGCAAAGTACATCTTTGTTGTAGGTTATCTTAGACAATGCTTTCCAAGTATCTACATAATTTGTTCATAAAATAGACTTCAACACTCAACAGTCAAACTTTTATTATTCATTTTGTTGCATATTTTGATGTTATCTCATTTTTTGAGCATTTTATAGAAATTTTTGGTAATTTTGTTAGTTATTAATGCATAATTGTATATTGTACGACTTCAGTAACAGATTTGATTTGTCTTCTAACGGGGGGGAGACAATCCTTTTCCAAAAATTCCACTTTTAACTATTTACCCACTTAGCCATATACAGAGGGAAAAATATGTATCCAATATTAACATTTGTAAGCCGTGATTATAAAATCCTAAAACCGTCTCGGTCCCTCAATACTATAGGTAATTCAAATTTTGTTACGCCACTGGCCCTCCCTTTAAATTAGTGGGGGCCACCCAAACAAAAAAAATCTGGCGCCACTGACTGAACTTCTAATAGATTTTTTTTTATAAATAAATATTTAATAAATTATTTTAAATTAGGTAGGTGTACGTTAATAAAACATTGCATTGAAAAAATTATTTTACACGTACATTTTTAAGGACATTATTGCGGTAAAACAAAAATTTTATGGACATTTTTAAAGCATTTAATTCCGGGCCCTAGTTATGAGCATAAGTTAAACTTATCTAAACGCTTGCTAACAGTACCTTCTAGGGAAAAATGTTATATTTTGACTTTGACCTAGTTATTACAAATGTCGTAATATTATGGGTTGCACTTTAGTTAAATATTATGGGCAATGACCATTTTAGTTAGTTCAGATATGTAATCTACACAATTTTTAAATACTTCAATAACTATAAACTTGTTACTACCTAATTAAAATTAATTGATTTCACTGTAATAGTTATGGTAGTAGTTATCATATTTATATTTTTATATATAAAGGCGCGTTTACACGGTTCACTCTTGGTGATCATTTTGGATGAATCATCCACAGTGAATAAATAAGAACAATGTAAAATTATCATCCTCATTGAACGATGAACAAAGTTGGGTCATTTCCAACTTTCCTTCACTCTGGATGATTACATTGTTCTTATTTATTCACTGTGGATGATTCATCCAAAATGATCACCAAGAGTGAACCGTGTAAACGCGCCTTTAAAATTAAAATTTAGAATTATTTGATAAACATATTGTGTTTTAGTCTTTAGATAAACAAATTTAATTAGTACTTATAACAAAGCCAATAGCATAAACCCGAGTGAGTAGGTACCTAACTAGTTAGATTATTTATAAGTTATAACTAATAATACAAAGAACATTTTAAAAGTGTTTTTATTTTTTAATTATTTTGTTTACTTTACATTATTGGAAATATGATATATTTACTTGGTGTTTTTTAAAACTTCCCACTAAAATATTTAAATCTACGTTTTAAATTTAAAATTAATTTCTAGATTTAATTTCTCAATAAAAGAAAGAATTTGGAAAAAATATGAATATAGTTTTCGCTCAAAATATGAAATTTGTCTAGGTCATTTAATTATGATTCCCCCAACCTTACAATTAAATCTAAAAGTAGGTACTTGTTAATTGGTAAAATATTCTACTAATCAAATATTACTCACTTGCACAACACTTGGATGAGAAGTACATAAATAGATTTAACATGGAAATTGGACATAACATTTATTATGTGATTACATAATCATTCTTATTTATTTTGTTATCCAATTACTTTTATCTAAATAATTACTAACTGAACTATGAAGTATAATATATTTTGACCTTTTATTTTTGAATTAAAAAAAAAAATATATAAATGAATATATTTTGGTTCATAACCCAACTAAACATTTTTAGAATGTAATGAGAATTGTCTATTGTCTCCTTATGGTGTGTCTACCACAATGTGTCCTATGAATAATGATGAAATTATTTTCAAAAATAAAAAAACAGTTGGGTAAGTGGATGTTGCTCTGTTCTACAATAACTAATAAGTCACAAGTGGGTCACTTTATAATGGATAGTATTAAATTTGATTTTAATGATATAATAGTATACAAAAAACGATAGCTGTCATGGTTTGTCAGTGTGGATATTTTATATTATATTTACCTATATTGTTATTACTTATTCTTAATATACGGTAGCTGTTAAGTTGAATGAATATTATAAAATTACAATATAAGTACTAAAATCGTACTCTTGGTTATTTAATATCTAATTTCCTCCAAATTTAAACATAAAATAACTATAAAAATTTTTTTGAGATTTTTTAGTTACAGAATAACCTACTTACATGGAACCTTGTTTTAAATTTTCAATCCTTAGGTATACAATTTAAACATTTTATAAATGTTTAACTACAAAATCATTTTTAAATTTTAAATTTGATAAATGTTGTCAAACTTTAAATGCTTATAAAAAAAAATCTGCCTATATTTTTTTAATATTTTTAATCTGCTATTGTAACAATACATTACGATTTTTAACCCAAAAAATAAAATTGTATTAACATTTATAGAAAGAAAGAAAACTAATAAAATTGCAAATGTCCGAAAACAGCTCGAAAAGAAGTTGATACAAGGTTCCTTATTAATTTCATTAATCTAAGTTGAACAACATCAGAAAAGACAGAAATACATAGGCATGATTATTTTTTATATGCATTAAAAGTTGAAATGTTGAAAAAATTTCAAATATGTTCAATTTATTTTTCAGTTAGAAATTCTTAAAACTCGTTTTTCTTCTCGAAGGTAACATTAGAAATGTTGATAGAATTGTGGGGAACAAATTTTCCTACCTCAAATAACATTAAAAGGTAACGTCAACTTTTTATAAGCGTTTGAATTTAAAATTTATACGATAAACAAATTTTTGTTAATTCATTTATTATATTTTGTTGTAATTAAAAACTAATAATCCTAGATACTTGGAATTTTTCACAAAAGTTAAAATTACTATTTTCCATACATGGTAATAATTTCGTGGAACCTTGTTTTAAATTTTCAATCCTTAGTCATAAAATTTAAACATTGTATACATTTTTAACTTCAAAATAATTTCTACAT